GTTGGGCACAGTGAAATCGGCTCTTCTAGAGAAAAGGCATGCTTGTGTTTTGTTTGCATTCGAGAATTGTTGCCATATTTATGTTGTCAACATCACTCCCTTGTTCGTTTCTGATTTACCTGGCTGGTATTGGAGCCCTGGAAGAGAAGGCGGTATGGAGGGTACTATCATCCGCGAAGCTGTGTACTGGACATGAAGTTGCTTCCAACAAATCGTTGATATGGAGTAGAAATAGAGATGGTACTAGAATTGATCCTTGCGAAACATCAGCGTTTATAATAAGAGAGTCAGATGAAAGTCCGTCGAGCACTACATAGAGAGACCTGTTTGAGAGAAAACTAGCTAGCAGAGAACATAGTTGGGAAGGCAAGATGTAGAAGGGCCAACCATTTTTTTTCTGTAACATGGAATTATTATAAGTAATATCACCTTGTTCTGAATATTCGAGATAATCCTGTTGCTTCATTGTTCATGAAATAGTGTATCTGTATGGCAATATAATTGAGTTAACAATGGAAGACAGAATTATGAGAAGGTATTCAGAACAGAGTGGTAGTTTGATAGACTATTTCACGTTCATTAAGCATAAAAAGCATTTATTATAAATGAGTGATTCATTCTGAGTACAGTCATGATTATCTCATGCCAGACTGACAGACTTTGCTTCGCTATCCATGATTACATTGTTGAGAACATCAACGCTGATATACAGAGTGACCCATTTGAAAGCGGGCCACCCCTGTATCTCACGTAATCGTTGGGTAAGGATCATGAAATTTGCTGGAGCGAGAGATATACCAAAAATGCACTCTATGACCAAGTGGGGTCATCTTCAGTGATATACACTGCTTGCCAACAGCCATGGAACCACCCCAATTTCCGGAAAATGATATTAGGAGTCAGAATAGGTTGAAAATCACTTCGGATTCGGAATCAGGACGCCCAATTCACTAACTCTTCATATTTTTCCTTGAAAATTTTCAGTTCTGAAAAATTAAATTTTGTCGCACTTTTCACGGAAGCACCCCCGTATCTCACGTAATTGACTTTATCTTTGGACTTTCCGTTCCTCCTGCAAATTTTAGAACCCTACCTCAATAATTACGTGAGATACGGGGGTGCTTCCATGAAAAGTGCGACAAAATTTAATATTTCAGAACTGAAAATTTCCAAGGAAAAATATGAATAGTTAGTAAATTGGGCGTCCTGATTCCGAATCCGAAGTGATTTTCAACCTATTTTGACTCCTAATATCATTTTCAGGAAATTGAGGTGGTTCCATGGCTGTTGGCGAGCAGTGTATATCACTAAAGATGACCCCACTTGGTTATAGAGTGCATTTTTGGTATATCTCTCGCTCCAGCAAATTTCATGATCCTTACCCAACGATTACGTGAGATACAGGGGTGGCCCGCTTTCAAATGGGTCACTCTGTAGACCAATCAGAATTGAAAGACTGAGACTGCTAATGTTTTCGCGATAAGCACACGTTGTCTCTGGCTTGTGATTGGTCATGTTATGTGATGTGTGAAATTGTCACTTTTAATTAACAATTCTAAATTTAAACTGACAATTATTGTCAATTTGAATTGGCAAATGCCACTTTGACCTCACGTTTTAGTAGCGCCCCCTGGTGAGACTGAAAATGTTAACCTTCATGGGTAATTTCAAGCGATAATATTATTGTTCGGTCAATTCACGTGTATATCGTTGGTGATGATGATGAATCTGTCATAATGCCTGTAAATCCCATTTGAAACTCCTAAAATAATCACCAAGAAATGTTTGAGATGAAAATTCGACTATGCGTATATATCCCCATTTTTTAATTCATTTCGACTCGACAAATGCTATGAAGCAGCATCGATTCTCCTCCGTAGATTTACAATTGCCAGCATTTCCCAATGCCGCATTATAAGCAGTAGCCAATACCCTATATAGTACTTGTCCTCAAAATTTTTATCTCTCCTTCATACCTTGTTTGTAGCTGCCTTACGAGAGTCAGTTTAGATTTATCGTCAGTGTATTCTCAGGTTATTTGCGAGCATCGTCTATCTGCTATGCGCTCGATTGTCAGTTTCTTTTAAATATTTTAGCATCTTCTGACTCGTTTTGTGCTCGAAACGCCAGCCATTGAATTTAAAGATCTACATAACAGCGACCATTAACATACGGTGATGTTTCAGACTCTTCAATGAATACCTTTTGCAATGAATATATTTCAGGGATTCCGGTCGCCTTCAGTACAGAGTGAAATGTGGTGTCTTCTTCCTTTGGACGGGAATGATTGCGATCTGGAAGAGGTCTGATATGCACCACGTGACCTTCAAATTTACATGCATCATTATTTCGTGAGATTCCATCACTTGCAATCAGCGTTGGCATTGGAATACATATTGAAACATATTTTTTTCTATGACGGGAAAAAAGTTTGGCATTCCATCTCTGTTGGCAGGTTATAAAATGTCACTTTTCATAAATTACTTTTTTCCCGTGGAAAGAAAGTGAGTACTTTTTTCCCGGATATATATCACATATATATATACTCTGTTAATGGCTTCTGTTGTGCTATAGTTCCGAAAAATGAGTCAATAATACCGTCTCCGAGAAAGAACTGCAAGTCCTTTTATCTTCCATTCGACTTCGCGGTTTCGTATATTACTAAACAACTACTGAATTCGCAATTTTTCAAAATCAAATCACAGAATTGAACTGACAGAAGTGACATCAGATATTTGATTACTTCAAAAGAATGATAAAGATGTAGTGATTCACACGAGACCAACGAGACGAGACTTTCATTAAGTCTCGTCTCGTCTCGCCGATGAAATATGAAGTCTTGTCTCGAGTCTCGTCTCGCAGCCTCCAGTCTCGTCTTGTCTCGCGTCTCGTACGAGAGTCTCGCAAATGTATCACAATTTCGTCATGCATAATTTTGTTCCAGTCTTATACGGGATAATTCCCTTCACCTTCTTTCTAGGTATAATGTATAGAAGTAGGAAGACAAAATTACAACAAAAATAACATTATTTATTGAAAAGTAAGTACCTAATAGGTAAACAAACTTACACCATACATCTAAACAATGAAGAAAAACATTTGTTCTCTGAAGTAGCCGGTATGCTTAAGAGATCTCGTGCCATCAAACTTAGAATGGGAAATTCAGAAGCATGAATTTTCCACCATTGCAATATATCTGTGTTTTCATTATACCGAGGCACAGAATAATATTTTTGAAGCTCCTGCATCCCTACTCCCGTCAAAACAAAGTAATTCTTCATCTCAGACTATATAGCACAGAATGACTTATTTATAGATCTTCAGGTAGTCATTCAATTTGCGATCTGTCGTTATTGCAAAATTGCCTTTATTTTCCGCCGCCATAAGAGATCATGAATTGTGTTTTTGAAGTATTCATGAATGCAATGTTTTGTCTATCTGTGCTAAATAGTCTGAATTCTTTCTAAATATGTTGTATTATGAATGAAATTCTCAAGTATGCAGTCGGCACGCAGAAATATTCACCTGCGAGACTCTCGCACGAGACACGAGGAGTCTTGCACGAGACTCGAGACGAGACCAATAAAAGTCTCGTCTCGTCTTGTCCGAGTCTCGTCTCGGGTCTTGTCTCGAAAACGAGACGAGACCATGCGAGACTCTCGAAAACGAGACTCTCGCGGGCACCACTATAAAGATGTCTATAAAACGCAGGTGTCCCTACTGTTAAAAACTTGAAATTTCACGTCAATAATTTTCAGATTTCGAAATAATGTAATATCTTCTCAATATTGATTCGTCCTTTCTTCTGTCACAGAAAAAAATAGTGTATTATACACGGGAAAAATATTAGATTTCAGCTCACGGTTTTTTGTCTCACAACAACACAACCTGGAGCTAAAATCTACTACTTTTTTCCCTTGTATAATAAATAACTATTTTCGACCACTATAATTTTAGAACCTACCATTATTCACTTATTTTCAAGGCGTGAAGTGTATTTTTTCTATCAAGATAGTTTTTCTCAATTTATGGACTACCAGCCAATAGACATAGCCATCTGTTATAATCAACCCGAAATTAGTGTTCTGATGCGAGATAGAAGTCTTCTATTTGATGAAATTGTAATACCAATATGATGAGATTAGAATGCTTCATTTGAAGAAATAATTATTTATATTTTTGTATCAAGAAAATTACGTATTGCCTCAACATATTCGGTTTTTGCAATTTGAGAAAACTGAATATATCATTCGAAGAAATGAGCATTCTTTAATTTGAAGAAATCTATACACATAATCTTGGATCAAGCAATAAATTTATTGGATCAAAATAGTACGTTTCTGCGAATTGAGAAATCCGTTTTGATTGAGTTGAAGTAATTAATTTATTAACTGAATAATTGCATTTTTGGTTTGAGAATATATTTCAATAATATGACACTATTTTCTTGAACATACCAGATTTTTTGACTAAAAAGAATATGCTCAATTCAAAGCAGATATACCATTGAATTTTCAAGAGAATTGGTTTTCTCATTCGAAGAAATTTTTTTTCTGTGTGGCAACCATACCAACAACTGCGATTTCTATCAAATTTTATTTTAATTGGACACTACAGGAAAATAAAGAGATTGTGGGAATTGTAATAATTTGCAAATACAATATCCTCCTATATCATTATGAACAATCGGAGAAAAAATTATTTAAAGGGGCAGGATGGATTATCGACTCTCGGGCGCAGAATTTCGTTATTGTTGGAATTATTAGATTCAAAGTTTTGGCGAACACGCCGGGACACATTTCGATTGTATTATGAATACTTTATACAACATTAGTGGATGAAGTATGGTATTCTTCTCGCATATAATGAGCTATATCATATGCTTGTTGATCAATATACTAGTATGCACTGTGAGCGATGATTTTATATGACTCAATTTCAAAGTGTCGCAAGTTTACTGGTTCATTACAAAGTATATGTTACACAGAACTTTGTTGCAGGCTACAGAGAGGCTGCTTTTGCCCATGCCATCACCTCTGCAGGAATAACCATCTCCATCTCGAGAGCATGTAGTTCAGGACAGCTAAATAACTGTGGATGTGATTCCAAGACGTACAAAATGAAAGAAACGTTGTCTTCGGCTAATTCTCTTTCCAAAACTGACTGGAAATGGGGCGGATGTTCGCACAACTTGCACTACGGAATGAAATTTTCGAAAATGTTTCTGGATTCCAGAGAATGGTCCGAGGACATTCAATCCAAAATTAATTTACACAACAATAAAGTTGGTAGAATGGTGAGTAGAAATTGAATAAATATGAGTGGAAATAAAATCGAGATTTCGTCTTGTTGCTACAAAATCTATACAGGGTGTTTCAAAAAAACCTGTCCCCCTTGCTAGGATACGTAGAACACTGCAAAATAAGTTGGATTTGCTCAGTAAAAAAATGTCCTGACGGCATTCGTTTTCAAGATACAAGGTGTTGAAAAAATTATTTTTTTGCACATTTTTTACGATTATGTCGAAACTACTGGCAACATTGTAATTAAATCTTGTATTGATGTTTTTTGGAATCTGACACATGGCAAGGATTTATTTTCCTATCTGACTCTCATAGAGGGCGCTAGTTACACGGTTCTTACCGAATAGTTTTAAACATAACTTCTTTGAGGTTATATTCTCCAACCCGAATTTGATGTGAACTCAAACATCATTCTTTTTCACACCAAAATGGTACTCTTGGTAAAACTCGATACTGTGTTCCGTTTTCGGAATATTTCGATTTGAAAATAATGGAGTAATAGCTGATGCTGAAATGAATTTCATTGAGATCAGTTACTTGTTTATTCAGATTCAAAAACGAAAACATCATATTTGTGCTGTGGTTATTGATTGAACAAAGAATCACAAGTAGAAAATTGAGGAATATTTGACTAGAAACATAAAATATTGTATCAGTTTAGAGTAAGTGTTCAAAATGTCCTCCGTTTCCACGAATACACGATTCGATATTTTTTTTATGAAAGCATTATTTTTCTAAATGGTTGAGGATCAGCTGTAAGGTCATTCAAGTGATGTTCAATTCTGACTTGCAACACCAGATGTGAATTTACCTCTGTAGCATACACTTTTTGCTTGATACAACGAAACTGTGTAATCCATGTTTTTAGTAAAATTTGTTTCAATGTTATTCTTGTGAATCATTGTTGAATCAATAAGTTTAGCATTAGAAATGTATTGTTTTTTTCGGTTTGCAATAAATTGATGATGATTTTTTATAATACTCAAAATCTAATACATAGCTTTATACCAGCAACAGTTATCACTTCATCATTTTCAAATCGTAATATTTTGACAACGGAACACAAGTATCGAGTTTCACCAGGAGTACCTTTTTGGTGTGAAATTGAATGATGTTCAAGTTCACATCAAATTCGGATTGAAAAATCTAACCTCAAAAAAGTTATGTTTAAAAATACTAGCGCCATCTATGAGAGTCAGATAGGAAAACAAATGCATGCCATGTGTCAGATTCCAAAAAACATTCATACAAAATTCGATTACAATGTTGCCAGTAGTTTCGACATAATCGTAAAAAATGTGTTAAAAAATCATTTTTTCAACACCTTGTATCTTGAAAACGGATGCCGTTACGACATTTTTCCTTTGAGCAAATCCAACTCATTTTGCAGTGTTCTACATACCCTAGCAAGGGGGTCAGGTTTTTTTGAAACACCCTGTATATTAGTTTGAGAAGACTTTTCAGAAAATTGAATAATTCTCATCTCATCTTATAGAGCATGAATAGTTCAGTATCTGTCAGAAATTCTGTTGATTTATCCCAAACCGTTGCGAACTTTTCATCAAAAAACAATATTCATACTCGTATTCTCAACACCCTATATCTTGAAAACGACGCGTTCAAAGGTATATGTTCATTTGAACTTTTTTGATTACTTCAACGAGTACAACACACTGTTGAATTTTCCCTATTATAAACCAGACCACCCTGTATATCTTCCATATTGACTAATTAGTTATTACATTTCATTCCCAGTAATGAAGTGGATAGCTATAGATCACTTGAAGCAGCGATAATAACCTGCATAGATAGATATCAGTTGAACATCACTTAACACAATTTTGTATGCTAATTTAAACGCATCATTCATTTCTCATTGACCAGAACAAATTGCTGCACGCAATGCCGAAGAGTTCGTGCTGAGGATGCCAGTGGTTGTTGATTTCAAAAAATCTCGGAGTCGAAAAAATATCGCAACAGTGGCGTTGCTATATAATCCATGATATTCATTTATTATCACATTATGAAATAGAATAGAATGCAGGGTGAGTTTTGACTAACCAGCCATAGCCTAATGGCAGATAGAGGGAAGTCACGGTGAGTTGATATACAGGGTGTTTCAAAAAAACCTAACCCCCTTGCTAGGGTAGGTAGAACATTGCGAAATGAGTTGGGTTTGCTCAGTAGAAAAATGTCGTAACGCCATCCGTTTTCAAGATACAAAGTGTTGAAACAATATTTTTTTTACATATTCATTACGATTATGTTGAAACTACTGGCAACATTGTGATGAAATTTTGAATGGATGTTTCTTGGAATCTGACACATCGCATGCATTTGTTTTTATATCTGACTCTCATAGAGGGTGCTAGTTACACGGTTCGTACCGAGTAGTTTTGAACAGATTAGACTAAGAACGTGGATTACACAGCCATGTTGTACCTTGAGAAGAAAGTCTATGCTACATAGGTAAATTCACGTCAAGAGTTGTGAGATATAATTGAACATCACTTAAATGACCTAACAGCTGATCCTCAACTCTGTTCAGAAGAATAATACATTCTTAAAAAAGATTGTGTGTGTATTCCTCGAAACGTAGGATATTTTGAACACTTACTCTAACTGATTCAATATTTCATGTTTCTAGTCAAATATCTCTTAATTTTCTACTTATGATTCTTTGTTCCATCAATAACTTCAGCACAAGAATAATTTTATTGTTTTTGAACCTGAATAAATAGGAAATTGAACTCAATAGAATTTATTTTTTACCAGCATCATTACAACTCCATTATTTTCAAATCGAAATATTCCGAAATCGGAACATAGTATCGGGTTTCACCAAGTGTACCTTTTTGGTGTGAAATTGAATGATGTTCCATTCCATATTATATTTGGATTGTTACAGCTTCAAATATGATCAGAAATAATATAGGCAAATTATTCGAAAAACCATAAGAGATCTTCCGAAGAAATACAGAAAATGTACAGAAATTGGAGTAGGACATTTTGGGAATCTTCTATGAAAAACATTAGGATATAGACAAATCTTTTTCGAAATTAATGTTTTTCAATTCTTTCCACAAACCAAGTCCGGTCCTGATTTTTTATTAATAATACATATAATATTTATTAAGTAATAGCATAAACAGTGAATGGTCGCGGTGTATGTTTGGTTGCCTATGCTACAATCGTGCATCAATAGACAAATTGATCATTAATAGGGGTCGTTAACGATCAATTTCATAAACATTTAACTCACTATTAATACGAGGTCGACGGAAAAAGACTATATTTTTCAAAAAACTTCAAAAAAATACAATTTCACGAGTTTCATCGTCTATTGAAAAAAAAATCCTATTCACAATCTGAAACGCCCTGTATATTCAATGATCAAAACAATATAGACCGAAATATACGTTACAGTCAAGTTGATAATTAATTATCATAGTGAAACTATGTATCAAGTATACATTTTCAATCTTCAGAGGTAAAATTCCAGAATATGGCGAATACGCAATTTGCATTCCGCGCATTCGCCATAACTTCGAGCCTACACGTGTGGCGGTATAAAATATCATGCCGTATAAAAAAATGACTTCCCTCAACATCAGCTCATTGGTACAATATTGAAATTTGGCCACCAACTCCTTGAGAATAAACCCCACTTCAAGTTGCGATTCCATCAATTCTAGCGCTTCAGAAATGATCTAATTGCACAATGCACCAATAATACAGTATTAATTCGGGAGGAAGGTGATATTGAGTAGTGAAACAACTCTAAAAAATGTAAACCTTTACCCTTTACCTATTTGATGATGCCGAATTTCAACACCATAATCATTGAAGATAATTCAAAAAGTTTCCAAATTAAATTGAGCTCTCAGATATAGAAATCAGAATCGGTTTTACCGATCGGCGATTAAATTGCCATCTTCAGTTAAAATGATTCAACATAAGACATTTTTGGTTACCTCAGCAGATGCAAAGGTGGACCTTGATAGGTATCAAAGAAATGTCTATGGTTATAATGTGTTTAGGATACCTCACTTTTCAGTAAAATATTGAAACACAGCCTCACTTTTTTGATCTGTTCACAGAAGAATCAAAGGACTGATATAGTGTTCTTCACAATATTTTGGCATACGAATCGTGTTTTTTGCGCTATTCATTAATTCAAGCATGCCTTCTCATTGTGCTGTTGTACAATACACAAAAAAATGCAGCGAGGGACGTAGGAATATGATTTTTCAGGACAATAGTAATCTCACATAGTTTTCATTATGAAATTTTGTCATTTCTTATTGAAATCCCTTTTGCCACTTCTGATAGATTGAAAATGTCTACAACACACACGATCATATTTCGTCAGCATGTCTGACTAGTCGTTCCGTTTGATTGCATGAATCCATACCTTGTATTCTTTCAAAAATTTCACGAGTATTTTTATTAGCTCCTATTGAAGAAAGAATTCCGATGAGAAATCAGAGAAATTACTAAATGAAACAAAACAAACTGAAAACTATATGTGAGTGACTATAGTAGAGGTACTTACTTTTAAATCATAAAGTACCAACCGGATTCCTTCGTCTCTCGCTGCATTTTTTGTGCGTTGTACAACAGCACCATGAGATGGCATGCGCGAATTAATGAATAGCCGAAAACACAATTGGAATGGAAAAATAATTGTGAAAAACTATTTCAATCAGTTTTAAACAAAAAAGAAAAGTAAGGTTGTGTTTCAATGTTTCACCTCCTGGGTCGGCCATCTGACAGTTCTTGCACGCAACCCATAAGTTGGTTCCAAATAGGCTAAGTGAAGAATAAGGTCGATTTTTCCGTTTTTTTCAATGAAATGACAGTATATTATACCCATATACGTATTAATAAACAATACGGATCATAACGGGTGCCAGGATGAAGCCAAAAATATGAAACAAATGAATATCCATAAGGATTTGGTGGCATGATACGCATGCGCCATTATAGTAGTCATCAAAGACATGCGTTTCGGTGGACAAAGACGTTTACTAGCCTTTCAATCAAAGCAGTATGTGTCTGATCGTTTCAAAACTTTTCCTTATGGATAGTCATTTGTCTTCAAAAATCGGCTTCATGTTTCGCTATGGAAACAGATAGAGATTATCCGTATTGATTATTAATCCGTATATGATTATACCTCACTCACTAGGTTTTCATTTTCTAACGACAAAGTGTCAATATAATATAATAATAGGTTGAGATATGTGTGAAGTAAGCATTACTCAACCAATCAACTGTACACATCGTTATTGTTCTGTCCCCTCGGAAAAATATTTCGCGTCCGCCCGTGACCACTAACGCGAAGAAATACAGACCTCAACCTCAGCCCGAACGAAATCAAATTCCGCCATGGAAGAGCCCGAGTCCGGTTAATGAAAATCGGGGTTTGCGGCGCGTGTGGTCCTAATAATCATAATAACGCTGCGAGAGGTGTAATGGCGGTCCTTTGTGGGGGCGGGGCCCATCTGGGGACTTCACGCAGATTATTAGAGGCCCCCATCGAGGCCCCGAGGCCATCTACCACCTAGCCCGCGCTACCGGCCGATCTTTTATTCTTTTTCCAATACGTCAGGAATTCGAGGATTATAGTGTTTGGGTTTTTTGGGCGTTCGGAATGAATTGTTCCTCGCCTGTACCCTGATGAGGCTTTCATTGGTTTTACAAAAACGTGGATCAATAGGGTATCAATGACCACTTGGTCGAGTCCTATAGTATAGTTTTCTCAATTGTTACCTGTCGTTTTACTCAAAAGTAGGCGTTTATGGCCTGCGGCGTGAATAATAGCCCGATGGCGTTAGCCGAGGGCCATTACTCGCCGAATGCTATATAAACGCATTTAACGCACGTGATACATACAAAATTTTATGCACTAGTGGTTTAATTTCCGAGTCACAAGTAATGACTAGATTTCAACAAACTACAATTCGTATGTTACTCATAAATTCAGTTTTCAAGAGAAGCGCAATGTTTATGTATATAATCTACATATTCAATCGCAATTATCGTAAGAGTGAAACTCTTTGTTCACTAACAGAGATTCATTTCTTGCGATGTAACAATATGTATACCCAGTATATAGCTACCTAAATTTGACGTTGTTAATCAATCTGATGGTTGCTACCTAGCAATACATCCAAAAAACAGCTGAAATTGTCATTTTTTGGCTAATAACTTCAGACAGCCAGCAAGCAACTATTCAAAGAAGGAAGTTATAGCGAAGATGAAATCGGATGAACAATAACATGTATCATAATAATAGCGATAGAATCAACTGAGAGTTCAAATATAGGTATTCCACAAATGGATAAGTGGGTATAAGGGACTTTAGAACAGCGGGGGGTAAAGTGCACTTTATGGCCCGTGGGCGATAATTTGCCAGCGGGCGGTAAATTACCACTTTACGCCCGCAAATCTGGGCGATAAAGTGCACTCTACCGCCAGCTAGTGCACAAAAGACTTTATGATCATTCAATTTGATGGATAGTGAACAAAATTCAAGATAAGATGAAAAATCACCAATTTAATAGGGGCTTACATTCAAAATGATAGATCAGCAGCCTAGCGCTACATTGGTGAAGACATCACAAGGGAAAGCATACATTTTTACATAGATGTTCGCAGCAAATTCCACTTCATAGATTCTCAGAAAAGAGTGCCGCTAATTATTCCTCCCGTTGAGAGTCGAATGCCAGAAATCCTCTTCGAATAAGGCTAACGGTCTGAAAATGTTTGATACGGAAGTAATTTACCATCTAATACGAACCGAATGTTTTTCCATCTGCTGGAAAATGGCTAGTGTCATAACCCATTACCTAGAACCGGCCTAAGGACAACCCTTTCATGTCTGCCTTACCACTAAATGCCTCTCAAACTAGGTATTGAAGAATTTAGTGTTTCCATAGAAGCGAGCATATTTGAGATATAACTTGATATAATTTATTGTTTTGAAGTTGTCAATCAATTATTCCTGAAATAAAAAAGTATTCGCACCTCTCGTTTAATAATACCAATCTAAGTACCCACGAACTGTTCATAACATCCAAAGTTATATTGGCGCCCAACGTGGGGCATTATGTTATACTAGTCCAACCAATTTCTGAGAAATAAAACAAAAACTTGACCAACGTCTAACAACTAACATAGGTTTATCGCTCTGTTCCAAAGTGATGGAGACAGCTTTCGAATTGAGCATTGAGCTTTTTTTATTTTTTTATCGATTGGAGCGCACGAAAGGGAATCCCTATAATGTTCAAAGAACATCGTGCGTTCCTAGGGAGGATAGGGACAGGAGGTAGGTATTGGCATTTTTTTTGAATTTTTGGAGATTATATGTTGTTGGGAATACTTCCACAGGCAATGAATTCCAGAGCCTAGCCGTTCTATGGATGAAGGAGTCTTGATAAAGTGCTGTTCGACATCTTTCGAGGTTGACGACGAAAGGATGAGCTGACTGGGCTTGTCTAGTTCGTCTGATTGGTATTGCTAGTGAAGGGATGATTGCAGAGATTTCCGAAGAACATTTCCCGTGGAAGTATCGATAGAAAAGTGAAAGGTCGCCGTCAATTATTTGGAAAGCTTAGGAGTCATAAATGTGAAAGAAATAATATGGCTTTAGCCATCGGAGATTAAAATTTCCATATCTTCAAACTAAGAAATCACGATAAAGGATGTTGCTAAAAGTATAGCCTGGGAATCCAATAACCTATAGTTGAATCAACGGCATTAATACTCAATCCTGTATTTTCTCTCTGAGGGCGGAACACAGTATGCTTGATATGTCAATGTCTGGTTGGTACCAACATTCCCACAAAGTCCACCATGCCTATGCTCGGTATTTCTATCAGCAATACTCTTTCATGGGAAAATCATGTCAGATCCAACGCAAAAGCTGCTTCAAGAAAACTCGGATTTTGATTCCGTGTAAAAAGCTAGCTTCTCATGATATACAAAGCACAGATACAGCCCGTTTTAGAATACTGTTCATTACTTTATTGATTCTCATGCTCTCGTATGCTCTCGTATGCATCTTAATTTCTAACATCATCAACTTGTTTGATCTTAAGGTGAATTTTCTATATAAATTCATTAATCCGAGTTCATGAATGTTGCTTCGGTGTCATGTAAAATTTATCATTGGTTATTGAGAAAATAGCCTTCAGTCAGAAATGAAATTCTGGTATGAGGAAATTGATTACAAACAATAATAATAAAATAACATAAGGTGACAACAAAAAAATCTAAAAAAATCTTAAAATGCTGAATCAAACAAATCATGAAATAGCAACTGGGATCAATCAGTAGATGGCGAAGAAACAATTGTATCTATTTTGTTATGAAATAATGGTATTTCATAATGCAATTTGAAATTTTGAAATATGTCTGCGATGTTTTAAATTATTTGATAATTTATTGAAGAGCAGCGTGGGTAAATCCCTTTTGGCTATTAAGTAATTTTCAACAGCGATGATCACACCCCAAATTCTATTTTAAACTATTATTTTCAGGCTGTTTCGAATAACATGCAACTCAAATGTACATGTCATGGCGTGTCAGGAAGCTGCGAGCTCAAAACTTGTTGGAGAGCATCACCAGACTTCCGAGTCATAGGAAATACTCTGAAAGAGAAGTTCCAAACCGCTATCATGGTGGACCAGACGAATCTGGGGAAGAAGAAACTCAGAAAATTCAACATGTAAGTATACCAACTCAGAAACAGCACTTGATTCTGAAATATCTAAACCTACCTTTATCTCTCTCATATCTTCTTGACCTGTTTTCAGTTCTTCATTCTTTGTCCCCACTGGGCATCAATATGCCTTCTTCGATATATCCTTTTATAGATTATATTCTCAGTTCTTTGGTATTACTATTCCTCAAATTCATTTTCTCTTGGTTGCCCTTTCAAGTACTTCTTCTCTGTCGCTTTAATTTGGCTCTTTTTATGTTCTGTTGATACTCATGACTTAGCGGTGCATTTATATAAGGCTGAATTTGGTTTTGTAGACTTTTACATCTTGTAAATTCAATTATTCTTGTCATTATCAAAAAAAATCCTCCGTTCAATGCGTATATAAAATAACTTCTTTCGTTTGATCCCATATCGTGTCTCCTTGTTTCCTTCAGTGTTATTTCTGAGTTCCTACTGATCTCTCATCATCAGTATCAATTTCATCTTTGGGGATATCTAGAAATTATATTTCTGCGACTTTGGTGATTTGGGCATCAGAAGAAATCTTCAAAATTCTCTCATTAGCTTGAGTCACTTTTACAGTTCTGGTTCCACGAATATTATTTCTATTTCTATAGTTGTTATTTCGAATATATCATATACTATTGGAGTCTTTCAACCATTGAGAATCACAACAATTCAAATGTTAGGATGATAGAAATACTAATAAACTACAAATGTTTGGTAGAAGAATCATGCAATTACCAATTCTACGTGTCACCCTTTGAGAAGATGGCTCACTTTCAAAACAAAGCCTACTTATTGCTATTACATGTCTTCTTTGCAAGGGTCAAACAAAAGAAGCGAAAAAACAAAAACAAGCCAAAGCAGTGGACGCCTCGCAAGAACAAGCACAAGCGGGACCTGTCGCACGACCTCCTCTACTACGAAAAATCGCCCAGCTTCTGCAAAAACGACCCCTTCCTGGACGTGCCCTACACCACTGACAGATTCTGCAATCGAATTACCTCTTTTAGATTCAGACTCTCATATCTTCTTGGCCTGTGTTCTGTTCTTAATTATTTGTCCCCACTGCGCATCAAGATGTCTTCTTCAATATATTCTTTAATGAATCATATTCTCAGTTCTTTGGTATTGCTATTTCTGAAAATCATTCTCTCTTGAATACCAAGTACTTAATTTGGCTTCTTTCATGTTCTCTTAATACTCATGACTCAGTCGTGCATTTATATGAGGCTGATTTTGATTTTGTAGACTTTTCATTATTAAAAAATCCTTCGTTCAATGCGTATATGAAAGACTTCATGAGCGTTATCTATTCTTTCGTTTGATCCCATATCGTGTCTCCCTGTTTCCTCTAGTATTATTTCTGAGAACCTACTGATCTCTCATTGTAAGTATCACTTTTGTATTTGGGGTTATCCAGAAATAATATTCCTGCTACTTTTGTGACTGAGGCAACAGAGGAAATCTCCACACTTCTCTCATTAGCTGTGTAGCAAAACAACATTGTCTCTTACCTCAGCCACCGTATAATTATGGTTTACGTGTCCACCGGGTATATTTTGCGATTTCCCTAATTAATTGTTTTTTACCGATTCGCACTTTTTATTGCAGAAGGTCGTCGCACCTGTCGAGTCAATCAGCTGTTAGGGCATCTTGGTCGTCGATCTCTTTTCCTTTTCTGTTGATATTATAAATATCATTTATCATCTGCCAGGCATAGGCAACCCTCGGCACAACCAAACGCGTGGATGGTTGCCTAACTCGAATAAGTTGACAGGTACTATTTTTGAATTTCGCTGTTTCTCTCGCACCTACCAGGTTGGTAAAAAATCTCGCAAAAACCTTTGACTTGTTCTGGAAGAATCTGTTCGAGTGTTGGTCTTTTTCAACAAATGGTTGCTCATCAGTGCGCGTCATGAATTAGAAACCGAATAATGAATCATCACTGCAAATTCTCTGTATAATTAGTGAATGCGAGTGGTTCCAGATTCGACTATCGGGATTCCCGGTATATTTGTCAATCGTGCCTCGAATAAGTTGACAGGTACTATTTTCGAATTTCGCTGTTTCTCTCGCACCTACCAGGTTGGTAAAAAATCTCGCAAAAACCTTTGACTTGTTCTGGAAGAATCTGTTCGAGTGTTGTTCTTTTTCAACAAATGGTTGCTCATCAGTGCGCGTCATGAATTAGAAACCGAATAATTAATCATCACTGCAAATTATCTGTATAATTAGTGAATGCGAGTGGTTCCAGATTCGACTATCGGGATTCCCGGTATATTCGTCAATCGTGCCTGTATTTATTAGGTGAGTTATAAATCTCACTTTTTTTTATATGAAGCACGTGTCTGTGCTGTGCCGGACTTGGTCCTGAAGGTATTATTTATTAGTTTGCAGAATTGCATAGTGCCACTATAAACTTCCTCTTGCTCTGTTTTCACCGGGGACTTATAGGGATCGTGAATTAAACCTGGTGTGGGTACCTCAAACAGAACCGGTCTTTTTTCTTCAAACCCCCTGAGAACCCCGTTTCACCGCAGCTGAATCACCTCTACAGTTCTGGTTCCACGAATATCATTTCTATGTCAGTAGTTGCTATTCTGAATATAACATCTACTATAAAAGTGTTATGAGAATCGCAACATCACAACAAATGTTTGATCGAAGATTCACGCAATTACTAATTTTGCGAGTCACTCTTTGAGGAAACAAAACAAACCGTACATATTGCAATCACATTTCTTCTTTTGAAGGGTCAAACTCATGACTCAGCCGTGCACTTATATGAGGCGGACTTTGGTTTTGTAGATTTTCATTCCTGTTTTTGTGTATCATTTCTCTCATTATTAAAAAATCCTTCGTTCAATTCGTATATAAAAGACTTCATGAGCGTTATCTATTCTTTCGTTTGATCCCATATCGTGTCTCACTGTTTCATCTAGTATTATTTCTGAGAACCTGCTGATCTCTCATCAGTATCACTTTTGTTTTTGGGGTTATCCAGAAATCATACTTCTGCGACTTTTGTGACCGAGGCAACAGAAGTAATCTTCACACTTCTCTCATTAGCTGAAGTCATTTCTACAGTTCTGGTTCCATGAATATCATTTCTATGTCTGTAGTTGTTATTCCGAATATATCATCTACTACAGAAGTCGTATAACCATTGAGAATCGCAACATCACAACAAATGTTTGGTCGAAGGTTCATGCACGACTCGACTTCAAAACAATCCCTACAAATTGCAATTACATGTCTTCTTTTCAAGGGTCAAACAGAGAAAGCGGAAAAACAAAAACAAGCCAAAGCAGTGGACGCCTCGCAAGAACAAGCACAAGCGAGACCTGTCGCACGACCTCCTCTACTACGAAAAATCGCCCAGCTTCTGCGAGAGTGACCCCTTTCTGGACGTGCCTGGCACCACTGGCAGATCATGCAATAGGAGCAGCACAGGGCCGGACGACAGCTGCGCGAATTTGTGCTGCGGCAGGGGCTACAATCTGGTCAAGATGAGGCGGGTGGAGAGCTGCAGGTGCAAGTTCGTGTGGTGTTGCCGGGTCGACTGCGAGACGTGTAGCTACGAGGAATGGATCAGTGTTTGTAAATAGGATGGACGTTCGATGCTTGCTGATCTTAATTGTGGGAGTAGAGGAACTAAGCTGATGGATGAATGGAGTGGATCACCTGAGCATTAAACCCTATTTTCAAATCGAATAAGAGATCGTTGAAAGTACTATACTTATCGTCTTCCATATTTATTCATTTATTTATGTATTCAATTTTCCAGTAGACAATTGCAAAAAAAATTTATAGAGATATTCAAGTGGGTAAACTTATATCTAAATATAATACAAAACAACACAAAAATGAATGTGGATAAAACAATAGTACAAGTAGAACAACAATAGTAAAATAGTATTACACTTGATGAGTATGATATGATAGTTGGTATTGTAGGTAATAATTGAAACCACAGTATGTACAAAACGTCAGATTTGAATCAAAATACGTGAGAAAAATATTTATCGACGAAGTAATACGAATGTTCCTCTAACAAGACTCTGAGGGATCTTTTAAAATAATTTGAAGTTTTCCATAGTTTTATTCCATCAGGTAGGGTGTTGAAAATTTTCGTTGTCGTGATATTGTTCGAAGTTTTCGTTACATCACTGAAGGGGATATAAAAATCATATTTCTCTCTAGTATTGACTCCATATGGCGGAAAATGTTCGTGTGAAATTTTTCTTCATTTTGAGATACATATAAACATGATTCTAGAATGAGTAATGATGGCAGGTTCAGAATTTTCAAGTTCTCCAAAATGTCACGACATGTAGTTCTCTTAGACATACCTACTAATGAACGAACAACGCCGACAATAATATAAATTCAATAATTGTACCCTGTTGATGTATGATACACCAACCAATCATAAAATAACAAATACGTATTATTCACTATTGGGATTTCGGAAACTATGGGAGAAACGAAGATAGTTCAATATTATTCTGTCAGGAAGTTATTGTTTGATAACTAAAACAACTAAGTATTTTGAAAATTACTAGAAATAATGTGTATTACAATCATTAAGATCACTCATAACAAATTAGAGGCTATACCAAAGAACTTTCCGTACTTGTGTATATTATATATATAGTCAAATTCTAGAGCTATAATAGGTCTATTATAGCAACATGAAAAATACCCCTATTTGTATTGTATTGGTTTGGTATGAGTTGATGACATTCTTCAGGGTAGATTAGGAATAAATAAGTCTGCAATGAGTTGTGTATTTTTACTTTCTGCTATTCAGATACAGAGTAGAGAGTTATTGAGTATCTGTTATGTAAAGAAACAAGAAAAGGCCTCCCTATTCCATTGTAAATCAAATACAGGGATTTCAGACTGGAAATACAAATTTATAGATGGCAGGAATTTCATAACGAAATGCATAGTTTATGGTAATGACAATCAAAAACACTTCCATTATTAAATATACAATAAATATATATATAACAAAACATGTGTGCAGTGTATACTGTGTGCGTATATGGCCATAAAATTAGGACGATTAATTGAACGATTTCCAAAATCATCATCCTGTGAGTCAATTGTCTTATAAAGTGATCAATATCGAAATGATAAACCAATCTGGTTGCCTTTTTATTTCACTTTACTGGAAGAATTTGGGAATACCTCGTCAATACATATCAGTTAATCATAAATGCGCGAGAAAAACTCTCAAAATTATTTTTCATCTTTATAAATATTTTGTTTGGCGCGAGACATTCTGAACCTTGGGAGAAAAAGAAGTACCTACATGATCTCATTTTCAATTACTATTTTACAACATGAAAAATGTTCTTGAATCAAAGTAATGTTTGAAAATATTCGATTTTGAGAGATGGTGGAGAATTCAGGTGGACCACTTCAATTTTTGAGCAGTTTATTTTCAGGACAAAAATAAGAAAATTTTATATGTGAAACATACATAAAATATGCCGTGTCCTTCATGGTTCCTTTACTTAGCAAGCAAGTAGAAGTTGCCTTGCCAACATGATGTTCTCTCGAACTGAAATGAATTTCTTTCGGTTGTTCTTTGGATTACAGGATAATCATGTTTCAGAGCAATATCATAAAGAAAAACCATCAGGGTTAACAACATATCTAGCTAGTTTAAACTATTTGTAATTAGTAGTTATAGTAGATAAACTGTAGAGAAACAATTAATTTATTTCTATTTATATATGATTTATCTAACAAAACATCGCATATTACATTCTAAACTTCAGTTTGTATAAAATCAATAATCAATTACAATGTGATCTGTAATATTCTAACATTATTTCTAATTTAGTGGAGGAACAAAATATAGAGTGAAAAATGTATAGATGTATTTGAAAAACTCCGCAAGCTTAACTTCTTCTTTATTATTGGTTAGAGGAAAAAAGGTAACTGTACTTGTGCAGGTCCCTTTTTTTTCAAAATCAACCAAAGCATAAGACAACTGTGGTTTCTTGAATGTATTTTTGTGTGCTCAGATGAATTCGAAATTATTCCTTGAATTCAACGATCCATCTTTTATACGAGTTATCTTAATTTTATCATCATTTTCAAAAGAGGTCTTCCTTTTACAGCAAACTCATAACTATAATGTCAACATAATCGATTCACTCAAAATCATTCCAAATTCAAGGCTATATATTTTCCACAAACGGAGCATTCTGCAACCCATGTTCTTGGAGATGTGTCTTCCTTCTATAAGAGAAGTGTTTCATCAATAATTGTTCTGGCTCACCCAATTTGAATTGAAAATCAAGTTGAATAGACGTCAAGAGTTCACGATATTATGATTCACATTATATGAACTGAGTAAATGTATGAATGACATATCATCATTGTAAAAAAATATCTGTGAAAGATTTAATAAACAAATTGAAACAAGCTGTCTATTTCTTGGAGTGAATCTTCGTACAACAAATGTCGAATTTCGATTCAGACAAACAAGATATCAACCCCCTTCCTAAAATATACGGCGCCACTGTCACATTCTGTAATTATAGCGCAGGGCCGGACCACAGTTGCTCGATTCTATTCTGCGGAAGAGGCTATGAATTTATATTTTGTCATACATAAACATGGAATAACCTCATCAATATCAAGAGAGGGAAAAGACAAGGGACTCAAAACAGAGGCAGTATTGATAACGCAGTAACACAGCATTCGAATTAATATGAAGAACCTAATTTTCTACTCCAAACTTGATCACCATTGAACATATTAGATCTACTAGATTAGTAATTTTGAATCCACTGTTTCTGGGTAGTCTAATTCATACCTAATACTGAGTATGAAATGAATATTCCGTACACAATGTCTATTTTGTTTTCTGACATACTATATAAACAAAGCGAAGCCGAGTACTAAAATGTTGCTAGTGATATTCTGACTTATTTTTCCCCGACTATTGTTTTTCTTCTCCAGCAGAGAATTTTTCTCAACCCCTGCACGTGATATAATCAGCTGTCATGATTAAACCGATATTGACGTGTCAACAATGTCTGGTACCACTATTCCCACCAATACCACTATATCTATGCTCCATATCACCATCAGCATCAGAAAATCAAGTCCAAAAGCTGTTTCACAAAAACTCGAATTCTCGTTCCGTGCGAAAATCTACTTTTCATGCACCTCTACAGCTTCTCATGATCTACAAAGCAAACATTCAGCCAGTTCTAGGATACTGTTCTCATGTATGGAGTTCAGCACCCAAACATACACTGATGCTCTTAGATTTAATCCTGAGACGAGCCATTCACCTGGTGGGTGATGCCACACTCACCAACTCTTCGGTCCCATTAGAACACCGACGGCGACCTTTCACTTCTCTATAGATACTTCTACGGTAAATGTTCCTCAGAAATACCTGCTATAATTCCATCAATAGCAATACCAGTCAGACGAACTCGAGAGGACGACAGGCCCAGTCAGCACATAACTTCGTCGATAACCTTGAAAATGTCGAGCAATACTCTACCAAAACTCGTTCGTCTATAGACCGGCGAAGTTTTGGAAGTTCAAAAAAAATTTACAACACTTTCCTACTCTCCCTATCCTCCCTATATAGGTACGCGCGATGTTCCACGAACATTATAGGCATTTCCTTTGGTGTGCTCCAAGAGATAGAAAAAAGTGAAGAGATGAATAACGGGACCATACAATAGTGAAGAAGAACAACAATGAAGCAATCTCAACAAAAACCGAATAGAGCATTCAATGAAAACTGATATTGGAGCTTCGCGAATATAGTCGTCCAATAATTATTGTTCTCTCCATGAGTATGAAGTTAGCAGCATGAGAGATGTAGGCTCTTTTGACATTTGGATGACTTAGTTTTTGAAAACCATGTTCACACAGCGCAAATCCGCCAATTTACTAGCATAGGCCCTTGATAAAAATTAAAACATGCAGTGAAAGTGTAATGAAGTTCGAGTTTTCTTTTTCATGAACTGACTGATTTCATGACGAATACCAAATGAAATGAAAGCTATATCAGACAAACCCTTGATTAGGTACCTGTTATTCAAAATTATAAATATTCTAATATCTGGTAATAAACTATAACAGTAAATTCCATGAGTTAATTCAAGTTATGAGTTTCCAGAACTCATAAAGATACATATAGAGATCAATGCACCTGATAATTATTAACAATAACGCAAAAAAATAATATCTTACTCAGACGCAGACAAAAGACATCAGTGTCTGATTTTGTCTACGGTAATTCATTTTCTTCACATGAGAAACAAGAAATAGTTTTATTGACCATGTTTCTTTATTTGCTGGTACGTTATACATGTGATAGCTTTTAAAATTCTCTAAAGTTGTAATACCGCTTGCCTTTTGTCGGCATTTATAAATGATAATTCCGCTATTTGTCGTCCAAGCGTTTACCAACAACTTTCCTTGGCTCATCACCAATAAATCTTCCTTCGCTTTATTTCCCAGAAAGAAATTGTTGGATCTGTTAATATTTGTTCTTTGTAAATTGAATCGGTTTTGTGTGTAAGAGGCGGTCGACAGTCCATATTTGATTTATATTTCCGAACAGGCATAACCATCGACTGATGAAGCTATACCTAGCTGTATTACTGTGTTGTAACAGTCTCGTATAATAGATCGGATCCACATCAGATATAAAAGAATAGGCGAATGGATTATTTTTTTTTTCTTAAACAGAATCCTTAACTCAAATACCTTTCAATTTCATATATTTCAAGAATGTTTCGGTCGATTTTTAGGTGGTAAAATCATCATATTGCCACGGTAATTTTCAAACGGTTAGAAATTTACCGCCAGTAAAAACTTGGGGAAGACCACTGATTTTTCAAAATGACATTATCGTGAACTCTATACTGAAAAACTACCAGCGAATTAATTTTGAATTTTGTTATTCATGCTAAGACGATGGAAAAAATAAATTAGAATATGTCCATTTCAAAACACACAATTCCTGCGCCATTTGACTGGTGCGACGTCTTATTCCCAACACGCCTATTGTCCTTGAACTGACCAATCACGCTGCAACACTGCAGAATGACGATGTATCAGAGAGAGATAGCTACAGTTCGGGACTAATACGTCACGACTCCATCATCATATTTGGCTGTTTGAAATATCGAATGAAATATGCTGATTTCAAAACGATATAGATTCGATTCCCTTCAACTTTAACTGATAATATTGAATGTACATCAAACGTAAATCATGATTCGTTCTTCTCTCAGTGGTCTTCCCCATTGCCATGTGTTAAAATACGATTGGGAACTGATAATAATAATTATTCAATAATTCATAAATTCACAATCAAGTATTGGTAATATTCCTAATTAGCATTGAAAATTCAATTGTATCAAAATGTTCCCTTATGATTTGTGGTTTATCGCTCATAATAAATTGGTGTTAATGATAATTTTATTAATTCACACTAGAGGACATTTGAGTCGGTGAACGTGACAGCAGCGCACGAATTGTGAGCGTGGTCTTGTCAGTTTTCAGCACAATGTTGCCAAGTCTCCAAAATATTCATGAAATTTTGTTATGAAGAATAAGAACTTGATTATAATTGATGACTCGACAACCTTGCTTCATGAATGGAAACGGAAGATTATCTGACCAATAACTGAAGAGCATAAAAACTGACGTTACCATTCATTCGACGCATAGTTCGACGTATCGCCAAATGGCGGCCATGACGGTTCGATGGGAATCAACTCTGAAATTCCAACAATTTCGATCAACGCATAGATACATCATTTACGTGAAAAAAGCTTCAGAAGTGTTACAAAAATTAATTTAGGTTCCTAACGACACGGTGAAGTAATTGAATGCCAATAATTCATTATCAGTCCACTCGCCCATTAATGATTGCTGCATATACAGGGTGCAGCAAGGAAAACAACCTCTTCTATATTGTGGACTATACGACTTGAAAGTAAATATTTTCCTTGTCGAAATGAATATTCAACAAATATGTTTCAATTTCATCAAATGAAACTTCCTGTATATATTTAGGCCAAGTGTTCTAGAATTGGGTTAAGAACAATTTCAGTACGTATCTCTTCTCAGCATGACTTGCATTAACAATAATTAAGGTGAATGACAACTTCTTGTATGTATAGGTATAAAGGCCTGATTTTCCAGGGAAAATAAGAATGTTTCATTATTTTGAAGTACTAACTCATACTAGTTCACTGTTCACGATATTTCTGAGATGAAAAATACTGTAACCAATCCAGTGACACTATATACGATACGGCTTGTGTATTGTGTATATCTCAGTACACTTCCACGGTGAAAGTGAATTTTTATCGCTATGTGTAATGAGGATATACTTTCTCACTGTATTTCTTCATAAATATATCCGTTTTTTTTATGTTTATAATTATATCTGAGGATATTCCTTTTCAATAGGATATACTTTCATTGGTTGGTGAGGGATATGATATGCTTATCGGTGTTATAATAACTCAAAATTGAGGAAGCAAAAACATGAAAACACCAAATGAACAAATTTCAATCAACTTTTCGATAGAAATATTATATTGGTATGATGCTAGAAACACCTTACTACATTTTGGCACCTCGTTCCTGATGCGTTCCTGTGTTACTGGTAGTCGATATTTTTTATGTGGCTCGATCATAATTTGGAGGTCGATTTGTGGTCGAATGTCGATTTCTGAACTATCATTATTATTGTAATTTACTTTCAGTCTTCGCGCATTCCTGATATATTAGTTCGAAGCATAAGGTTAAATATGCAAGCAAAAATTTGGATAATAAGAACACATTAGAGATGTGGACTGATGAAAAACTGACTGAAAAACCTCAAATTTACAAATCTGGTCCCACTGGACGCACTGTATATATCATCTGAACGATCTAAGCAGCAAACTCGATTTTGAATTAGTCGAACTTCTGTGGTAAATCCAATTATACTTTGATGGCTTCGAGTTAATTACATTAGAAGCGTTTTATACAGAAAAACTTTTAGTTATGACCGTTTTTCCGTTTGTGAAGCACTATAATATAACAAGAACAAAGAGAAATGAGAAAAATTCAAGCTAAATTACGGGAACTGAATGAAGAAATATAGTTGCAGATACTAATTTCATGCTGATATACGTAAGTGGAGTTTGAGAACACGATATCATCAAAGTCTCGGTACTGGTTTTATGTTGGATGAGTTAATTACTTCTTGTGTGCTCTGTGGATTATATTATATTACCAAGAGGATATCAGGATATCAATCAATATTTTTATCCCTTCTTCATAGAAAACGATTCACAACAAAAAAATATAGAAAAACAACTAGCACACTTAGAATGGGGAAACTTCTTATATTGAGAATATCATATTTTCATCTTATTTTAGAAAAATTCAACACTTGATTCCTTTCATTTTGCGATTGAAATTGACTTCAGAATAGTTATTTTTGTATCTAGAGCGGGAAATGCTACTTTGGTGATCGAGATCTGATTTTTTTAACGAGGCGTAGCCGAGTTAAAAAAATAGTCGAGATGACCAAAGTATTTCGCGCTCGAGTTGCAAACAACATTTTTTCTACAAACGTCATAAAATATAATTCTATAGTAAAAATATGCTCAGCTTGATATGAAAAATAGTGTTGAACTGGCTTAAAAGGCCTCCCCCTATCCTCCCTAGGTACGATGATGTTCCACGAACATAATAGGAATTTCCTTTCGTGCGCTTCAAGAGATAAAACAAAATTATTGTTGAACATTCAGAAATAAATGATTTCGTGGATGTTTCCTCGATTGAGGACCATAAAGTTGAAATATAAATATCTCATATATTTTACATAACAATGCGCGAAGTACCTACTGTTTTACTTCGCGCATTGTTTTGTGCAAGGTATCATGGTAACGTAGGAAACTAAAAAAAAGTGTCACTTCGCAATTTGTTATCAATGCGCGAACCTTGTCATTTTTGGACGTTTGTAGAAAAAAGTCATTATTCAGAAATTTGGCAGTTTATACAAAATATCACCTTGAAAGTATAATGAAGGTCAAGGTTTTCTTCTTATTTGTATGTACTTACTCATTGTCTCGATTTTTATTGTCACGAATGCCTGATAAACTGATAATTGAAGACAAAACATATTATCTTCATACATTGCAATCGCATTGTTAGTGATTTTAGTTTTCAATAACAAAATAACTAACACTACCAGTATCCTAACATGATCAGTTTTTCAAATTATGAATGATATCTCACAACATTGCATTCTTCCTCGACCAGACTTAGACTTGCACCACTGAAAAGCCCTACTTTTTATTTGTTGGCCTACTACAGGGGTCTTCACAAAGTTTCTTGTTCATGATCACAGAGTCATTGGCGTAACTACGGGGGCTCCCCTCAGGCTCCCCCCCCCCGCTCCAGGATGTTGAGGCCCCACCCCAGAAAGCCCAAAACAACATATGAAATTTGCTTACACACCATTTATGTATTACCTCCCGAAAATACACTTGAAAATTGAAAAACACGAACGCCAAGTTATTTGGACAGTGTTCATTCGAAAAAAATCATCCGTAGAAAAATCATGAAATAATTTCTTGGTCAAACAGGGGAACAGTCACTGATATTTTAAAATTGCATGAATTTTCGGTTCGACATTCTAGGCATATAACTTTGCTACAGTCACAGAATAGATAGAATATGCGATATATCTACAGTTCACAAAAAGTAACTGCTATACAGGGTGTTATTTAAGTACGTGGCCAAACTTGAAGGGGTGATTCTTTGAGTGATTCTAAGACAAAAATTTCATATAAACATAGGTCCGGTAATGCATCGTTTTCAAGATACAGGGTGTCAAAATGTTTAAAAGAAATTGTTTTTTTCGTAAATATCTTAATAACCCTTCAACCGATTTTATTGGAATTTGGCAGTGTTATTCAAGGTCGTAAAGGGCTAATTTAACCCTAACTATATCAAAATTATCATGTCCAGTGGCGTCCCGGAAGGCACTGTAACCAATATTTTTGACAGAAAAAATGTGCGCCACTGATTTTTTTGCAATTTTTGTATTTGTTTCACATTGAGCAACTGAAATTACAACTTTTTTATATCTAGAATTTTTTTCGTATCTTGTTTTGTTTTTGAGAAAAAACATAAAAATCAATTCATGGCACGTCCCTGGCACAACACAATAAAAAATTGTTTTTATAGAGTTTTTAATGATTACAGGTGAATCTGTTATGCTTAAAAATTGTTTGTTTCATTTGGCCAGTGCGTGCATAGTGGTAACGCCGGAATAACACTGCCAAATTTCAATAAAACCGGTTGAAGGGTTATTAAGATATTTACGAAAAAAACGATTTCTTTTAAAAATTTCGACATCCTGTATCTTGAAAACGAAGCATTACCGGACCTATGTTTACATGAACTTTTCGTCTTAGAATCACTCAAAGAATCACCCCTTCAAGTTTGGCCACGTACTTAAAGAACACCCTGTATATATACAAGTACATATCATGTCTGCAAGACTTGATTAACACCCATTTTTCCCAAAAATTACTGGTGGCACTTCTACGAACAGATCACACATACACACTTTGGAGATATTCCCAAACTTAATTCAAGACTGTATCTTGAACTAAATCAATATCTATATTTCCAAGGCCCATTGAAATTTTTTTCCAACTAACAGAACGGAGATCGAAACATCGAATAGGAGTGATCAGAACTCTCTTCAAGACTGAATAACTGAATCTGAATACTGACTATTACTGATAATGATAGAATCTGACTGCATTATTATATTCCTTACAATATTTTCAACAATCGTTTCTACAATTGATCAAAGTCAGGTCTGCATAAACATGATTGTGAAAGCGCCATCTTGAGATTGCAATCTTCCGGTTTTAGTGACACCAACTCGGAAATTGTTGAAATTCCGCTTCAAAACGATGAAATCAAACCTCACCAACATTCCTGATCCAGGCGGCCGTTACCAGCTGGGTGACGTCTTTGGCTTCGGTGTCTATGGCAAAGTTTTTTCGGCGAACGATACGCAGGTATGGAGCAAGAATAAAACAAATAGGTTCAATTGGAATCTCTTCATAATTATGTCGTGATTTCAACTCATGTAGTGTTTTGCAATATCATCAAGATTATTATGCCAGAATTTCAACTCAGTACATTGAAATTTCGACTGAACAACTTGAATGGTGAACGTATCTATGTCAAAATTTCAACATGATGATTTCCGCGATAATACAAGTCGTCTTTGGCTTGTGATTGATCATATTATGTATGAATTTTTAGACAAGTGGAATAGTCGCTTCACTCATCTTGAGATTCTTACATAACATAATATATGACCAACTGCCAGCCAAAGACTTCTTGTGTTATCGCGAAAACACAAGCAGTCTTTCAATTCTGATTGGTCTAACAGCGTTGGTGTTTTCAACGATGTGTCCATGGATAGCAAGGGAAAGTCTGTCAGTTCGACATAAAATAATTAAGGCTGTAGATGTCAGAATGGATCGCTTTGACGAGGCTTGTTCAATCATAATAGATGCTTCTAATGCTTCTTGAAATAGTCTAGCAAAATACCACTTTGTTCTGAATGTCTCCTCAGAATTCTGTCCCTCATTGTTAATTGAATTGTGTTGCCGTTCAGTAATACCACTCGTCCGAACGGAAACGTGGTGTTGCTCGGCTACAGAATTTCAAGATGAGTGAAATAGTCGATATAATTAGTTTTGATGGTTTCACTAATACGCTTCTGTACACAGGCAAGCGATAAGAAGGTGGCCATCAAGCTGCAGAAGTCCGGACCTGAGACAGAGAAGTTCATCGAAGAAGAGTACAAGATACTGAGGGATCTGAGCGCGCATGCGAATATAGTAGACTTCTATGGGGTGTTCAGGAGATCCGAAGAAATATGGTTTATTCTGGAGGTACATTACATAAATACAAATCGCAATGATTATTACTCGCCGATAGAACTAGATGAAATTATATTATCTCTATCTATGAACATGTACATCTACGCAGAACAGACTATTCAACAAATGTTGCCTCAAATATTACAATATGGTGTAGTTAATTTGCAATCTTCCAGAAATATTGCAAAAATATCGTATTTGTACATTGCGATTCCAATATATTGAGACATGTTGCTGCATACTGCAATATCACTTTTAGCTGTTTGTGTTCTTGCAGGTGGAAATGAAGACTTGAGAATTTTTATTGACGTCGATTTATCCTTTCATACTTGTGGAAATGGATTTTCTCTGCTGCAATGTTCAAGATATTCCTACCTCCTTACTCACAATGTTTATGACTCTATCATTCTAGAGTATACAAAGTGACACAATAACTACGGGAGAATACAGATTGCTTTATTTTCATTGATAAATGTCGCTCATATAGTAATCTGATTCGCACTGAGAGTATTGTTTCTCACTGTAATGAAGCCAGCTTGATTGCTAGACTGGATTTGATGATTAACTAAGTAGGTACCTGAAACTTATCTTATTCTGATTTCGCACTTGTTCGAAAGCTCCAATGACAAAAACTTGATAAATCTGATTAGGTAATTAAATAATTCCTGACTTTCGAAACCTTTGACTCATATTTGACTCAGATAACAACCCTTAAAACCTGACCTTCTAACCTATTTTTTAGAATTGTGGATGTTAACATGATCTTAACTTTCTTGATTTTGAATACTTCCGATTCAAATTCATACAGTAGCCTAAGAAGAGGTACTAGATCCTTTCCCTGTGTTCATTTGCTTTCGAGACTCAAATTCAGCAGATTTCTGAAACCATGACAAATCACTCAATGAGAAGTTCAACCAATTAGAATCAAAGATTGGCTAGGGAAACTGTCTTTTCGGTGCTCTCCTGTGACTTCTGATCGTTCTCTCTGTTGATTCTCTCTTGATTTGTCCCAGTGTTAAGTTTTGTAAAGTTAATTCTGTGTTGGGCATTGCTTTTCTGTTAGTTTGTATCTTTTGTCTATGTCACAATTTCATCCTGTGTATAGTTTAATTTCATTTCTGTTACTTTTCATATCCCATCATTTTCAAACCTGTATCATGAGCCCAGAGAAGCTGTTGTATTTTGCGTACCTTTCAGCTCTTGAAGTTTAACTATACTAGTCCGAACGGGCTTGTAACACTTGAATTTGACGAGCGTGTTTCCCAAAAATCATTTCTCAAATCTGTATCAAACCATTCTAGTACTTCACGAAAGCATTGCATAAAACAATAAATAAATATCTTTCGAATATGAGTTATTCTCTGGTGGACTCCATCTCGCATACATATGTTGAATGCGGCCGTATATGTGTAATGAATTTTCAGTTAAGTTATTATGTGCCCGCGAACAACAAATACAATTTATATTTATTGTTCTCGTCTTGTGGTAGGCCAATAAAAGTTTATTGATTGATTTACGATTATGATTTATACATTGTTCGCAGCCGTGCGAAGGAGGTCCAGTTGTCGATCTGGTGAATGCTTTACTAGCAAAAAACAGACGGATGGCCGAAGAACATATCGCATATGTCATCAAGGAGACTGTCAAAGTAAGTTCAGGCATGTGCAACATCGAATATTTTTAAATAGAATTCGAAAAATAACAGCTCATCGGGTTGTACATCATTTTAGTAGGTTAATATAGCAAAGGAAATTATTTCCAAAATATATATGAAAATTCCACACTAGTGATTTCAATATAGTTAAATTGGGTTTTCATGACAAATTACTATAGTAACGTATGTATTTTAGTGGATTTTTTTTCTGTGCCACTTCAATTGGGTAGAAATCAACAATTGATAGGCTAAGAATTCATTGATGCCCTAACTGCATCTATTATTATAAAGAATGTCATACCACTACCTGGCATAGAGTAAGGCGTTATGGAAGGCTGAAATTCGAAATCTCTGGTACTGATACGCTTCATCAGGAAGATAATTTTTGTCTTCCGATAAGAGTACCGTTCTCATGTAATTTTTTTTGCTCTATCAAATGCTTCTATTTAATTTTATTCAATACGAGGAAAAATTGTTCTACAAAAAATCATGACCCACCCACTTTTAACACCCTCTTATTACAATTTCAGAAATGTAAAAGTGTCAGAAAAATGTATCTTATCAACATACATTTATGAGGGAAATATCGATCTGGTGGTTTCAACCGTTGAGACGTTATGGGGAAAAAGTATTTTAATTATCTCCCTTAATATACATTTTGGGCCATCAGTTCATTTATCAAACTATACTTATTTTCCAATGTTCTATCACTTTCAGAAAGTTTGGACTCACCCTGTATACTGATTTATTATTTTTCTCTTCCTAGGCAGTTGTCCATCTTCACGAAAACAATGTTATCCACAGAGACATCAGAGGCAGCAACATACTCCTAACTAAAGAAGGAGAAGTGAAACTATGCGACTTCGGTTTGTCAAAGAGAAGAAGAAGCCAAGAGGAAAAACTTTCCGATTGTGTTGGATCACCTTGCTGGATAGCTCCTGAAGTAGTGATTGCTGAAAACAATGGAGACGGTGGATATGACTCCAGAGTAGGTATAATATTTTCGAAGCTCTTGGCTCTTATGGTTGCAAATAAACATCGACTTGGAATCGTTGAAGAACCAGGAACATGAAATGACATCTATCGAAATTTGAGAACAGCAAAATAGCGGAATCTATCCAGCTAGAAGAGGTTCTATTTCATTCTTTATGTCAAGTCATGTTCAATGCAAATTCTCATCACAGTGAACTTTGATCTGTATTCTTCTGTTATATCTTTTTCGATGATATTTCACATTGTTAGATCATTATATATGTCGATTTGTCTTCTCTTCAGTACGAAGTTGTTCTGTTTGGAATATTCAATTTTTTTTATATATCTAGGCTGATGTATGGTCGATTGGAATAACGGTTATTGAATTAGGAGATGGTAAGCCTCCTCTTCAGGATATGCATCCAACTAGAGCTCTTTTCCAAATTGCAACAAATCCACCTCCAACAGTATCGAAGCTTTCCAATTGGTCAGAAAATTATCACGATTTCATCAACGAGTAAGTATAACTGGTAATATGTTTTGTTCATCAGGCTCATGACTTATTTTGAAAAATTTCCATTTTTATATCATCCATTTTTACTGAGACCTTCCAAACTCAATTATTAAAAAAAACATAATTGTATTGAAATATTGCTCAAACTTATTCCATATAGTCATAAGATGTCTTTCCCTGAATAGAAATTTATTGAAGATGTCAAGTGGCCTGCCTGGTAGGTATATACAAAATAATTATAGAAAATACTGAAATATGAGTTTTTGTTTGAGTGCATGTACCGTTCAATTATCTTCACATTAGAGTTTGCTTACCTGTACTTTTTTGTTTGCAGATGTTTAGTGAAGAACTATGATCATCGTCCATACAGCATAGAACTCATTGAACATCCATTCCTACAGCAAGTTCCAGAAAATAACCATCATGTAAGAATGTATAGGGCGATTCTCTTAATTCAGGCCCATTAAAATTTTGTCAATTATTCCAAGTGCTATAAGAATGTAGGGGATTTACACTATTTCAGCTATATAGACAAAACGAAGTTATGCTATGAGGGTTGAGGTGATTGTTTTTATAGCCTAAAAAAGGTGTATGTATAGAAGAAACCCAACATATTCGGGATTACATTTTTTTATTGCTTTTTGTCAGGAGTGTGCGAATATTGGATGTAAGGAATTTTCAATCTGCTATTTTCTTATAGAATACAAATTTCAATTATTAGAAACCCACTACAAATTGATTATCAGTTTTTGGTAGTCAACTTGATAATTTTGACACTACTTTGAATCAATTTTGATGGAATAGTTTATACATTTCATGAAAAAAATATCCTTGAAAATATTGATACATCGTTGATGAGTTCAAGAGATATATCAATTCATTAGAAATAAAGATTTCTTATGCCCCTGTTGGAATTTCACTTTTGCAAAAGTTCTTTTATCCGGTTTTTGGAGGGATGATCAAGTGAAGGAAGTTTCTTTAAGGAAGTATCGAAGTATAGTCTATTCAAATTAAATATCAGGTAGATGCAGTTGATCTTGCTTCAACAAGGTTTGAGACAAAAGACCAGATGAAGAGATTCCACCTTCCAGAAACAGATGGCTTATTGCCTTCCCGTTAGATCGTCCGCAAACACTTTTTGTCCTCTGCAGGGATGCCAGTTCCACTGAATTTTCAGTAGATCTTATGATTTGCATATTGATCTACTGATCTACTGAATCATTTCATAACCTACTGAAAAATATTTCGACACTTATTCATTATTATAATTATCCATATTATCATTAATCTTCAGTTAATCATTTACGCTTATAAATTGCATGCACGCTCTGATTGAATTAACTTCACAAAATAAGTAATAAACTTACATAATAGGTACTATAATGATATTTATAAACCAAAAAAAGGACATTACTTCATCTGTATCAGATAACATAAATTTTTTATATACCTCTGTTATAACTGTTTGTTTCTCACGTTCAATTTTTTTGTATTTTGTTGTTCATTTTTACTATTCGTTCCTGTTTTTTATATACTCAAATCTTATAAGTACCTATGTAACTATATTTTGTGATATTTTATATCCTTTGGAGTGCACGAAAGGAGATTCCTATAATGTTTGTTCTGTTTGTTCTTATTTTGTTGGAGATAGGTTGCTTTTCTGTTCGATAAAAGTACATATTGTTTTGATCTCATAGGTTCATTTCATAATTCTTTCTTGGAATTCGTATGGCAAAAATAAATCTGAATTTTTGACAAGGTATTTACTGATGAAATAAAAAACGATCTGGCAACCCTGGTCCGCGCGAAGAGTGAGTTGACAACAACTGTCATTTGCTGTTAACAAATTAATAATTCACGGAATCCGATAGATCCCACGTGTAAATAGAACCGTTTGAGGTCGACGAAAAAATGTAATGTGCAACTCGACAAAAAACTGCCTATTGTCTAGCTATCAATTTGAAGACTTGACTATAATAGACAGTTTTTCGTCCTTGGTACATGAATAACTACTAATAGTTATTTGACTATTGACTAAAGATGGCCATTTTAAAAATCGAAACATGTATCAAATAGAGTTAACTTGGAATCAAATTAGTGGTGACGACTACGAGACTTTTTTTTGTTTTTCATCACCATTTTTTGTGTGCCATCAGTTATCCCTTGAGCTGAAATCTCTCGTATTCGACGTTGGCTTGACATATCCAACAAAACGAAAGCCTGAGAGAAGCGTCAACGGAAAGCTCTTGAAGAAGGGCATAGATGACAGCATGGAACCGATGTATGAGGAAGACTTAGCAGCTCTACCCACGATCAATGAACGGGAAGTCTTGGATCTGCTGCAGAAGAGATTCGATTTGGGACAATGCTATTCTTTCATCGGAGATATATTGCTATCGCTCAATCCCAATGAGAAAAAGAAAATGTTTGGTAAAGAGGTGAGCAGAGTACTTTTGACGGTTTTTCATTCAAATGTATTCGACCTTGAACTCGCTAGTTTCGAAAATAGTTATTTATGCAACAAGTACAATAAACAATTTTTGCACGAGTTGCATACAACATTTTTTCTACGTTCATGCAAAAAGCAAAAAATGATTTATTGAGGTGCGGCACTAGGTACAATTCTGTTAATTGTCAGAATTAATTTTTGACTGACGTTTCTATGACCACAGTTTGCACTAAGTGCAATGAAGAACTTCTTTTTCCACTAAATATACTTCAATGAAGTTCTGCTTTCTGCATGAATGTAGAAAAACATCATTAGAGGAGGCAATATAAATATATACAGTGTGTCCCTCTTCAAGTAAATGCATTCTCGTATTTTGGTGTCACATGACCGATTCAATCTTTCATTCTTTCAAAATGTACTACCATTATACTTTAAATACTTAATTCAATGCGTTCGAATTTCAGAACATCAAGTCAAGTACTGAAGTAGCTTCTTATCGGTCGGCACTGTCGGCAGCTGTGTTCAAATTATTCATTTTACACAAACGATCAAGAACAAACTATATGATGAGTTATTCGATTTCGTCAACTGCACAATGTATTTGCCCTAGTCTCAAATACCCATGTACAGAGTTTCATCAAAATCATCTACATGTTGCGCCAAATTGGACACTTTAAAAGGGATTTCACAAAAGTCCAATTTTCAAAGTAGGTAGATACAACTGATCGATTGCCCTATATTCGTGTATCAGAATTGTATTCATGAAAACAAAGAACTTCTGAAAAAAATTAGTTTCGGTTTCAGCCACTTCTCACAAATGCAAATTCTGGTGCATGCGCGAAGCACTTCGAGTATTCTAATAAATGGCGAGTACGCCAGTGTTTATATCGATATTTTTCATTTCTTATTGATCGTACCATTTCACTTGAATTTATAAAACATTTGCTATATCCGTCAAATTGGTCGAAAATTGAGGATCATTTTTCAAGCATCCTCTCATCACATACCCAACTGTACCTTTTTCTGTACATCATGATTTCTGATCACACGCGTTATTGAATTAATTCAATTGCAGAGTTCTATATCAAGTGTTATAACATGTTATAAGTACCTCGTCTCGTCTTCTGGAATGAAAACCTTTCTTCAAGTGTTATATGAATTGAGGAAATTTATATGTCCTACAACTTACAGGAGGGGGTCGAAATCTATTACACAGGGTCACACAAGTAAAGCATGAAACATATCATAATATTGATACATGGGGCTCTTTTTATATAAATATATAGTCTTGAATTCAGAATTGATAGTGAAAATGTGAATAACCATGAAATCTATAAATTTGTTATGATGTTAACGGCTTATTCTATACTGATCTATACACAATATACTTAAATATTTTTCATTCTCCTTTAAGCATATCCATTCTGATTTTCGTTGTTCACTATTCAATTCAAAATTGGGCAATGAAGTTTCTGTATATTGTTTTCATTGATGTAATATGCAGTTTTCACCATGGAAATTCCCCATTTGGATTCTTCCTATTTTGCTTTTTACAGCCTGTATATTGGGTCCTGATGAGATTTTGTATCCGGGTATCTGAGACATACCTACTCGAATGAAAAATTATATCACTTTGAAATAGGCAATTACTTACGACGGCTTATTGGCGCCATATTAATCTCTTCAATTTATTTGTCAGAATGTTGAAATTTGATACGAGACAAACTCTCTTATCTTGGTTTGATTTTCAATCACAGTAATACGAGGGTGATAGAATTTGAAGCAGGACATATTGAATAGTTTTCCAAAATAAACAAGAATTATATTCTTCATCGCAGTTTCACCAGAGATATCAATCAAAATCCAGATCTGACAACGCACCACACATCTACGCTATTGGAGATACTGCGTACAAAAACGCCCTTCATCACTCTATCCCTCAACAAATAGTTTTCTCAGGCGAAACTGGATCAGGAAAAACTACCAATTACCTTCATCTGATCGACCACCTATTCTTCTTGGGTGAAAAGACCAGCATCAGCTCATCCAGGATCAAGAATGCTGTGAAATTGGCACATTCACTTATTCATGCTTCTACTCCTTCGAATGTTTATTCTACTAGAGGCGTTTTCAAGTCTAAAATATCATACGGAAATACAGGAAAACTTAGTGGAGCTAGTTTCACAGTGCACTGTTTGGAGAAGAGTAGAGTTTCTTCAATTGATTCGTAAGTGTTTCGTATTGAAATATTCATTAATTCCTAAACATCCTAATCTCTCACAGGAAACAAGGTAACTTCCATATATTATTCTATCTTTACGATGGAATGGTGGCAGCAAGCACATACGAAAAATACAAACTGAACCCGAACAGGACCTACCGTTATTTGAGAACCTCAGAACATTCTGATCTTCCACAGCCCAAAAACGACATCGATAGCAACATCAACAAATACATCTTGTTGTGCAGTTACCTGGATGAACTGGAATTCACTATGGAGCAAATAATAACAATCCATTCAATAATAGCAGCCATTTTGAATCTTGGCGAAGCTAGGTTCGAAGAAGCAGACAATTCAAAAGCTGTTCTGCAGAACAAAGAAGTGACAGATAACTTTGCCGAGCTTCTGGATATTGATAGCAAAAAGATATCTTGGGCCTTGACAAACTATTGCTTGCTAGATGAGGGTAACGTCATAAGGCGAAGAAACAGTTGCGAGGAAGCTAGAGAAGCCAGAGACGTTCTAGCGAATACACTATACGCAAGATTTGTCGACTATATATTGAGTATTATAAATAATAAGTTAGCGTTCGGTAAAGCTATATTGTGAGTATAAATTAAAAACATACATATCTAGAAGTGCGCGTGTATATCATCTGAGTGCTTATACATATAATTAATTTCATCCCAGGTGCATCTATGAATGTTTGTATCTTAGAATGAGGGACTCATTACAATGCCACCTAGAAGATCATTTGTTCCTCTTCCTGCTGCTGAAATACTGTGTAGTCCCAGTGCATGTAGCAGGTCCTCATAATATAGTCCTGTTTCCTTCAGGGAACTTGAGATCGATGTAGGACGGTTTCAGTTTTAGTTTATGTATATCTGCTTTTGCTTTTTGATACTGTCCCAAAAATGGTGCTAATTAGATTCGCAGAGAAGGGCATTCAGACAGAATATGGATAGATATTCATTTTCTTCCTAACTCATTGAGGTATCCTTTCAGTCTGCAATGCGTTGTTAAGACATTCCGTCAGTATTCGGAGCTTATTCTTGTAATCTTGTCTTGCCTAATTCGCTCTCTTGTTCTTCTCGAATCCAAAGAATGGAGATTCAGTATTTTTGATCACCTATCTAGTCCTCATCTATTTTCCCTTGTGAACATAGGATAGGAGTGTTACTAAGAGCTGACTATGCTAGAAAACCAGGCAGATTGACTAGATGTTAGATGATGCTCAGATATTGGAGAAAGAAATGATCGAAGTTATAATGTTTCTAATATACACAATTTTCATTACTATTTCCAGTGGTGACAGATATTCTATAAGAATTCTAGACTACCCTGGTTTTGAATGTTTCAAGAATAATGGTTTCTCTCAACTCCTAGTCAACTCCCTGAATGAACAACTGCATTACCACTTTCTACAAAGAGTTTTTGCTTGGGAGTTGCAAGATAACCAGAACGAAAATGTGGAATACACTCCAATAACATATTATAACAACAAAGATGCTTTGAACGAACTGATGGGAAAGCCTGAAGGACTTTTCTCAATCGTGGATGATGCATCTAAAAAAGGTCATGGGAGCAGATATATAATAGGTGTGTGGGTTATATTCCTACAGGAATTACTTCCTATTGAATTCATCAAGAACTTCAGCTTCTGATTCACTTATGAATTCATTTTTTTTTGCAGAAAACTTGAATAGTGTAGAAAAGAAGAAAGTACTTGCTACTCAGACTAATAAATTTGCTGTAGCTCATTTTACTGGGAAGGTGACATATAATGTGAGGGACATGTCTGAGAAGAATAGAGATTATCTATCCCCAGAAATAATCGAAACAATGAGAAGTTCAAAGAATCCGATAGTCAGTATGCTATTTTCCAACAAACTTGATAGAACTGGAAATCTGATTGTCCCTTCAGAAGAAATCAGGAAATCAAAGTATAGGTATTCTCCGAAGGTATAAGTCATTATTCTTTTTTAATTCGCAATCATTTATGAATATGTATACTTCATCATAAAAAATTGATTTCACTCTAATACAATTTAACATTCATAGAGAGTGTTAAAGAAGTTATGAGGAATTTACTTTAACAGGATGGAAATTGCATAATAACGAAGTTATCATTAATTGAGATTTTTTATCTATGAAACGAGTTACAAATTCTAATTTTCTTAGCCTAGGCCAGAGATGATTCCGCACGATTCGCTGTTGCGTTCCAATCAACAGTGCTTCTAAGGTGGCGTCTCTATGAACTTTAAACCCCAAATCGGTCAGTGATTTACCATGTATGACCGATTTTATGTTGAAAGAATTATTTCAGGAGTTGTAATGCTTTAACTTCTGTGCGTTTGACTACTTATTCACAAGATCCACAACTGCATAGTCTAACAGGTCCAATTATTTTCCAGATATCTATAGATAAACAATATTCACAAATAAAAAAAATGCGAACCGAATCCACTGTGTTTCGCGCTCTATGCCTAGATCTTCTGAAGGAACTCTCAATTGGCATTGGACTCGGAGGCACGCACTTCGTGAAGTGTATAAGGACAGATTTAAAAGGAGTTCCTGGAAACTTCCACAGCGAGCTTATCAAACAACAGATAAGAGCGATGGCAGTAGTTGAATCAGCCAAAACCAGACAGCAGGGATATCCGCAGAGAATTTCTTTTTCGGAATTTTTGAGAAGGTTTGAAAAAATCGTGTTCCAAATTGAAATTATGATATTCACTTTCTGGTTCTAGGTACAAATTTTTGGCATTTGATTTCGATGAAAATGTTGAAATCACAAGAGACAACTGTAGACTGTTGATGGTTCGATTGAAAATGGAACATTGGGCTCTGGGTAAATCCAAAGTATTCTTGAAATACTATAACGAAGAGTATCTTTCACGGTTATATGAGACTGAAGTGAAGAAAATCATAAAGATACAAAGTATTCTCAGAGGATTTTTGGTGAAATGTAGGATGGCGAAAGAAATAAAAATGGAACAAAGAGAATGCAGTAAGTTGTGATAATAATATTCTTCTATCTGAGATATGGAAAAATCATATATTTGTCTTGTTTTCAGTCGAAGAAATTAATAAACGAAGGAGAAGTAGTGCTTTAACGGAAGAAGAAGCAGCTGTGCTAATACAAAAAGGTAATTTTACTATTCTTGTAACATTGTCATCTCGAAAATATCTTATGTAATTTTTCAACAACTCAAGCTTACAGAAACAATTTCAAGAGAAAAGAAAACATTAATCCCTACCAAAAACTCGAGGAAGACGATCTCAACTTCATCAAGCCATTCGCCGGAAAGTGGAGAACCAAATCGGTTTTTTCGGTTCTAATGCTTTATAGGAGCATTAAATCACAAGATTTCTTCAATTTAGCGCAACAGGTGAATCACTCTCTATAATTCATAACATTTTATTGATTCGATCATAATTACTTACGAGGGATTTAGCTTGTTGGTTTTTCATAATTCCTTCCTGAAGGAGTATACCACAATTAGTGCAATATATTTGTTTCGATAATAAATCTGACTTCTTCTGCTAAAAAGATAACATCAGTCTAATATGTATGATATGGTCAGTTGAGTATTATGTGTAAAATGTTTTGACAACGTGGGATTTTCATTACTGAGATACTGTAACAAACAAAAATTGTAGGTTCATTTATATAATATGGATGCTTTCCACAACTCACAGAAAACCACAGATATTAATCTAGAAGACATTGATTCAAAAGCAACAGTTCCTTCATGGCTTGGTTCAACAAAAATTTTTATGCTGAAACAGCAGTTCAGACTAGAAGATATTCCATTTTACGATACGTCTAATATGTGTGATGTCCTAACCAATGTTGGGTAAGGTAATACTGTTTATGTGCCATTCATTTTGTTCCTGAAAAATCGTTTTTAGGAGTTATTCGGAAAGAGAAGAACCCTGGGATACCCCTTATATCTGGAGAAAATCCAAATCAACCACCAAAGAAGACGAATCAGAAGATGAGCAAGATTTGAGAGAAACACTCACCAATATAACATATAACAGAGACCCAAATGACGAAATGACGATACTTCCGAGTCCGGTTGAATCTGAAGATGATACCAAAGAAACAAAACAAACTGTCAATCAAGCCTTGAAACTAAGTAGATCTCCATCAGTCATGAAACATTCGCCTAAAAGAAAATTCACGGAAGAGTGTTCTGTGAAGATTGATAAGCCATTTTCCGGTAATCTACGAAAAGTAGATGACCGAAAGAACAAAATGGAGCAGGACCTTCTGAAGAACTCTGCACCCGCCAATAAAGATTTCGATTATATAAAACCCAGCCCAGTTGTGGTGAAGCCAAAGTACTCGGTGGATCCGGTAGCTGAGCTGAGGAGCATAGCTAGAAGAGATCAGAGCTCTTCTGAAGATGACCCCCCGTTCAACTTCCAGGCGATGTTGAGGAAAACGAATTTTCAGAGAGAGTCTGTGAAGAAAACGGTTCAGAATATAAGGAGGTTCTCTTTGAAAAAGAGTCAATACGAGGAAGACTCAAAAATGATGAATGGTGATGTTGAAGATGAGCCTATTCTGACTAAACCTGTCTGTTTGGAGTTATTTCCTGGATTGATAATGGAGGGACTTGAAATAGAGCTTTGAATCATAGAAGGCATAATCAGAATGTGAGGTGTTATTATACAGGGTGTTTCAAAAAAACCTGACCTCTTCACTAGGGTAGGTAGAACACTGGAAAATAAGTTGGGTTTTCTCCGTAAAGAAATTTCGTTACGGCATCCGTTATCAAGATACAAGATGTTGAAAAAATGATTTTTTTACACATTTTTCAAGATTATGTCGAAACTACTGGCAACATTGTGATGAAATTTTGTATGGATGATTCTTGGAATCTGACACATTGCATGCATTTGTTTTTATTCCTGACTCTCATAGAGGGCGCTAGTTACACGGTTCGTACCGAGTAGTTTTGGACATTACTTCTCTAAGGTTAGATTTTTCGATCCAAATTTGATGTGAACTTAAACATCATTCAATTCCACATCAAAAACACTCTTGGTTAAACTCAACACTGTGTTCCGTTTTCGGAAAATTTCGATTTGAAAATGATGAAGTGATAACTATTGCTGGTATAAAGCTATAAATTAGAGTGAATATTATGAATAATTATCACCTATTTATTGGAAACCGAAAACAACAATACATTTCTGATGCTAAACTTATTGATTTAACAATGAATCACAAGAATAACATCGAAAAAGATTTGACTACGAACACAAGAATAATTTTATTGTTTTTGAATCTGAATGAATAGGTAATTGCACTCTATTCATTTTATACCAGCATCATTACTACTCCATTATTTTCAAATCGAAATATGCCGAAAACGGAACATATTATCGAGTTTCACCAAGAGTATCTTTTTGGTGTAAAATTGTATGATGTTCAAGTTAATATCATATTTGGATCGAAAAATCTAACCTCAAAACAGTTAAACTACTCGGTACGAACCGTGTAACTAGCGCCCTCTATGAGGGTCAGATATAAAAACGAATTCTTGCTGCGATGTGTCAGATTTCAAGAAACATCCATACAAAATTTCATTACAATGTTGCCAGTAGTTTCGACATAATCGTGAAAAATGGTTAAAAAAATCATTTTTTCAACACCTTGTATCATGAAAACGGATGCCGTTACAACATTTTTTCACTGAGCAAACCCAACTCATTTTGTTGTGTTCAACCTACCCTAGCAATGGGGTCAGGTTTTTTTTTAAACACCCTGTATGAGCTGTACCAATTTAAATGTAGCCTCAAAAAGTTAACATAGTTGTATAATCAATAATCACTCAATAATATGATACAAATAAAAAACTATTTCAACTCCACCATATTTGTTATTATTAGTTCATTATTTTAGACAGGTCCAGAAAAGGTTCAGTAGAGCTTAAATAGTGTTAAGATTGTGTGAAATTGAAACGAGTACAATTTTCCTGAATTCGATTTTTCAATTCATTATATTGCATAGTGCATGAATAGTATCAACAGTATTTTTCCCACTACCTGACCTGTGATTAGGGTTCAATGTTTAGTAGATATCTAATTGAGTTGATAGTATCTTTACATGTGAAGAAATATTCACTAATTTCACTGCTAATCATTTTTCTATCTGTTAGCAACAAATTTTCTAATTAATTGGTATTTTTATTGTACAAGAGTATTTGGAAGCTTGATAAGATCTTCCCACACATCGCATGGTTGTTGTAAAACAGATATTTCCAACATATCTATGGTATGTGTCGTAAAAATAATAGTTCCAAGGTTACGCCATCATAGATGCTAATGATGAGACCTGAATAATAATACAGAACCACAAATTTAGTAGAAGATCGCACTTGGAACTATTAATCAGAAAAAAGTTGTGGCTACCACTATAACCTGGCAACAGTTTATCGATTCAGCAATAATCATCAGTTCCTGAATTTCATATTTTTCAACAGTTAGAGATTTTGATCATATTCATTATGTGAAATTATTAGTTTAACCTCATTTTAAAACCTGTTGTAATTCTCTGAGAATACACCAGGGAGCCGAATCTCAAATATATCTATATATAGACTAGCTCCTATAGGAAAATTCGATTCTTTCTATCAGAATGTGTATATTTTTTGAACTATTATATCATTATTATTTCCCATAGAAAACAATGTTACTCACGTCATGATGACATCAGTTTTGGTTCTTTTTGGATATTGAAGACATCCAATGGCTATTCCAAATTTGACGTTAAACCAGCCGAACTATCAATTGGATGTCCTGAGGACACCACTTTAGACGTACAGTGGACGTTAATTCTACTTCGAGAAATCGTCGAACATCAAATAGAAATGAACATCGACAGTTTATAATAATTATACTCTAGAATCTGTACATCAGAAATAAAGTTCCGCTCAAATATAAAACAAGGATTGTTCATTCGTGAGAGTGTTCCGTTTGTCCTGTGGATTTTTATACAAGGGAAATCATTGGAGAATAATATATGTTGCTTTATTTGTTTCCATTGTACTGAGTTAGTATATGGCAGTAAAAAAATATTTATCATTATACAGGGGAAAAAAGTAGTAGATTTTAGTTCCATTATATTAAAATCAGAGAATTATCGATTAACAGAAATTACGCCTGTGTTGCAGTCATCTTTACCATTCTTTTGAAGAAATCAAATATCTGTCAGTCTAATTCTGTGATTTGATTTTGAAAAATTAAGTGGTTGTTCAGCGGATAAAATAATCGCGAATTGGAATGGAAGATAAATGGACTTGCAGTTCTTTCTCGCAGACTGTGTTATTGGCTTATTTTTCGGAACTAGCAAAACAAAAGCCGTCAACAGTGTATATATCCAGGGTGACATAGAAAAAAGTACATTGCATAGTGCCATACAATAGAGGACACTAAAATAAGGGAAAAAGTTCCTATGAAAATACTTTGGCGCTTTTTGAATAATTTGCGTGCATTGTCGGCTTTTAGATGCATTTCTACTGGAACCATTGCTCCTAGCGACTTGGACAAGGTATACCTTTCTTGAGTATAAAAGAAGGGATAACAAATTTTTTGTCGAAAATGACTTACAGTATATAGCAAAAAAGTCACGACCGATTCAATAGGAATGGAACCTTGTATGTAGCACCTTCTATCAGTCATCACAAAACTAAGATCATATTTGAATTCAGCATGATAAAAAACCCCTGTATACCACATTTTATCCATTTCTTGCGTCTCTGGCTGAAGATATTCAATTGTTCATTGGAACTTTTTTTCTTATTTTAGTATCCTCTATTGTGTGGCACTATATGCAATGTACTTTTTTCTATGTCACCCTGTATATATATCCGACGAAAAAGTACTTCCTTTTTGCGTTTAGGAGAAAAGTAATTTATGAAAAGTGCCATTCTATAACCTGTCAACAGAAATGGAATGTCATACTTTATTCCCGTCACAGAAAAAAATCATTTTTTTCAATCCTCTGTTAGAAGATGAACTGAAGAAGGGTCAGAGATTAGGTAGGTATGCAATGAAGATTCCACGACAACAGAGTGAAAGAATAATAAAATACGAATGTCCTAGCTGTTGTTTATTCCTTCATCTGAGTTGTTAACGATTCCACTTGGTTCGAGAGGTTAAGATTCTACACAATTTTGATTTGAGTTGAGGAAAGTATGAGAAAATCTTACCTATTACTATAGAGAACAACCTCGAAAATGTTGTAAATTGGAAATGGAAACATACATGAATCCGTACACCATCTTAATACTTTTGGTGTTTCCAGAGGATTGGTTTTAGCCACGTCTCATCAGAGGGGTATTCACTTCTCATCATGCGATAAACGATTTATATAATCAGTGTATACTGACCTTAATCATAACTCACTGCCCGAATGGAGGAATGGAATAATAAGCTAGCATTATTCAAATTTCCTATGAGATAAAGTTTAACAACGTGATTTGGTATATTGATCTTCTTCTGTATTCGATGATGGTTTCCATTACATCGATGATGATAGATAAATATATTTTTTCTACGAACGTCAAAAAATGACAAGGTTCGCGCAATCATAACAAATTGCGAAGTGACACTTTTTTCAGTTTCCTACGTTACCATGATACCTTGCACAAAACAATGCGCGAAGTAAAACAGTGCGCGAAGTACCTACTTCGCGCATTGTTTTGTGAAATATGAGATATTTATATTTCATCTTTATGGTCCTCAATCGAGCAAACATCCACGAAATCATTTATTTCTGAATGTTCATGTTATCTCTTGGAGCGCACGAAAGGAAATTCCTATTATGTTCGTGGAACATCGTGTGTACCTAGGGAGGATAGGGAGAGACCTTTTAAGCCAGTTCAACACTATTTTTTATATCAAGCTAAGCATATATTAACGTTAGAACTATATTTTTTTACGTTTGTAGAAAAAATTTTGTTTGCAACTCGAGTGCGAAATTCTTTGGTCATCTCGTCTATTTTTTTTACTCGGCTACGCCTCGTTAAAAAAATCAGATCTCGATCACCAAAGTACCATTTCGCGCTCTAGATACAAAAATAACTATTGACAATAACTGTCCTCAACGCAATCAGATTGATTTATTTACTATATATTAGCTGAACATGAAATTTAAACTAACTAGTGGGTGAAAGTATGCAACAAACGATTATAATCGCTCTATAAGGTAGATTTTGTAGAAACATATTCGAATATTAGGTTGATAAACAAATACATTATTGGCAATGTCGATTATAACATAATATATTTATCATCTTGCCGATAAATTGAGAAGTAACCAAGATCAGGAGGTGCTCAAAAAGTGAGAATTTGCAACTTCGCTCTATATCTCAAAAGCATGAAGGACTATAAAAATTCTGTTTGCGACATTATTTGAGATATCCCGCTAAGGATCGAAAAATGGACACACTGTACAAATCATAAATTGTCAAAGGGTTGATCTCTATAGAGGGCAGGAGATTGACAGGTGGTGAAAAATGTACATCAAAAATAAATAGATGTTCAAATATAAAGATCGACCTTTCCAAGGGTTTTTCAAAATAAGTACGGATTTAATTCCTTCATAGGTTTCCACAGTGTATATAGAAAACGAAATTCCATGTTGCTCACTTCCAACATACCCGAAGCCATGACCATCCATGACCAAACGATCACAGAAATTTCCGAATTCTGCAGGGTTGCCACGATGCCCATCAATACCATATTATGAGTCTTTCAAATTTCAAGTTTTTGAGGCCTTACGAATTGTTTTAATCCTCAATTCTTCAAAACATGCTGGTTTTCGAACGGTTCGATATTCACCTCTACATCCTCAAAGCATGTCATATTTTTTTATATTCTCCATGTTCAAATACTTTGAATTGAACGTTAGGGTTTTGGAATGGAACAATATTGTTACTGAAAAAAAAAGAACCTACATATTGAAAAGGAATATTCTCAGATATATTTATGAACACAAAAAAATTGATATACAGGGTGATCCACGGTGGATGGCCTATTAGTAGTATCTGGAGAACGAAAAGACAGAACATTCTGAGAATTGCGATTCTTCAATAATTGAACATTCTCTACTCATCTAAAATATTTTCATCTATACAATGTTGCCACTTCTATCAGAAATAACTAGCAACTTTGTTATTTCAAATGGAACACTCTGTATTTTATTGCATTTGTAGATTCTTTCTGAAGAGCTGATTTCATCAATATATCACATTTGGGGTCTAGCAGGAATGATTACAGAGATATAGGGTGTTCAAATTTTTTCAATTTTGAGATTTTTTTGTGTCGAAACTATTCATTATCGATCAAAACGGCTTACATGTCCCTATCTTAACTTTCGATTGACTATCTACTGGAATTTGATTGGAAAAAATACAGGGTGCTTCAAGATTCAGAATTCTAATCACCCTGTATCTGTTCCAATTAAATGTCAGTAGATAGTGAATCGAAAGTTGAGATAGGGACATGTAAGCCGTTTTGATCAATAATAAATAGTTTCGACACAAAAAAATCCTGAAATTGAAAAATCTCGATTTTGAACACCCTATATCTCTGTAATCATTCCTGCTAGACCCAAAGTGTGATGCATTGATGAAATCAGCTTTTCAAGGAGAATCTAAAAATTCAATAAAATACAGGGTGCTCTATTTAAAATAACGAAGTTGCTAGTTGTTTCTGATAGAAGTGGCAACACTGTATCGATGAAAATATCTTAGACGGATAGAGAATGTTCAATTATCAAAGCATCCCAATTTTCAGAATGTTCTGTCTTTTCGTTCTCCAGATACTTCTAATAGGCCATCCACCGTGGATCAGCCTGTATATAGAGAGAAATACATTGAGAATTCGCATTCTCCATGTGATGAAAAAAAAAAAAAAGAACCTACATGATTTTATAGAAAATAGTACATGGAAATGTGTGGAGAAAATACTATTTCTATATTCAGGGTGTTCCATAAACTAACCGTATATATGTGGTTATCCAATTGTTGATGGTTCAAAAGTTATTAAATTTCTCTGAAAAACGCGACCCATTCAAGAAATTAATAAAGAAGGTCTGTTTTGAATAATTCCATATGTTATACCACTTCGGATGCATCACGGAGAAAACCATGTGAATCTTGGTTTGAGCAAAATTGAAAACATAAAGACTTTGTAGTACAAAAAGTCGAAGCTATAATATTTCCGTTCAAAATGAGTGAAAAATCGGACCAATCTATCTCATTGAAACATGTCAAACAAATGTGTTGATGATACGAAGAAGTAGATGCTTTTGCCGTTTCAGTCCTTTGTGGTTTGTCCGAATTCTTCAAATCAAGTAGTTCTGGGGCTGATATATCTTGAAATGCTCGTATCGAGATTTTTTTTGGTGCACTGTTCATATAGAGAACCCAGGAAACAAAGAGAAAATACTGAAGAAACCATCGCTCATATTTGAATCACGTAGCCTCCACCTAAATTTGACTTATTTTTACTACAGGGCCACGCGAGGGGTCACGTAAGTATCAAACAAACCTCCATTTCAACATAAAATACTCACAAATAATAAGAAACTGTGGTTTGGCCCCCATGGCCAATCCCCAATCATGGCTTGGCACGCAATGTGTTAAATGGGCTACTTTTTCTGATACTTGGTCATCTTCGTGATGTAGCTTTTAAATTTGCCATTTTTCTCAATCTATAGGAAGTTGAACAGGTCATGCATTTTGTGTCTTGGGAAAGGAGCATCCATGCGCATAAAATTTGTAAAAGAAACATACCACATGAAAGAAACTACATGAAACAAAGTACCTACATAATTTCAGGGAGAAATGGAACATATTGAATAACGTTTGAACCATCAACAAGTGGATAACCACATATAAGGTTAGTTTGATTGGAAATGACTTCCCCTACCACCCCACTTCTTCTGATCCATTATTTATGAGACACCCTGTATAATTATATCAATTAACCCAAAGAATATCATGATACATTATTTTTAATAGTGTCGAACAGTCCTGATTCTTTTTTCTTTGTCATGTAACGTGCAGCTTTTTTTCACCATCTTCATTTGTTACACTTTTTTCGAGCGAAGGTGTTGATAGATTTTTCAGCGAAGTTGAAGTGAATGATCGAGCTTTCTTTCACGAATTACTTAACGGTACTTCAGTATGTTACTAAGAATAATAATAGTTAGGTTTGTAGGAAGTTCTTTCAATTTGATTTTTAGATATTTGAGTACAAATTTCTATACAATGATTACAAAAACTGATATACAGTGCTGGCTTCGGTAAATTAGTCAAAATGACAATAGTTTTGGGAATCCAATTTTTTATTCTGATAATTTGAGCTGGTCTCCTAGAATTAACAATTCTTTACTGAAAATTCGTCAGATTCTATGTGGATAAGTCTTGCTCTTCAGCGGATATATATGGAATATGTTGAATATTGCCTGTATATTTATATCTGAAGGAGAATGCAAATTCTCAACTACAGGTCTTCGCATTTCGCTCTTTGTATACCTACCAAAAAATATGTAGTATGTAGTATGTTCATTAACCAATACGAATTGATAATTTCTCATGTATACGAAGGGATGTACTAATTATCGGGAATACCACTTACGTTTTTATTTTTGTAGATATATGCTGCACTTATAATATGCTCGTTTTATATAAATCACATTTATTCTAAATAAAAGTACAAAGTTTGGTAACTCCACCAATCACAAATATCATTCCATGCTTCAACATTGTTACTTCATTCCATTCAAACTACTGGTCTGACAGTTGTATATACACCCCTGTAAGCAAGGTTGGACTGCCCATTTCCAGGAATGATCGTACCAGTTGGGTGGTACCCGAATTCGTCAGCGGTGTAAGAGATTTCTACTGGTACTCCTTCGGGAGAGGTGTAGCGATAGTGACCTTGGACCACTACTGGGGCCACGCTTCTGGCAGCGTCTAGTGCTCTTGGAGATCCTTGTTCCTCAACGGATATACCATTCTCTGTTTCGTAACTGAAGCAAAAGAATAATCATTGGGAGTAGCAGGAATGTTGAATTATTCACTATCTAGACCGCAATATGTCATCATATCTCAGTAACCCATAAAAAAAGTATCCAAAGTGACCAAATTTTTTCGAGTGCTATAGACATTTCGTGTAATGAGGTTGGGCTACAATGATGTCAAAAGTCAAATGGGAATAAAATCGGCGCCACTGTCAGAATAATTTCATTCCAATCAGATCAAAAACTGTTAAATTGTGAATTACCTATGGAAATTAAGAACAAACCAACTTCTTGAACTCTTCATTCATCAAACTAATTATATCTGACATTGACAAGAGACAATGTATCCGACAAATAACAGATAATGAATATTTTTTTCAAGTGAAATATGGTCAGTTGCTCGCATGAAAACGCTTTTGCTCAATGGGCAGAAACTCCCGAACTGTCAATCATGTCATCAAGTCATGTAAGTAGTAGTAAGAAAACTACAAGGATTCTTTCTTATGGCATTAGCGGTCTAGATTCAAAGATCTGCTACCTATTTATTGATATTGATCATTTCCACATGAATTTCATTTCAAAGCGTATTTTTACCAATGAAAACACGTACTCATTTTAATTATGGAACGAATTTTCAGCAATATACCTGTCGCAAGAAAACGAAATTTTTGTAATGTTTCTGAAAAATGTACGCTCTCAATATCTACCACAAATGTTCAAACAACTACTTTTAACTATTGTTAATCATTATTGACACTCCGATGCTCCTGGTCTCGCCGAAATAAAATGATCTGATTCAGATGGTAACCTCTTATCAATAATCTATAGTAATGACAGGCAAATTCTGAAATTCATTACATTCAAAACAAAATGTTTCACAATAATGTACTATTTCGTTTGGTTCTCGTCTTATACTTGAATACTCACTTCATTTATTACTCCGATTTCTGAAATATCCCGTATATCTGTAAACTACTCAGTTGTTGAAATTGATGCAAAATTACTTCATGCAGTTGTGAGAGTTGTCAACACTTTCCTTTTCATTTAGCATTCGATCTGATACATTTTCTGATGATATTCCATCTACTCACCCATAATGGTATGATCCATCAGGACCAGCGTCGTTCTCGAACTTCAAAATCCCAGACCTACTGCCATCTTGGTAGTATCTGTTGTAGTCATTATTGTAGTAGTTATTTCTCTGATTATACCTCTGGTAGTAGTCGGCATTGTTGTTCTGGTAGTACCTGTCTTTGTTGAAGTTGTAAGGGTTCTGAGTATTATAGTAGGGATTGTTTTGGTACTGCTGGTACCTGTAAGGGTCTGGATTGTTGAGGAAGGTTGGTGCTACTCTAGCTGGAGTGATGGCTGCTAGAGAAACAGCAGCAAGGCTAAGAACCAGTATCTGTAAAAATCGCGCAATAATAAGTCACCTACTATGTATAGTGCTTCCATATACTTCATCTCCTAATTTTCAAGTTGATATTCAAGAGTTATAGATGTGAATTTAAGATATATATTCCAAGCCAGTGAAAATGGTACATCAAGACAATGCGAATATTTTTTCTGAATGTCCCATGCATGATAGTATATTATTCAACAAGCATGTAATGAGGGCTATTAGTCACGAAGGTTAAGTTTATGTCACGAGCGTAGCGAGTGGTATAATCAACCTTAGTGAATAAAAGCTCATTATATGCGAGTATAATACTATACTTTGTCCACGACTACTATTGTCTTTGACTTTGACATATAAATGTATGTTTAACAACTGTTTCATCTTAACTCATTTGACATTATAGGAAAACTAGAAATTGAACATACCTGTTATAATAATTATTTATCAACGACTGTTGTACTTTCTCAAGCAAAACGATAGTATTTTTCACACTAGTGAATAATAGCGGAGAATAACCATTATTCACTGGTCTAAAGTTTAGAATATATTATATCGCGTTGGGAACTCTAGACCAGTGAATTATGGTTATTCACAGCTATTATTCACTGGTGTGAAAAATTACTAGCGTTTTGCTTGAGGAAGTACATGTATTATGAATATTGTATATGTCGTGGATAAAGTACCTATTGGATGGTCTATGAATTGAGTTTGATTTATTACTGGCCTTCCTTAATGAGCGGAACCACATCACAGAATTCTAAGATCTGGATTTGACATCATTTTATTTCGTTAACTGATTCCATATTCTATTTGCTTGTGTCTTAAATGCCCCCATGACAAATTTTATAAGGGTAACATATACAGGGTGGGTCAAATTGAACACTTTTAGAGTGGAAAGTGACGAAAGTCCTATTATTTCGAACTGGCGCTCAATTTTCATGAAATAATCAATGGTGGAAACCGTACATCGATATCTATTTTTGTTTCAGATTTAGGTACAAGAAGTATTTTAATAACGTGAGTTTTCTAATAAGTAAAAAAATGTTTGTTTGCAATGAAAATTGATCCACAGGTACATACTAAAATCAGTAGTATAATATGTATATTATTTTCAACTCGAAAATAGAACTTATTCTTGAAAAAAAATCAATATTTCAAGTCTAATTAGAAAAAAGTCCGATTTGATGCCTGATATAGAGCCTTTTAGGCACCGACTTCAGTTTGCTTTTACCTTTTTTGAGAAATTCCAATTCGGCCACTATGTACAGTGTGTAATCAAGTCGTTCAAGGTTTAGATTTCATTAAAAAATAATACACTTACACATTCGCGCGTTACTGACAAAAATAGTTTGATATTTGACACTACTTGTCAAAGTCAATAAGAAGATTAAACAAGATTGACAAGTCTGACTCACAATAACCTATAACTGCCGTACGAATTGTTTGCACACAACTGTAAGTGATATTTTGATGACATGAGCAAATAGAATATACGATCATATATACGATATCAGTTACGAAATAGACCAGATTTCTGATTTGTGCTAAGCAATTCGGATTACGAGGTAATGAAATGACAAATCGAACTCAATTCATTGACCATATCCGATATGTAGGTCTTTTTGATTAGTACCTTCATTTTGAAAAAAAAATTGAATCGTTAATTCCTATTCCGTAATAATTGATGGTTATACCTGAAACAGGACACACTGTATGTATTTATTCATCATCGTCAACTTTGTAATGATTTCAAAGAACTTATGATTTATACAAGGTGTTTCAAATTGTAGACAGTAAATTTTGATAGACGTTAGCAGTCACAAAGATATATGAAAAAAAATCATATAACTTTTATGTTTTGGAGCTGTGTTTTTGAGGTACACGCTATTGACTTCAGAAAAATTATTTGGCTTTTTCCATTATCACCCTGTGTAAGCTTCCAAAATGACAAAATTCGGTGTGGACGGTGACTGACAAATTATCAAAATCTTTTTGGGAAATTGTTATTGAATAGAGGTTGAGACCAAGGTAGATAAACAAACTAATGACGAATAAAATCCAGAGAATTGAAAAGACAAAACACAATTATTATTCAAGGAAGAATACATTTTTTAGATTTCTGGTAAATTCAACAAGTTACCTTTTTGACAGGCATGCTTAATTTTGAGGTATTGATTGATATAGTGAGAATTTACGATGTGGTTAGCAAAAGAACTTCTAGTATCATTCATCGATGGATTTTTCAATGATTTTGACATGTTCGGTAACTCTAGTTAAAATCGTTACCACATTGTCCCACATATTGAGCATTACAATTCGGATCAGAACAAGAAATACTCCCGATTTATGATTCAATGGAACTTCTTCCAAAGATTAATGGATAACATTAGAATAGGGATTCATATCTTGTCTTCATTTTTTTTCTTGAAAACCAAGGAAGCCAGAGAAGCTGATGGAATCAGAGATGTTTATCTCCCATTTTTGAGTATGAAAAAATGGAACACAATGAAACTTAATGATTTTTGCCATCAATATCAATCAGGCAACCCTCTGCAGCGCCACTATTCTCATGAAATTCCATAATATTTACTGCCATATATGTCACATATTCACATCTAAAATGAAGTCGCTCAAAAAATGTATTGACTTGGCCGTTAACCTCATGAACTAAACTAATTTCATAACAAACTATAGTCTATATACCACAAATATGAAAAAATATGAGTTCGATATCAAAATTATATTTTTTCACTCACCAACTTGATCATGTTGGAATAGTTGAACGATATAATGTTGAAGAGTATGATAGTTTATAGAACAGCTGCCTTTTTATATAGAAGCCGAATTCCTCTCCTATAAAACAATCATTTAAATTGAGACGAATACCCACCGATAAGACAGGGACGGCGAGATTGAACTATAAAAATAATTATGAGCTGAAAAAATATACCTATAACTAATTAGTTCCATATTAATTTGAGATGATGATAATGACCTTTTAAAAAAGTTGATGGATGCTCAAAAAAAATATACATATGGCGGATGCCATAAAATAAATCATCTTCAGAACAAAACATAATAGTAGATGATAATTATCGTATCTTTCGCTTTGGTTAGATAGATAGTTCCCAATTTGAGATTCACAAATATCATAACAGTGTCCATACAGGGTGTCTCCAAAATTGGTAAGGTGCATGTTACATAAGACGATATTATTAAACCAATCAGAAATTAAGAGGGTTAGAAAACACAAAATCCTCTCCACAACGTTTAATAATCGAAAGATTATTTAGGGGAACATGTTTTGGACAGTCATGTGTCCATCATCAGCCTCAATCCTTACAAACCGAAGGTCGTGCGAATGAAAAAAACACACATCATGAAAATCATTGTGCAAATAAGCACCGGTGAAAGGTCAGGTTATCAGAAATTTTCTTAAGAAATACACTTTCACCATTATATACCATCTCTCGAAAATTATCGAACGTCTGGCTATACCCAGTATGAGAAAAATATAGATTCGTAATTTTTTGCAAATCTGCTAACCCTGACCATGATAGAATTTATGAGGAAAATCTTCCAAAATGCTATTCTCTGTACTATTGTGCTTTTCTGTCTATAGTGAAATAAATAACTATTTTCTTCAAACGGCATAGAAAATGTCTTTTCTATGACACTCAACAGTCAGCAGAAGTGTACTTTCTCTGCCTAGGCGAAAAAAGTTTGTTGCTATGCAACGTTCCAAGTAATTTGAATGAAATTGGTAGATAATAAAAATAAACAGTTACATTGGGTAAGCAAAAAATGATAGAGTTTTCGTAATAAAAGTGGAAAAAATTGGTTTAATAACATTTGGATGAAATATTATATGTTTCACATGGCTGCAAAGTGGATTCAATGCCTTGGATGGTTACCTAGCTTTGGCTACGCCTTGATGGGTATGAAACGTCAGCCGCGGCATTAAATCTTGTACTTTTCTACATATAGTGAAACAAATAAATATTGTTGTAGTCGTAACGTGTTTTTCCTTTAATCCTATACAGGGTGTCGCAGAATAACGTTCGTAACTGTCGGTATCGCATGTGACTTCGCGAAGGCTTTCGACAGCGTAAACTCTGAGATATTGTTAGAGAAGTAGTATAATGGCATCCGTGGAATTGCCCTGAACTGGTTTAACAGTTTCTTAAATGGTAGTGGGGTACCGCAAGGATCGATATTGGGCCCCCTGCTTTTTCTCCTTTTTATTAACGATCTTCCGCGTAATTGTGGGGAAGTAACGCCTGTGTTGTTTGCAGAAAATGCTCTCTTTATTGTTGAAAGTCGCAACAGGGCCTCTGCAGAGGATAAAATGACTGTCTGTCTGAAAAATATTTTTGGATGGTGTGCAACAAATAAAATGAGAATAATATTTGAAAAAACATTTATGTATGCCTATTGCGAAAGAAAATGTAGATAACTTAACTACATTATTTGAAATAAAACAAGGCAAAATTATAAAATGTCTGATGGAGTTCAAACTCGATCGTTACTTAACATGGAGGGAACACATCAAACACACAAATACTAAACTCAGCATCAGATCATGTTATTCCTTACGTCCACTATCTAATAGACAAGTGACTGAAGTAAAGTTGTAAAAACAGTTTATTATGCAAACTTCGTTTCACATAATATGTCATTTGGCATAATTCATTGGGGAATGAGCTCTAATTGGCAGTCAGCTTTCGTGTTACAAAACACAGCAATCAGAAAAATAAAAGAACCGAAAAGAAGAGAGCCTTGTAGGAAATATTTTGTACAGATGGAAATGCCCACTTCACTAAGTTCATAATATATATAATCTCTCAATGCTTGTACATAATAACAAAAGGAACTATCAGTTTGCCAGCTCCCAAACTCGACAATCTTCCAGTTTATTCATCCTATCCCTACACAACACAACATTATATCAAAACAGCGCTCACTACATGTGTGCTACTATTCAATGTGCTTCTAAACGATATGAAGAACTACAACTCTAAAATATTTATGATGAAAATCAAAGGAATTTCAATTACTAAAGCTTATTTGGTGAATACCTTATCGATCATAATTTCGCCCAAACAGATAATGTTCGAGGAATTTTTTTTTTACCGAAAATATTTATTGTACGTAACGTATTTTCTGATCTATTCAAAAATTTCTATCCCGTTAGCAATATTTCTGTTCTATTACAAATTACCTATGTTTTTTGTACTTAGTCAAGTATTTAAATTTGTAAACACTCGAACTTATTCCTACACATGTGTACCATGTTTTCTTAGCAATAAATCTATTTCTTCTATCCTATACTCCTAGGGATGGTTCTGCAGATAAAAATGAGAAAAGTATACGTCAACAAGATTCCGAAAATGCTTCCTCAGGGCGCTACATCCCTCTGAAGATAGGTCCATAAATCCAGTTTTCTTCTATTATCTCTGTTATCATTGATCCTAGAATCACGGAATTTGGTACCTAAAGGTGCTATTCGATCTTAACCGTTTAGTGGTATGGAAATTATGAATAAGTATACTGTACATTATATGTCGATGACTGGAACCTTTGACATGATAATACACTACACTGTTTTACCACAATAACCAAACCGATTTTTTATACGCCTCGACACACGTGCGCTTCGCTATCTAGGTTAAGATCTTCAGGAGACCATAGATTAACGACTCTGATCTATAAGGAGACGATCAAAACTGTTGTCCGAAATACCTCTATATGTACCATATTTCGTGATTCTATAGGATCAATGATAACAAATATAATTGGAGAGAAATGCATTCAAGGATCTACCTCCAAAGAGCTCTAGCATTCTTAGGAAGCAATTTTGGACACATGTTAATTTTTTTGTTCTGCTCATATAACTAAAATGGCATCTAACGATTTATTCAAAAAATTAAACACGTTACCATGACAACACAATTTCTTGAACACATTACCATGACAACATAGTTCTGTAAACTCCTCAGCGAATCGAAAAAGTTTTATCTTCTATACGTCAGATGATTACTTCTAATTCACAAAGGTTAGTATTTTAGTAAGCAAGTCATTGATAGGAATACCTGATGTTCCCTTTGGACTGGACACATCTACAACCAATACCTATCACTTATACGTGTCTCGTTGGTTGCATGCAGTTGCATAGTATTATGTATTATGTTCTCAATTTACATTCCCTTCGAATTATTTTGTAGGTTCGCAGGTAGGTTGATCTAATTTACAGAATTATGGGATCTTCGACGAGAGGAATGAGGAGTCCGTAGAAAAAGTATAGAATGTAAGGTGTTTATAAACTCTTCTATTGACACTCGTTTATTAAACACTCGCTCCGCTCTGCTTAGCTCATGCTTAAAATACTCGTTACTAAAAGGACGTGTATAGCACTTGTTACATAATATACTATCATCTGCCGAATTACCTTTCTGAGTATAGAAAAGTTATTCTGGGACACCATGTATTGAATGATAGAGACTGGAAGGGTTTCTCGGCTAACCTACAGTTGAAGTCTCCATCTTATAAACCGAAATATCTTTGAAACCAACTTCATTATTTCATTAACATATTGAAGGTGCTTCAACGTTCAGAATTCAATTGAGACTTTTTGTTCTAAATAATTCTCAAAAATGTATAATGAGAAATAGTAAATAGTTTAACGAGCACGTAATCATAGTCATTTAATTGAAATTTAATGAAATTCAAAATCCGTGGAAGACAACGAGAGTCATTGTTTTATCAGGTGAGGAAATTAAATTGAAGATATACAATGTACCTCATTATTTTATCGAAACCAGTTAAGAAATATCGGTTTTGTACCATACCCGTAGAAAATGATAGTTTCCTCTGAAGCGAAAATTGAATAATTCGTATCATCAGGAACTCATTCTGGGTACGATTTTCCCTGCCAGAATAAACCAAATCGGACAGATTTTATGAGTAGTGAGTATAAATAATAAATATAAGTATATCCAAAAACATACTTTCTCAACTCTTATTATATTCGATTCAATTCCTTATCATCACTGAATCACCTGCTGAAATGTTTTTGAAATATCTGTATATTACTCATATCCTTATTTTTGTTCCGCCAATGTGCATATAGAAATATAACTACCGCCTATCATCAATTAACTTATTGGATGATCTGTTTCAGGTTGCAAAATTTCTTCAGGGACCATTGTCGAGGTCGGTCAGAACATTTTTCAAATAATCATCTGCCTCATTTAGTCGTAGCGTTCATCTTCTGTGGGTGACATTACCAGTAAATGCCAATACTTCTTTTTTTTACTTTTATGGCCCATAATAATAGATTCTTTGGAAATTAGCATCTGATATCGATTCATGACGAATTATTCGATATCTGATTTACATAATGGGAGATGTTGAAATGCATGTAGATTTCAGATTAAGATGGTCATCAGCATCAGAGTTAATATAGGTGGATCATTGGAAATAAGGAGACATGATCATTCGGGATGTGTATAATACATACTTCTCCAGCTATTTTTTTGAAATTTAAAATATTCACTTTTTCATTATACTTATGTACTAAGAAACACTTCTGAATTATTGAATCCTTAACGATCATAAACAATTATATAGGATACGTCAGACAACAAGAAATTCACACACAATTTATATACATATACATGAAAATATAACAGAACCACATAGTACACAGAATATTTAGTCTGTAACCTTTCCTAGTACAACAAAGTAGGTACCTATATGAAGATATATGAAATGCATTTCATCGATTGAAATATTCGTCGATACTATAAAAACAACTCTCAATCAGAAATTCTTTGAGTTTTATTTTGAAATGATTTTCTCGTCTGTGTACATTTTTTATTCCGTCAGATAAGTGATTATAGAATTTTGCTCCCTTATAAGATGGACAATTGTCAGACAGAAGAGTTGAGTGTTTCTGAAGTCTTATCAATTCATCGTGCCTGGTAGGATACGTATGAAAGTCACAGTTTCGATCATAATTCTGCTTTTGTTTCCTGAATAATAGAATACATTTGTAAATATAAATGCAAGGTACACACAAGATTTTATTCTCAAAAAAGTGTTGCCTACAAGATTCTCTGTAGTCTATTCCATATATTAGCCATATGACCCTTTTCTGTGAGACGAATATTTTGCTGAGTTTTGACGAACATCCCCAAATGGCAATATTATAAGAAATATGGGAATATACAACAGCAAAGTAAACATTTATATACATAAAATATTGATTTTTAAATAGACCTGTGTGTATATATTGAATACAAAGTGTGTCTTGTGATTGTTAATTTAGTAGTTTGGTTTCTGTTCTTCATTATTACATGAAATGAAAGTGAATTTTTGTCGGATATATTATTATTCCTATAGTCAACTAAGTAACGAACCAGTTCAAAATATTCGTGAGACAAAAGGTGGCATGTGACAACTGACACTCGGTATGACGACATTATTATCGAAGAAAAATGTACTTGATAATTTGGCTGTATTGATTAACCAATATTATTTTGAAGAATATTCAGTGAGGTACATTCGATATCAGAATTTCATTGCAGCTATATACACACCCATGTGAACCCAATTTTCTGGTAGACTATAAATCGATTAATATAATATATTATTCAGACACATCCTAGTATAGAGGTATCAATTAAAGCATATGAATTATTACTTTTTGCTAATAACTTAATCACCCCTATTAAATCCTCATCATATTTTCCTCTTATATATCATAAATTTGTTATTACTTAATGCCTTGAACGTGATGAATATTTTCTTCGGAAGGATTGATGACCATTAAGAAACTCTGAAATCCGACTTCATAAATTATTGCTTGTGTAGGTATTGTTGGCATCAAAAGTTCAGGCAATTATAGAAAAATTTCAATACGAAGAAATATCGTTGATATACATGATTAACTGCATGGATACTGATATCTACGTTTCCTTTTGGAAAGTTGGGGTTTCACTCCTTTTTCTGAAAGAAAATCTTGCATATTTCAATATTCTTGATAGTTTTCGATCTGAGAACTGTTGTAGGAGTGCATTACAGTGATTTAGTATTCATCAATAACATGTAAAAATAAAATTCGGTCGACCACAAAATTATATGTACATATTTGATCAAGAAGCGATGACTGTAACTAGTTTCGGCGTATGCCCTTCATAAGATACAATACGAGTACCTAAGAACTGATTACGGATATGTTAATATTTTATATGTTGTGTATTTATCAACACACTTTTATTATTTCATTTTCTACTTCTTCTTAGTTTGACTATCTATAAAAGGGTGTTTCTTTAGTTCGCTAAACCACTATTTATTTATATTCAATTTGGTTTTTAGATCACTAATCACTATACCTACACCTTTTCCAGTGTTATTCCGGAGAGCATCAATTCAATTTCAGAATGCGTCAAATGTATGTCAGAATAATCAATTGAATTTCAGGAAGCATCAATTGTATTTCAAGATAGTCAAGTCAATTCCAGAAAGCGTCAATTTTATCTCAGAATAGTCAATTGAATTTTAGAAATCCTCATTTGAATATAAAATGATATTTTCTGAAATCAAAATCTGGTCAATCGCCTAGTCGAAAAAGGTTCAATATTTTCGTCAACAATTCTGAAATTATATGTACCCTGTATGTTGATCGTTACCAATTTCGAAATATTGAGATTACAATAATTGAAAAAACTTTAATTTCCTATATATCGATGATAAACCATTTTAGAACATAAAGGTCTAAGAGAAGGAAAAACATATTTCATCGAGGTGCATTAGTCATTGAAACAGTTCACCCAAAATGAAGCTTCAATCAGCTATTTCTTTCGTAATCAGTATGAAATGATCTGAACATATTCTGACATGTGATTTTACACTTTTCAAAACTGACGGAAGTTTTGAAGCGTCTTACTTTACGTAACCTGGTGATGGTCATTTCAATACCAGTTATGAAATAAAAATATGGATGGACGAAGAGAAAAGTGTAACTTGAATCAGCCATTATCCACTAATAAAAATATCAAACGAGTCTTTTTCAAGAATTTCGTCGAGGATTTGTTACCATGTTATTGTTTGACGGATACTTCAGAAGGACGGGCGAAGTAAACTTACCTAGTAAATTTTTCTATAATCGGTAGAACTCATGTAGAACGGATGGTCATTATTCCTCTCGAAGCCAAACTGTATCCATTCAATTTTTGACTTTTAACTCTTGAAATTCATTATCATTAAGCAACAAAGTAACAGAAGTAAGTGGGCATTATTTATTACCTTCTCCAAATTTGCCGCTCCTGACATGGTTTTTTTGATGGTGAAATGAAAGCCTATTACCTATACCTGTGGCGGGTTCAATTTTATATTTTGGTGAAAAAGGCCAAATCTGATGGAGGAGAGCTCATCCGCCATAATTTGAAAAAAAGCATTTCCATAAATAGGTAGAAAACTAATAATGAACATTTCATCATCAGCTATGTGATATTTCACTATGAGCAACTGGTTACGTGAAGTAATACGTTTCAGAACTTCCGTAAGTTTGGAAAAGTGTGAAATTTTATGTGAAATTTAGAAAATAGTACAATGTTTTATTAGGATCAAATGTGACAAGCGATATTTGCGAAATTTTGCGAGTCGAACAGAGTCACTTTTAATCCGAAAGAGACATGCTTTTTCTTCTGTAATCGGAATAGCTGATATCTAATTAATAAAATATAAGTGGAAATACCACTATTTTGAATCACTTGAGCATACTGTGTCATATCAGCTGTCATCCAACACGTTTTTAGTTCCTAGGACTTAAACTTCAACTTTAGCTCCTAGACACTGAAACTGTTGCCTAGCAACATATATACTATTCATTTTATTGTGTCAGTAAGAGGAACGTCAACTTCAAGAGCTAATTTTGGAACGAAAATGGACGACTTTCGAGACGATTGCAGAAAAACGTATTTAAATTCGATACAATACAGGGTGATTCAAAATTCGATGTAAATATTTTAAGGACCTATTGAAAGGATTGAAAGAACCTTTTACTTTACATAAACATGTGTCCTGAAATGCACTCCCTCAACCAACTGGTATATTCATTTCTTGTTCAAATTTTTGAGGGATGTTCGAAGAAACATGGTAGATGAATGAAATATATCGTTTTTGATGAAATAAAAGTATTTATATTTGATACAATATATACAAATATTCACAAATGAATAGAACTCATCATTTATATATCACCAGGTAAACAACCCCTTCACAACTTCACAATTGACTATTTCATCGACTTCTTTTAAAGGCGGATGGGCCTCACTACTTCCTCCTTGACAGGGTGGGCTTCGATCCATTCCAGGGCCCTCAAGATCTGCGGGGGGATTGCGGGGGGTTGGGGAATGGCATTTCCTTCGGCGTGGAACCCGTTTTCGTCAGCGGTGTACCTGATCTCGACTGGTTCACCTCCAGGGGCGGTGTAACGGTAGGAACCAACAGAAGCGATGCCTACAGCTTCACCAGTACCTTTTAGTGCTCCCTGCTCCTCAGCCTGGATGCCGTTCTCGGTTTCGTAACTGAAAAAATCAAGGTATATCAGTAATACAATTAGTGACGTCGATGATGAGAATCACTGAGTACAGGCGTGCCTCTTAAATTGAAATAAATGAAGAGTAACATATCGAATACTTTCTATTCGGTGTTATGCGAAATAGTTTGTCGATTTTCCTTCTTTATTACCAATGACTACCGGCAACTAATGCAAAGAGCCACTTTGATTCTATTATAGATTGTAACGAAGGCTATGCATCAGCTTAACTGATACCTGAGATGTGTTATCACTGAACCTCAGTTGGTTCAAGGTTCTGGATTTATCAGTTCCCTGAAAACTCAGCTCCTGACTCCTCAGGGCATTTCCAGGTACTTGAACCTTCTGTCGAAAACGCTTCAATTGTTCAATATATAGGCCACCATCACTGTATGATTTGCCCATTCCTCGAGGTGATACCTCAGAGGGTAGTGTTCAGTGACAAGTCTTGATAATAATCTCAAATATTTCCTGACCATTGTATCATGGTGTCAATATAATCATGGAATACAATTTATAATGGATTGATCAAGAGGACGAGGTTTTTTAACATTTTTTAGTATGCCAAGAATACTCCTGTTCGCATGTATACATATATCGAAATCAGGCACCTATATATAGCCCATATAGAAATCTTTGAGGATAATGGTACAACTTTTAAAAAAATGTATGTGTTCAACTTACGCCCATTGGTAGCTGCCATCAGGGTTGTTGACTTGGTCCTGTCTCAGAATTCTGACTTCATTGTTATTTTTTATTTGTTGAACTGCTGCAGGAAGTCCGTAGACTGCTACGATTAGGGCAGAAGCTAAGATCTGGAAAAAAAACAAAGAATGATTGTAAATCAGTGAAAGTCTACAATCGTTAGATATATATAGTACTATTCGTACAAATAGGTATAAGTTAGTATATATAAATGTATTAACCTTCCAAACCTCTTATGGGTAAGTTAGTTTTCCATGAGAAGAAGGCATCGGATAAAAATAATATTCCAACGATTACTGATTACGAATTATATGGCAGACTCATGATATAACATTTCGTAATGTAATACCCATGTAATACCTATCTATTGAATTCCATAATGTCAGGTAAGTACGTGCGAGTATCTAATATTGAAATCGAAATCATAAAAAATGTAAAAGATAAGTTATGATAATATCACCAAATTTCACTATTGATATCCCTATAATTTTATTTTTGAACACTATAATTACTATAATTATTTTCGATGGAATATAATTAAATCTCAGAATTCAGCTACTATATTTTTCAAGTACCTAGGTACATATCATTTCAACAATAACATTCAAAGGAATTTCATCAATATCCTAACCCAAGAAGCTGTTTGATTAACAAATAATTTATGCGTGTGTGTAATAATTATAGGTGATGTCAATGCAGCTCAGTTCTAATTCATAATTAAAAGTTATAATTCTTTCGAATGCTTACCAACTTGTACATTTTTCGTCAGGTGTTCTGTAAGAATGTGATCGAACTGATGGATAATCTCGACAAAAAATTGCTATTTATATGGCTCTGGGACCACTGAAGATGAATATATTTCCATTTTTTTTCACAACTATCTACCTAATTTCGGTCATGGGTCGTCTCATAAAGAAGAATCAGCTTGAAATATCATCATTCTAATTCAGAGCCGGACTGGAAATATTTCGTGTTCGCTGTTTTGGTATGTTATCAGAATAATTTCTACATAAATTGTGAGACTTTGATACGAAAATGAGGTGAGGAGCTTTATGCACTTTGATCTCTCAGAGGCTTTCGATATGGCGAACCTGCGTCAAGCGTCATATAAGGTTTGTTTGAAAATTCAGAAGAATATGGTATCAGATGAAGAGCAATTGTACTCAAATTTTTAAGCTATATCCAGATGGTGGTAATAGTAAATAGTAGATATCTCTCGAAATTATTCATTAGGGATGCATATTCAAGTTTATATTTTTACTCTATTATATGTCAAACATATATTACAATTTAATAATGATATACCATGAAGAAATACGAATCTCATGATGAATATAAACCCTTTATTTATTCAATTTGGCTTATTTACAATTTCAAGTCATTGCAATGATTACAATTTCAATCAATACATATATGTATGTTCAAGTTATAATATAAAATAAATTATGATACTTCGATTCCCCTCCTAGAATTTTACAATTCAAAAAAAATCTGAATAATGATCGATATCGATCTAGAATACGTTCAATAATAAAAAAGAATTCAACATCTCAGAAAAAGCTTACGGGGATGATCACACAGTATATTGATTCCACACGACATGAGAAAAAAGGAATCGTAGAATATAAAAAAAATCATTTCAGTCACGTGAATAAAAATATCATATATTTTGCACAACAAATTATAATCTTTATTAGATTGAAATATGCCTATTGTTTCAGAAAGCGATTTTCAAGTTTGAATGAAGTGAATATTCCTTGTATGAACTGAGCATGTTTATTCGATCAAAAACATAATAAGCTGTTCATATTTCTTCATTCTGATGGAATTCTCAATACTCAGGAGGTTTCACAAGGTTCTATTCTGTGTTCCAATCAATATGCAGTTGATATACATCGGTGCATGATGAGTAAACGCAGATAACATTAGAGAGATCTTCCACATCCTCCAGATTCCAGAATAGATTATTATGATATCATTATCATATTTCCCGAGTGTGCCTCCAAGTGTGCCTGTTGAATCAGCAAAAACTAAAACGGACACTTTTTCAAAATTCAGATTTGGAGTATTTGTTTCCTTCTTCTCTAGATAGTGTTACACCCATATGTTGCCAATGGCAGACGCTGAGCTGGTGGTCTTATGAGTGCTAGCTGGAGACTACCCTACTCTGGGAAGGGCGAAACGCCCCAAACCAATCTGTAGGTGTCGAGCGTTAACCTGGCTAAATCGAAATCAATCGGCATTGAGGAAAGAAACACTTACCTCAGTATTTTTCAATACGGATCGATGCAAAATTATATCATCATTTTCCATATCATCAGGTGACAAATCATATTCGAATTGAGAAGCCAATAAACAACTGACATGAGGATGCACACCTATACGTATTATATGAATAGCAATGCATTAGTAATAACCCAAAGAGAATAAGAGTTTATCAGTTCAGGTATACCTAAAATTGAATAGTTTTTAGTAAGTATTGTTTTCTTCAAATCAATCAATTAAAGCCTCCTTCCTAAATTGGATATTATTATTATAATTATTGAATTTCGTATTCATGGAGATATTGCTAGATCATTTTAATCATTCATGAAATGAATTGATATGCATGATCATATCATTTTTTTACAGGAGCTTTTATAAACTGCTCAGATGAATTGCCTTTTATCTTTGATCGATTATCAACTATAATGCTGGGTTTATAGATCCAACAAAGCTGAGAATTAAACTAACAACTATGATTTTGAAGAGTTGAATACAAGGAAATATCTATGAGAGTTTATACATTTACATCTGTCATTCAAATCAAGAATTAGAAATAACAAAGTTGGCCAACTTTCAAGTTGAAATCTGAGGATTAGGAAATTATGGAGAACATGGAGATTACATTGTATGGATTCATGAATTGTGTAGACCAGAATCACTTTTTAACATCATTTTGATATAGAATCACAAGACATTTTACATATAATTCCTAATTAATATCAGATATGTATAAACACCCTCATGATCATTAATTGTTAATTGTTGATTCCTTATTGTTAGTTTAATTGAATCTATAAACCCAGCATAACGATATTGGATCATGAATATGTTACAAATTACAGAAACCAAAAACAATAGAGTTTTCCTATATTTTGCTGGAAGCGCTTTGGATGGACATAATAATAAATCTAATAAAATAACAATGAATGTTCTTATCGAAATTTTAACAATACTTCATCTTCCACCCACTAGTCGTTTGGGCTACCTACTAGTCCAACTCTGTGGTTACATAACAGACATTGAACATCTTCCATTTGATTCATCGTCTCCAGTTTCGTATACCCACCTTCTACTTTTTCAATGTAACCGAGATCTCAACTCGATTTTTAATGATATTCCATCGACTGGTTGTGTAGGATTTATTTTACAATAATATAATTGTTGAATTAATTAACATTTCAACTTTTGCTTTTTGTCGATCTTGAATATAGAATAGATATCCGGAAATAATATATTTTGATTTATCAATTTGAGATGATAATTTTGTAACTAGAGAAGAGTCTTCAAAAATCCATATATGTTGAGTGGATACCAGTAGATAGAGATTGTTTCTGATATTTTTTTGTACTTACGGGACTGAAGCATATCCATCTAGTCCTTTCTAATAGGAACTGAACTTCAATGATGAGCAAAAAATGCTGCAGCTTCATCCCAATTCAAACCTATTCGAATCTTTGGCTTTGGAAATCCTAATGATTAGACTCGAGGCAAAATCATTATTACCTATTTTATTCGTTATTAAAATTTTCTAACCTTTTTTTTTCAGTCACTCTATCAGTTCAGGTTTCTTAACTATGAAAATAATTGGAATTTCATCTCCCAGGATTGAAATTTCCAATGAAATAGCCATCAGATTTGATCACTTGAGATATTTTGAGCACTGATGTGTGGTATTATTGAGATTTCCAATGGCTGAACTTCCATATTATGCCACACGTGCTACATACCGAGAAGTAAGAAATTGTAAATTATATAAGGTTCTCCTAGAAATTTCACACATATTCAAAAAAATTGCGATAACAATCTCTGTCAACTAGTATCCATGGATTTTCATAATTTAGCAAAAAAAACATCGGTAAGTTATTTTAAGAATTCACGAATAAAAATAAACTGCTCAACTTTAGGAAAACGTTCAGTTATTAGCCATAGCCAACGTAGTTTCTGGTATGCTGTTATGATCCATTTGGTATGTTGATCACAGTAAATTCAGTCTATCAGTACGAGCAGATCTTCTGTTTTCATTATTCACAGAAACGATTAATTCATAATTTCACAAGATCTGCCTCCTATACCTATTTAAACGACTACATCAACCTCTAACTTCAATGAGCATAATATATCATAGATAATTTCATTTTGGGTGTACCTAATCTCTATAAAGACCACGACTTTCTTCTTCAGGCAATTATTTTTGTTTATTCTATCATTGAAACCAAACGCTGAAGTGATGAAGGTGGTGAGTAACTAATAATCCTATACCTAATATTTTATCAGATTAGATAGGTACCCTCAATAGGTATCTGTGTACTTAATTTTGCAGAAAATATTTGAATTCAATGTAACATTCCACTATCAAACCAATGCGCAAGGTAACTATTTCAGTCGATCGTTTTAAGGGCAAATTAATCCGTTATATTGAAATCTCCGAGATGTAACGTTCAAGTATCACTGCGATTGCAATATTATGATCTATATGTAACGTCAATGTGATATCCAACAGAATCTTTTCCATCTGTATATTGCATAGAGCAGAGATTAAGAGAGATCCTGTGTTTGTATATAAAGAGACAATTTGGTAGTTAATCACACAGAAGACGCCATGAAGTTAAATTATTGATGAGAGCGACAAAAGTAAGTCCCTCCATGTGATGTACTGGCGACATCTCGGCGAATGAAGATCAACGGATGTCAAACTGAGCTTTATATGTATCATCGAAGATTTTATGGTGTTTGCTGGGAATTCGCTTAATGAAAACATCTATCTAATAAAATGCTGATTATCGTAACCTGTATAATAATTCTTCAAGTTCCATTTTGAGATACAGAACCTTGGAAATAAAGCTGACAAAGCCGATGAAAGTAGAGATGTACAGACGCGTATGGAATGTTAATTCAATGAAACTTTTCAGATCAATTACCAACTAAATAAATTATTGAAATACTATAAATGATACACAAAGTCATCATCATCATTTAGTAATTTAATACTTGACTCCACTTTGAGAAACCATGGACTTCTACCAAAAAATAAATTATTTGTTCAGGTATTCCTATTTATTGTGGCAACATTGATGATATCAGCAGCAGCACCTCAAGCAAGAATATTGAAGCATTTCCAAGAATTGAAACCTGAAGGATCTTATGAATATGGGTAAGTTTAGATACGAGAGGTTGTCAAAACAATAGAGTTCGCAATTATTTTTATCATCAGTTCTTTTTTCTTTTTTACCCTCAACCCTCTTAACGTCACATAACGACTTTGACTGTTCCAAATGAAATAAGACAAACAGTGTAGCAATTTTTTGTGACTACAAGACCAATTAACTTACTAAAGCATCAGGTATTTCTTTTAATGCTTATAACCTACTAGATATTGTCACGATAAAAGGGTTGTTTCCACTATGTCACGATATAAAAGATTTTTAGTCCATCCATATCGATTTATAAGGGGTAATGCTTGGCTTAACTTCCAGAAAGTTAAGAAGAACACCAATTCCTACCTTATTTCCCTTGGTTCTCACGATGTTCTCTGAACATTACAGGGTATCCCATTTCGTGGGAACCAGAACATAAAAAAAGTTCTTGCTTGTATATGTATATGGTAACTAAAATAAATCTACAATAAGTGATGTCCTGACAACTCATTGGCGATATATGATGTTGCGGACATTAGGCGATCGGCAATATAAGTACTGCGGTATACCTTTTTTGAATCAACAATGCGAAGTCGCATTTCCACAATAATGATATATATAATTCCCTACAACTTCCGTGCAATCAACACTGGTTAACTGGGAAGGGTCTTGTCTGTTCTCTACGTTGACTCGACTCATTGAAATATTTGCATGGTACCATAAATCGGGGTTACTTCGATCCAATTGGCTACATTCTTGTCTATTTTGTTTAGGTACGAGACTGACAATGGTATATACGCACAAGAAGAAGGGATAGTGAGAAAAATAAACAAGGACAACGTGGACATATTAGTTCTAGGATCCTTCCTCTACACATCTCCTGAAGGAAAAGAAGTATCGCTGAAATACACGGCGGATGAAAACGGCTTTCATCCTCAAGGAGACCATCTGCCGACTCCTCCGCCAATACCTCCACAAATTCTCAGAGCCCTGGAATGGATAGCAGCGCACCCGTCAAATCAATGAATAAATAACTTCTTGAAAATATTTTGTGAAAAACTTTCTCCATGTAAAATAGGATGATACTTGAAAAGGAATATTCTCAGATAAATTATGAGCATGAAAAGATGGATATATACCGGATGACACAGGAGACATGTATAACAGCCTGTAGTTTCTTTATATGTAGAGATAAAAATGTGAAATTCACAGGGGCAATATATTATCGATGCTGGCGCTTCTCTTGAACCCAATGACAATTTTCTTCAACCACCTGTTTGATTGGAATGGAATGGCACTCTGTATATTTCTTATTTGCCTTAAAATTCTCTATTTAACAATGTATCACAATTTGATATTCGTCCATTATTGACTATTAAATTGCATTTCATTGAAATACATGAAGTTGGCTGTGGCCCGAATACAATGACTTCTCGATGCTTGATAGGCTTAGAAATTCAAAGATCATTACTTAGACGATATTATCAGAATATTTTCCATACCCTAATCGGTCCCACGAGATTGCCAATAATTTCATTGAGTTCAAAAAAATTATTCGAAAATAACTCACGATATTGAGAAAACTATAAGATGGAAACTCAGTTTTTGTCATTTGGCTACTTGTGAAGAAACTATTCGTCTTCCATTTTTGCCATGTAGCCATGATATGATCATCCATCAAGCATCGAAATGTCATTGTATTCGGGCCACAGCCAACTTCATGTATTTCAATAAAATGCAATTTAACAGCCAAATAATGAACGAATATCGAATTGTGATACATAATTGACTAGAGAAAGGACCCCGCACAAAACCATAGGGAATTGGCCCACAGTGGGATTTGCCTGAAATTCACATATGTTATTGGTATGGAGTTTCTGATCAAATGTTTTCATGTGACCAATCCTCTAAGACCAAAGATTCAGCTCTCAGGGTCGTATTTAGTATAGGTGCCAAATAAACAATGAAACTTTTTTTTTGAAGCCCATGATTTTTGTATCTCCCATTATAATTTAATTGAATGAGAAATGTTGCGAAATCTTGGCATTTGTCTTCAAGCACAAGTCCTCTGTGAAACATGCCTTGTCTTACAGGGCCGTATTTAGTAAACTGTATTTGCCAAAGTGGCGAATCGAATTGGTGTTGTTATTACCTTGTTATTTCTTGTCTATTTCAGTGGTCTTTTGATAGATGAATGTAGATTTCTTAGTGTACATAATGAAAGTGGTCACCATCTTAATATTCAAGATGGTCGGCCTAACATTTAATCTTTATGTAGGACATATCTCGTAGCTTTTTAGGAATGATAGTAACAGGAAAAGATAAGAACACGTTTCGATTGTTGAAATCGGTCTTTCACTTTTTCAATTACCTAACTCTATAATATAAATATAACTCTACTATCTAATTGAAACTTCATCCAATTCATAACCAACAGAGATGAAACCGATATTTACAGCTTTAAATATCGGTTTCAACTTTGTTAGTAATGAATTAGATGAAGTTTCAATTAGATAGTAGAGTTATATTTATATTATAGAGTTAGGTAATTGAAAAAGTGAAAGACCGATTTCAACAATCGAAACGTGTTCTTATCTTTTCCTGTTACTATCATTCCTAAAAAGCTACGAGATATGTCCTACATAAAGATTAAATGTTAGGCCGACCATCTTGAATATTAAGATGGTGACCACTTTCATTATGTACACTAAGAAATCTACATTCATCTATCAAAAGACCACTGAAATAGACAAGAAATAACAAGGTAATAACAACACCAATTCGATTCGCCACTTTGGCAAATACAGTTTTACTAAATACGGCCCTGTAGGACAAGGCATGTTTTACAGAGGACTTGTGCTAAAAGACAAATGCCAAGATTTTGCAACATTCCTCATCCAATTGAATAATAATGGGAGATACAAAAATCATGGGCTTAAAAAAAAGTGTCATTGTTTATTTGGCACCTATACTAAATACGACCCTGAGAGCTGAATCTTTGGTCTTAGAGGATTGGTCACATGAAAACATTTGATCAGAAACACCATACCATTAACATATGTGAATTTCAGGCAAATCCCACTGTGGGCCAATTCCCTATGGTTTTGTGCGGGGTCCTTTAAGGCGAATAAGATAGGCTACAGAGATAAACAGGATGCTTGAAAAAACAAGTTGGGTCTACTTCCAATCAAACAGGTGGTTGATGATATAACCCTTGTGAATTTCAAATTTCCATCTTTTCCAATAAAAAAACTACAGGCTGTTACATGTCTCCTGTGTCACTCGGTATATATAAATAAATACATTGAGAATTCGCATTCTCTATGTGATGAAAATATAAATTATTTCTCGGTTCATTCAACAGAAATCAACTACTTTCCTTGGCTATATGCCACGGCGAACATTTTATCTATTGAACATACACGATAAGTATTCAAAAACAAAATCTTCTTGTTGAATCATCATTATTGTATCATTCTGAGTATTCAACAGAAGACAACTAATTTCCTGCTATTTAATTGAATGTTCGAGGGATATAATTCAATGTTCCACTCGGCAAATATTAGTCGCATGAGGAAAGATCCAAAATTGAACAAACTTCTTAGGCGAATACATATCATTTACCGTTCAATAATTATTCGTGGAAACCCGATAGTTGTGGTGAAGTAATCACGTTCTACGGTATATTATCCATTTCTTCCTAAAAATTGAAAATATCCAACCTGCAGCGTTCGTTTTTATTTTGACACCATTTATGTATAATATATTATTATGATTATTGTTGCCTTAGGAAATTCAAATTTCCAAGAGAATAAAAGAAATAACTCAAATTGAAATAATTTTCCCACCTTCATGATACTCCGCTGACAAACCAAACCATCAATTGATCATTCTAGAACACGTGATTTTGACATGGTTTCTTGAGGGGCACACAAACTATCTGTTAGGTTACCTTTGATGAGCATGGGTAGCATAGGTAGCATAGGCCATCCCTGCCACATCCACGATATGATAACAGTTTCACCAAACAAAATTATGAAATTCTTTCTGGTTTCAACTCGAATTCCAAAGAAAATCTTGACAAAATGCAATGTTTGCCCCTCAGCAACCTGCCAAATGACGTAATTCTGGAATGATTATCGTATTGAAAAAAAAACTATACATTTTCGAAGATTTTTGGTTATACTCATCAACTGAGCTATACTTAACTTTCTTCATATCTTCTTCGTAATATTTTCAAACCACACTTGTAGTGGAAATTAATCGAAATGATCGTACGGAAACAATAATTTAGCGCACTAGTGCTGAAAAGTTTCCTTTTAGCACGATTTTTGTATTGTTGAAAATAAGGGTATTTAGGTATAACTGAATGATCTATATATCTATTTTGTCTCATGTGTCATTTTGTAGCATTATTATGAAATCTTTTTCATTGAGAACCTATTTTTATGAATAATATGGACAAAAACACTCGTCACGGATTATTTGTTGCGCCCTGTGTCTCTGCGTTCTGTCTCTAGATGCTTCATTTCAGATTTCAGGTCAGATTGAATTCGAGGATTCGTGCAACGTGCAACAATGGTGTGAGAGCGCAACTTTTGCTACACAGCTAATAATAACCTAAAAACTGTTACCTTACTGTCCCAACTTCATGTTTGTTTATTCCAGTTCATGAATTCGTTCAGTGATGTGTTCAAGATAGAAGACTAGAAAAGTCTTGATTTTATAATATTTTTGTTGTCATTGTACAAAAAAATCTATGTACAATGTTGTTTTTACTCAAAAATGATAATACTGGTGCTGTATTTTACCTGATAAACCAAACAGAATTCATTGTTGGGCGAAGGGACTGTAATATTCTGATTGAGAATGATCAATCTATCAGTAGAAAACATGCCAAGTTACTTATCAAAGTGAGTATTACTTATTATTATTGGATTATTGTTATTGAGTGCCACCACTTTTCCCAAATTGAACATTTCAGAATGATCATGTTACCCTGGAAGATTTAGGATCCAAGTACAAGACAACTCATAGAGGTAAAGAATTGCCACCTAATACTGAAATTCAATTGAAAAACAATGACAAAATTCACTTTGGTGTTATGGAAAGTCATTTCACGTAAGAACACCAAAAAAAGTTATTTGTTTGATCTAAATTATATTTTCAATAGATTCCAGCAACTCAAACTTGTTACCACTGGAACTCGTTTAAATAGCACTCAGAAAGCTAAACTGAAGCAAGATCTTGCAGTACTTGGTGCCAGATTCATAGACCAATGGACAGCTGACTGCACCCATCTTACTGTTGAAGAAATAACATTAACAGTCAAGGTTTTGCAAGCTCTCATTTATAAAAAACCCATAGTTCTTCCTAGCTATTGGACAAAGTTTGCAGAATGTGTCTCAAGGAATTCACCTCCTCCTGATATTGAAAATTACAATAATCCACCCATGGCAGAGGCTTTATTAAATAAAGTTGAAATCAAGGCTAACTTACAAAGAAATGGGTTGTTTGAAGGAAAAATGTTTATATTTTCCAAAGAAATAACCAAAAAACAAATGGAGGATGTCATAAAAAAATTAGGTATGTACCCTACCAATTTTTCTATTTTTCTGACTGTATATGAAGCATTTTGTTTGACTTTATTCTTTGATAGGTGGTAATGCAATATCATGGGAGAAAGATCCATTTCCTATAGAAGATATTGCCAAGTCTCCAAAAGAATTTCTGGTTATACAAACCCCAGAAAAATCTGAGGCTGAGGATTCTTCCATGAATGAAATCATCAAACTCCTTTCCAAACAGGGCAAGAGAACTATACCACTTCAAGAAATAGCAATGGCAATAGTTCATGCTTCTTGTGAAAAAGATTGCAACCCAAAATTCAATAGAGCAGTGGAAGTATTTCAAACCACCAGACCTAGAGAGCCAACACAAAATAATGCTCTAGTGCCAAATACAGAGTCTGAACAGTTTGATTTAGATATTTGTAAAAGAGCTGTTGATGTAAAAGGTGTTATTCCTGATACATTTGAGGGCAACTGGGATGTGCCACCAATAAAAATTGAGAGAAAAAAAAATGTTGAAGTAGTGAAGGAAAAAACTATTGAAAAAGAAAATATAAGTGACTCTTCAAAGAGAACTAGTAATGAACAAACTAATGAAAATCCTTTCAAGAAGATGAAAATGGAAAAAGAAAAAACAGTTGTGTTGGGAAGGTGAACATATTTTTAATATACTTGAAACTGAGCTTGAAACATAAATTTAAGATAATTAAACCAGAATTGAACCATAGAGAAATATTTTTTGTAATATGAAATGTTTTGGGGAATTTAAGAGAACTCCTAAACTATCTACTAGGAGAATATGTTTCTCTCATGATCATAAAATGGTCTTATCCAATGAATTATGTTTCTATTTTCAAAATATCTTTATGTTATCAATGAATATTAATTTCTTCTGGTGTTAGATTTCTATGGATGTAAGTTTGCAATTTTCAGATTAACCTAATAATAATAAATAAGAGAATATTCAGTTCAATTAATTGTGCACAAGAAAATATAATTACAGAAAAACATGCTGACAAATCTGAAGAATAATAATAAATAATGATGGAATTGTGCATTGAATTGAAGACTGTAACTATCTATAGCTGGATCTCAATATAATTAATTCTACAGGAGATAGTTTGTTTGTGTGGTTTGTTATCTTATCAAGTATTTTTGTTGAATAGTTCAATCATGGCTTTCTCAGTGATTAGGTGTGTACAAGAATTTGCATTATTTTAAGAATGTAATTTATAAAAAGAATTGATAGTTATTGACCAAACACTTATGATCTGGATAACCAAAATGAAGAGGGATTTACTAATTAGAAAATTTGAGAGAGCTTTGAGGTTTTTCTAGAAATATTCATATTTTATTGATGCTGTTCAAAAAAACAATAACTCTCATGACAAAAATATGGGCTAACTAAGAACATCCATAAATGAAACCAGAACATATTTTTATAACATAAATTTATGATGTTTTTTCTTCGTTTTGTCCTAAAGTCAGTTCATTATTGTTATAGTTCCTATTGATAATGACATTGTTATATGGTTCTTTGATGTTGATGATAATATATCTGAAAGATACTGATAGTAATATTTTTCAGTGGTAAGGAGACTCATAGCAAGAAGCAAAATAAGACATTCATGGCCAAGGTATGTTTATTGAACAATATCATCTTTCTCAATAATAGTATTTTTCATTTTCAGCCTTCTGTATCTGAAAAGAGAAAAGCAGAAGAGGACTTGAATACAACAGCAAAGAAAGAGGGTAATATAAATCCTTTTGCCAAGATTATTAAAAAATCCAGAAGAGACCCTGAGCCTGGACCAGAAGTAACCACCAAAAATATAAATCCATTTAGTTTGTTGAAAAAATCAAATGAAAATGTTACCCAAGTATCAGATAATAATCCATTCAAGGTACCTAGTAGAAAAATGGATAATGGGAGTATAAACCAAGATACATCAATATTCACTAGTACAAGAATTGAAGATAGATCACCAGAAAAAAAAATGTGTTACTCAAAAATATCCAAAAGTAATAGTTGGGACCTAAATTCTACATGGTTGTCAAAGAAATCATCATTTGAAATAAAAAAGGAACAGGAGGATTATTATGATACAGAAATGCAGAGTTTCATAGATTCTTTCAAGAATAAAGTTGTTGTAGAAGTTATGGCTTCAATTTCCATAAGGCCTAGAATCACAAGAGGTGCTATGGAAAATGTTGTATCCAGTGGTGTGAGAAATTTCAAGAGATTCAAAAAGGTGGGTGTTCACAGGATTCACAGGTGCTCATGAAAATCATCAAAAATCTAATTAACCATAAAAATAATATATCTAAAACAGAACCAAAGATGTGTAGAAAGATTTCAACATTTATAATAATAATAAATGGTCTTTATTTTTCTTGGCGGAGTTTAGCTGATGCTATTCTTCCACTCAACCAAGTTTCAAAGTTACAGAGTTGTTCATTGAACATATTTATATAGAAAAAACATTCATTATATTCATCTAGTCTACAAATTTGAAGAAATAAAAACTCATAGTTCAATAATAATGATACATGATAATAATGTAAAAGAAATAAAATAATAATAATAATACTGAAGATAAGAATATGAAAAATCAGGAGATTGAGGACTCATTGTCTACCGATAAATGATTGCTTGAGCTTACTCTTGAATGTAGTAAGAGATTGACTTTTCAAATTTGTATCAATAGAGTCATAGGATACGGCGGCATGGTATGAGAAGGATTGCTCAAAAAAGGAAGTTCTATGAAAGGGTATAGAAAGATTTCCTAGCTGACGGAGGTCTCTTGAGTGAGCTTGTTGTCTGTATTGTAGTTGATCTAAGAGATAAGTGGGCGTTTTATTCATGAAGAGTTTAAATAAGAATGTGAAAAAATTAAGTTCTCTTCTATTATACATTTTCAACCACCCCATTCTATTTATGAATGGTGTTAGGTGATCTCTATATCTAAGACCATAAATAAATCTTACACATGCATTTTGGACTTTTTGAATTCTAGCCGACTGCATTTTTCTGGTACATTTTTTGTTATGTGTTTTTCACAGTATTTGTTTTGTAACAATTTTTTTGTGATTGGTTTTTACCTATAATCTTGAAATTCATAATCATATATATTTTTCAGATTTTGCCATTAAATCCACAACATAGAATCATAGGAAAAGAGAACTTTGTGGCTGTGACACCAGGAGACACTACTGGTATCAATGATACAAGGAGGAATTTCCAACATGATTCAGATGATGAATCAGTAACCAAAGTGAGCAAAAAGAGACCTCCAAAAAAATTTTTTATCTAGATTTACTTACATGTTATGTGTTTTACCTATTTTGTCCCTACTGAAGTTTGAAATATTATATATTTATGTTCATGTATTTTTTTATTCTTTATCAATAATATAATGTTTTTTCATCATATCAGAATTACTGTTATTAGAAGAATAATTATTGTCCTAGATTTCAACTTGGTAAGAAAATACCAAAATAAATGCTTGTGAAAATATTATTTTTGTTTTCTAGTTTATTTGAGAATATTTCCTGTCACAAATCTCTTACTATGCAAGTATTTTCTAATTATATCATATTCAGTTCAAGTATACCAGTAAGGTAAGGTGGGGTAAGTGGGACCTACCTTTACAATATCCATACTTGAGATGCTCAGTTCTCCGATACCTCTCATTCACTGAAGTTGTAATTTTACCTGAATACTCATCAATGTATTCACTATCGAATACCATAATCAGAAAAATGAAAAAGATTAATCCTTTTTCAGAAAAAAAAATTTTTTTTTCTTGTCGGTGGGCCCAGTTAACCGGAAAATTTGGAGTAACTGGAACCCCCCCATTTATTTTTAATACAACATCGGTCAGAATGATATGTGGGTAACAGGGACACTTATTTGGGTGTAGATAAATACTGGAAAAAATATGAAGTGTCTCGCATTCATAGTTTTTTTTATTTATGACTTGTAATGAGGCTCAACTAGTAGCTCGACTAGTAGTAAAAACAGAAAAACTATAGATAACATGTTTTATTATGCAAAGTAAAATAAAGCTTTAAGAGTAATCATTGCAGGTACAGAAAAACTGCCATTGCAGGCAAGTAAAACTAAAAAATATTCTTAATTCCACAAGGTAGGTACTATAAAACAGCCATTGCAGGTACTTGAAACTTAAAATTATTCTTGTACTAGTGGTTGCTGTGCACTAAAAATCAGCCATGGCAGGCACCTTATACATGCCTCTGTTGTTCATTAATCGTGGAGGACTGATTATTTTCAATATTTCGTCTTCTCGGTATTCCAGAATAGGCGATCCCAGTTTCCCGGAACGTGTGGTCCCAGTTAAACGAAACTGCGATTTTCTTGGGCGAACTGGGACCCCCCTATTAAACTTAACCTTAAATAAAATTCGATCAATCAATCAATTCATATCATATTTCAATACATTGATAAGATGACGGCACATGAAAAAAAAACCTGAGGCAGTTCCAGTCATTCCTACACCAAATCAAATTTAATATAGACGGCTGTTGCTTACCTCGAAAATTCCACTTCACACGTTGGCGGCCATTATGACAACAAATAACAAAATGTCAAATCACGAAATCATTCTTAGTTGTTTGAGTTCTGTGGCATGAAATGCTAAAGTTTTTTGTATAAATCGCAGCCATCACTCATAAGTCTAATTATTTATCAAAAGCCTATGGCCCAGTTAGACCCTGGGCCCATTTACCCCACCTTACCTTATACTAGTGAGATTTTGGAAAATCCAATTTTCTGGAAACCGACATCAAAAAAAAAGTATAACAGGGCACTTTTGATATATTCAATATAATGAATATTATGTATATATAAATAATTAATGTATAAAATATACCTGCAGGAAAATCAAAAATTATCTCCTTGTCCACTGCAAAACATGCTTGATACAACTTTGTTTTTTTGTGAATCTCTGAATTTCTTTATTTCTTCACAAAGTGCTGGTCTCACTAGAATGTTATCAATCAAGTTATCAATGAATAAGATGAGCTGAAAAAGCCGTTTCTCTTCATCATGGTCAAATTTGAATTCTAGTGGATTTTCATGAAAACCACATGCACCTGAAAATATTTTTTTGGTGAGAATGAGTTCCAGAATAATAAAAGAAACATGAGGAAATACCTTCTGTATCCTGTATATTGTTCCAGTAACCAAATCCTTGTATAACAGGAGCATATAAATCTATTTCACTTTTATCAATCACATAAAAAGCAATATAATTCAGTAAAATGTGCTCCTTTGTTGTAAGTGTACTCCATTTCAAAAATAACTCTTGTAAAATTGGACCTAGTGTCATAACAAATTTAAGGGACCTTTGAAACTTGTGATCAAATCATAATACTCACTTTTATGAGTGATGTAAGCAACACACTGAAAAACTTGGGAACAAAATTCTTTGTCATTTACATTCAATGTGTTGCATTTCATCAGTTTTTGCTCACAATTCATGACAGTCATCAAAAATAATATTGCCAAAAAATGTTATGTCAATAATATGGTGTCATAATGAGAAGGATTTTATGGAGAATATTACAGGATGAGAAATTATGGAAATTATCTAATTTTGAGGTGGTCTCTAGGTAATAGATGGTAATAGCCTTACTACACTAATTAATAATCACAGTACTTACAGCTTATGTTCCTCCAAGTTGAGCAAATTTTCATGTATATATTTAATGTGAAAAGGTTTTGGGTTATTCAATGACCTAGAATAAAATCATCACCTTTTCCACTTACAGGGTTTATTGATATTTTGACATAAATTAATATCACACAAATCATACTTTTGTACATGCACCACAGATGAATCTCATAGGAATAACCTAAAAAATATTCAAAACATTGAAAAAGTTGATATTATTGCATGGAATATTTTAAATAACCATGGAGAGCCATCCAAGAATTAGTATTGTTCCTCCAATTGGTGCTAATCTTCCCAATTTATCATTACCAGTGAAAGCACGGTAATAACATGCTCCACTGAACAGAATTGTTCCTGTGATAAACAAGCTTCCAGTCTGAAAAATAATGAATGCATCAATTTGATGGAAGTGCATTGGAAATAATTTTCAATTAGATAGATAATGTTGCATCAATCCAGAATCCACTTTATATAATAAACTACTTACCACTTTTGGATTTTTACACATTGGAACTCCTAAGAGAGCCAAGCTATGGAAAAAGTGGAATCTATTGGCTGTCTCATAGATTTGCTTAAGTTCCTGAACTTTGTCTTTAGGATAAGCCTTATGAGCACCATATGCACCTAATATTACAGCCGAGGCCCCCATAACCCCAGCGATTCTAATGAAAGGGCCTCCTTCTGTAGCTAATTTCCATAGTGGAGTTTTTTCAGTGATAACTGTCACTGAAGGAATTGGAGGAATGGATGACTTCTTACCCTGAATCAGACACATTTATTGGTAGGTATTTCAGTAATAAAAATATTAAACTTACAGTCACCATGGATATAGCTGATTTCGAGACCGGATTATCGTATACTACATAATTTATTGCATCATAAAATCCCATTTTCATGGAAAAATCACAATGGAGAAATAGAACTTTGAAAAATACAAAACTGGACAACACCTGTCAATTTCAAAATGACAAGTCTCATGTTTTCTAAAGTCTACTTCTATGTTATTGTATGTTGTCATATTAAATATTAGCCAGATTACAAATTGATTTTTCCATAAATTTTACAATTAAGAATATTTAATGATGTAGTTATGTTTTAAATCCATGCTTGAATGTTGAATGGTTCATCGTTTTCATTTTCTGGGTTTGAATATTAGAAATTACCCGAAGATCTATAAAATAGGTACCAATTACCTGAGTCCCATGACACCTACGTGCAGTTTTAGTCTTTGAATAGGAAGATGACACTGTTATAGAATCTAACCTGGAAAACTCAAAGAAGAAAAAAATGTATTTACACTAGGTGTGTTTTGTTGGGCCATAACTCAATCTGGATCTTGGCATTGTACACGTTTTGTTGTGCATTCAAACCCATTTCCATTCCCATTTGCATTCCTTCTCATGAGAAGGGTTGAAAATTGTAATGACAGATAACGGAGAAATACTAAATATCGAAAGTCAATATATATCACGATGTCGTGTCAACTGCGAATAATTTAGGTTTTCCTCTCAATTGACCTTTAAACCTTCATTCTCTTGCGCTGTCATTCTGTCAAAAAAAATAAGAATTTTGACGCCAAGTGTGATTGCTGATTGCATTCGCTATAACCTATGACGACCAATCAGTAGGAGTCATGAAATCTTCCACAACAAAATGTTTGGAACAAACTCTCATGTTTTTGGTAACTCTCCTTTCTATTTTCAATTAGATCTCCCACAGTTTCTTCCTATCAACCAAAGTCGCCATTCCAGATTCTCCAATATGCTCAACTCTCTGATCCTTATTTGGGAAATGATGAATAGTCAAATTGTTTTTTTTTTACACACAAAGTTGCATCCAGGTGCACAACAATTTGCTCTGCTGATCATTTTCACTCTTATCAAATCAATAATCACTTATAAAACAACTATTATCATCACACAAATGCACAATGCAGTGTCAGTGTGTAAACAAACAATTCACACTTGCTGGTCACATGATATTGATGCGAGTTTTTTCCGTCAGATGGCGTATTGCTTAGCATTAAAAGGCAATTATAAGTTTGATATGGAGTTCATGTAGATTCAAAATAAAACTGGTCCCAAGACTGACCCTTGCGGTACACCGCATGAGATGTTCATTAAGGATGTTTTTATTGTCTGGCGCCGATCCGTTTTCTTGGGCCCACTCATTCTATCACCTCCGGAACGGCACAACAAAACGCACCTACTAAAATAAAAACAAATTTGCCAAATTTGAAGAAAGGAAGAAAACATAATATACTGATTTTTTTATTAATTGAAATTTGCTAACAATATAATTATAGTTTTCAATGATGGAAACAATAGAGGAACAAATTTGTGGAATATGTGGAGCAAATCATTGTCCTATGGAGTGTAATGTGATAAAAGTGGTATCACACGTGAGTTTATAATGAAAATCTGCTATATTTCACATATATTTTGTTTATACCACACTTCTACTTTATTGTAGATTCCTGACAAGCCCATACCATCAAAAGCAAGACTGACACTTCCAGATGATTTGGATGTAAGGAAATTAGCAGATGAGACTCACACAGTCATTGCTCTTTATACCATAGAGAAAGGCACACAGTTTGGACCTTTGCAAGCCAAAAAACTTTGCACTTTGCTGCCAACCATTTATTTTCCCTTGAAAGTATTCTGTAGTACAGAAGAAGAATTCTTGGAATACTTTTTGGATACAAGTGATGAAAATGAATGTAGTTGGATGATGTTTGTTGCTGCAGCAAGTGATTTTCAGGAGCAAAACTTGATTTGCTACCAGGTGAGCTGAAGAAACAGTCCTAATATTCAAATGAAATTAAAAACACCATACCTATGAACCAAGAAGAAACTTATTCAATGCTATAATTATTTTCCCTAATATTTTTTACTTTTTACTCTTAATAGTTAAAACATGCTATTTTCAAGAAAACATATTTTTCAAGTCATCTCAAAAGGATAATATTGAATATGAATAATATTCCTAGTAGTCATAATAACATATTATGTTCAGGATTACCAAAATGTAACAATCATGATATTGACTGATTCTTGAAGTCATGGTTCAATGATTGGTTTTTAGGATGGTGCAGATCTATATTATGTAGCTATTAGGGATATACTAGAAGGAGAATATTTAAAGGTGTGGTATTCCCCCCACTATGCCACTAAAATGCAGAAAGATTTGTTGAAACCAATTCAAAAGGACAATATTGAGGAACCTGAAGATAGTTCAGGTACAGATATAATGATCAAACTACTACAATTGACAACAATAGTCTGAGATACTTTTGCCATTTGGGAACTGAACCTAGCAGAAAGGCCTCTTGTAATAAATGTGCACTTTAATTCCTCAATGTTGCCTCAACCTGATGATACATTTCATTTTCAGTTCTCCTGGGAAAGAACAAGAATCATGTTTCAGCAAGAAAAACATGGAGTTGCAAATTTTGTGGCAAAGTTGAGAAAAAAATCTCTGAATTTGCAAAACACTTATTGAAACATTATCATAAACTGTCTGGAAGATATTGCCACATTTGTAATACCTCATTTTTAAAATCACAGGTAATTTTCTTTGTAATTTTTGTACCTATACCTTTTACTAATTACCTACCAACACCTAATTATAATAATCATATAATCATCATAATTTATTTATTCTAGAAGTAAATTTGACAAAATTAATATCTTCAATTTTGAAATATATTCAGAAAAATATTTATTATTTCAAACACTAGTAATTGATTCCCATATTTTTGTTGAGTTCAAGTATTTATAGAAGCAATGAGGAACATGTGATTCCATTTGGAAAAAGAAATTATTGGTTTATAGAAACTAATTGACATTAATACCTCCTATTTTTTGTGTATTTAATATCATCATATCATATTCATGGAATTGGATACAAAAGGCAGAACTGGTTGTGTATATCTTTATCCCATCTTTGTTATGCTTCCTGTCATGTAATTTCATGAAATTAACAGTTTGTTCAGGGCTGATCAGTAAATAATAATTTCCCTGTTTTAGGGATATCAAAAACATATGAAAATTGTTCATGAATCAGATATCTTGATCACACATGAAGCAAGTCCAAAAGAAAATAAACCACACCTGGCACAAAGTACCAAAAAATCATTCACCAAAATTTCTAAAGATAATTGTGTGGGGGGACCATTACTTAATGAAGTGATTGGTGATAGTTTGGATATAACCACCCTAGATTTACCCCATACTGACACTGGTGCATTTGATTTAAATAGTATGGAGAATCAAGGAAGCATTTTTGAAAATGAAAATCTCAATTTGAATATGGAATCTATATTGGAAGACAGTCAGAAGGGCTTAGAGCACTTCAATTTTGAGTTGAAAGAAAGTGAATCTGAGCAATTCATTTGTGACATTTGTTTGAAGAAGTTCAAACGATTGAGGTATCTTGTATTCCATATGGATCTGCATACAGGAAAACATACATGTAGGCTTTGTTATAAGGTTTTTGCTCGTAAGGAGAATTTGTCATTCCACCCCTGCAAGTCTTATTATAAAATGAAGTGTGAACTATGTGACAAGCTTTTCTATCAAAGAAAGTATTTGAACAACCATATGAAATCAGCACATAGTTCATTCAACTGCAAGATATGTAAACAGTCTTTCAGTTCCAAAGTAAACCTAATTGATCATGATTGTTCTACAAAATATTCACTAGTCAAAACGCATCTATTCTCATGTAATGTTTGCTCAAAAAAATTCAGAAACAAGAAATATTACAGAATGCATATGAAAAGTCATGAGGTTCCTAAAGAAACATATCCTTGTCTAGTTTGCAATATGACTTTGTCATCACGAAGATCATATGAGAATCATATGAAGCGTCATCAGGGAGTTTCTCACCAGTGTGAATTATGCCAGATGGTTTTTACAAGGACTGACTCATTGAGTCATCACAAAAAAGTTGCCCACAGTATTTCTAAGGTGACTAAGGTGAGTTATTTGAATTTTAGTCATTCTTTAGGTATCTCCAGGTAGTGGGTTGTGTTGTGAATTACTCAAAATCCTGAAACTGTATTCTTGATAGAATTTTTTATACATTTCACTCAATCATGCAAATATCAACTTTCCAGTTGATACATGCATCGTTCAACAAAGCTAACAATATAGAAGTATTTGAAATATTTTCATTTTCAAGGTCTATTTTGGTTCACTAAAGAAGTGTTGAAATTTCGAGACTAACTTTCAGGCACTTTTTCACTCAAAATTCCTCCTCATTTGAATAACCCTGTATTAAAAACTTAAGGGAATTCTCAGACCAGATGAAAAAACATGCGATTCAGATAGGTATTATTGTTCCAACCTCTACAGGAATAGGATAATCATTCATATACATACATACATGTTCAAAAGTTATTCAAGAAAAAACGATTTTCAGTGGCGTCATTTAGGGGCCCATATCTCCGTCGGAACGGCCCGTAGGAGAAAATATATACTTGTCATATTATTTTTCAGGTTCTATTTGAATCCGAGAGATTGCCCACATATTCTGGGACACCCTGTATAATGCTTATATTAAGTACTAATTTTCAAGTTCATTGGTCTCATTGAATTCTGGTTGAAGTAAAGACATCATCCTGTAGGTGTTGTAACGATAAAACTTGTCATACCTGTGTATTCGAATTGTTTATTGAACGGCCATCACATTTGATTGAAAAATTCCTTATCTTTTGATACAGGGTCAGTAACTTCATAAACATTCCAAAATATTTTAGGAGTTCTATGAAAGATGCCTGGATAGTCCATCTCAAAATTCCGACTCCTGTAGCGGGCCATCGTAAGCTTTATGAACATATAAAATTTTTCCACCAGTAGCTATAGAACCTACCGTTATTTACCACGTTTAACGGATTAAGGTGTGTTTTTTCTACCAAGGTAGTTTTCGTCATTTGATGAACTACTTGTCAACAAAGACATGGCCACCTCTGTTACAATTAACCCGAATTCACTGTTCATGATGCGAGATTCGCAGGAATGGTACTTGAATCTAGTAGGTATTCATCAAACACGATTGGTCATATGCTGTCATTTTAATTGGAATTAAAAGGAAGTGATGATAGGTCCATATTTCAGCATCACTGAACTATAATGATTGAAATATGAAATATACCTATTGCTAGTGATGAAATGGTAGATTGTTTAACGAGCACAGAATGATAGTGATCTCCTACGAGCATGAAGTTTCATCATTCAAGTAGGAAATTAGAATTCCGTGCAAGTTATACACTATAACTTTTCTACGGCTATAATAGATTACAGCTGCATTTTCGATTTCTTCGTCTTGTATAGCCATCTGATTTCCTGTCAAGTAGGTTAGGTTAGGTTAACACGGTGATCCGGGGTAGAACCCACGGAGGCCAGGGGCCCGTTGTGATGCCGTATGGGGTGGTTACCACCCCCACCACTCTCATGAGAACCAGTAGCTGCTGTTAATGAACAGCATCAGGCTTTTGATCTCAACCTACTGAAGATCAGATAGGTTGTCAAAATTGGGCTGCCCGAGAGCAGAAGATCTTTTCCTGGATAGGGCAGGGCAATGACAGAGTAAGTGGACCATCGTCTCTTCCTCCTCCTCGTCTTGACAGCTTCTACAGAAGTCATTACGCTGTAGGATTCCCATACGTGCAGCATGACATCCTCCAAGCCAGTGTCCAGTGATGGCCGCAATCGCGTTTCCAATAGAGCTCCTGGAAAGAGATAAAATATCTCTAGTGCGTCTCAGGTTGAGCTGCGGTCATACCTGTCTAGACGAGGTGCAAGAAGGCTCCTCCCGCCACCTAAGATTGGTTAGGCGGAGTACTTCCTTCCGGAGGAGCAACCTCCGTTCAGCGATAGGTGCCCCTGGTCTAGTATTAGCGGATATAGCTGCGAGCGTCGTACCAGCTCTTGCTAGCTCGTACGCCATACAATTGCCTGCTATGTCTCTGTGACAACATTGACTCTTACTCTAGTCGCCAGCTCATCTAGGGCTTTACATTGTATAGCCGCCTTTGAGGTCAGGTAGACTGAGTTTAGAGACTTAATGGCAGCTTGGCTGTCACTTATAATAGATATTTCATTGGACTCAAGTCCGGTTTGAAGTACCCAATTGGCTGTTTCATTTATAGCTACAATTTCGGCCTGGAAAACACTGCAGTAGTTTGGTAAGCGAAATGATAGGTTGAGGGGTGGGGACTCCACTTCCTACTCTCCCCTCTAGTTTTGAGCCATATAGAAGAGCGTCCCATTTGGCTTGATTGAGTTTGCCCCCCATTTTTCTCTGGACGGAATGTCCACCGAGAATTTTAGACCGCAAGACCATCGGGGTTGGTTTCGTGTAGTCTGTGTTATTTAAGGTGAGATTGAATTCTTTCAGAATTTTGGAGGTACCGTATTTTATCTTAGGCCATGGTGAGACTGCATTGAGTCTGAGAGTAGTGCTAGCCGCGCACTCTTTTCCATATAGGTCCAATGGGGTCAGATGTAGGATCATTTCCAGTGCTTTAGGCAGGGTTGTCCTAAGACACTCCGTCATGAGAACGGCAGCTAGTCGTTGTACCTTTCCCACCCTTTTCCAGTTGACCTCCTCACATAGGGCTGGCCACCATACTAATGATCCATACATGAGTGTAGGTCTTACGACCGCTGTGTTTAACCAATGGACAATGCTGGGTCTCAACCCACATTGTTTGCCAATGGTTCTTCTGCAGGTGTACAGCGCGACTGTCGCCTTTTTCACCCTTTCCTCTATATTTTCTCTCCATAACAGCTTTCGGTCAAGGACAAGTCCTAGGTACCTAGCTCGTTCGGAGAGTTTTATTTCTTGGCCCCCTATACTGGAAAGGCGAAAGGAGGGTATTTTGTGTTTCCCCGTGAAGAGAACTAGCTCCGTTTTGACCAGGTGTATACTTAGGCCGCATTTGTTGCACCTCCTCTCAAGTAATGCTCATCTATTAGACGGCGACCTTGGTAGTAAAGAATATTATATAAGCCTCAGGATATAATCTTAGTCCCTGGGTAATAATGATATTCTTTACTATCTTGGTGTATAAATAATAACTTTTTTAAGATTCCAAATAAAATTCATCAAATACTTCCAAATTTTAATTATCAAAAAATTGGCTGACGCATTCCGTGGGTGTTGGAACTATATGGATCGACATTCGTAGCAGTTTTTCGATCCATTGAACTTGTGCTTTGTTTTTTATGTAGAATTGCCTAATATATACATATTTGAAATATAATATATGTTCCAGGAAATTTGTGGAAAGTGTGGAAAAGCAGTCAAAACAAAAAAACTATTGAATGCTCATATGTTGACCCACCAAAATGACAAAAAAAAGTTCAACTGCCCAGATTGTTCTAGAACCTACACACAGTACAAGAACTTGTTAAGGCACATCAAATCAAGCCACACGTTGAATAACAGAGGCATCCAAAAAGTCCTTACCGAAATTGAGAAACCTTTCTCTTGTCCAAAATGCGGTAAAAATATGACAACCACCTATTCGTTGAAGAGGCATTTAACATCATTACACCCGGATTATCATATTTTGGAATTTGAACATGTCAAGCGCAAACGTGGTAATTCTAAAACTGGCAGTAAATCGAAGAAAGTTGAGGAACAAGCGGTTCTGGATTTGAAACAAACCATAGAAAACATGGACTTCAACACAGATGATATAAATCATATGAATACCGAAATCAACAGTGAGATTGACAAATTTTTGAACAATCCGGAAATGTTTGCAAGTGATAGCAAGGATAAACTACTAGATAGTTTGATAAATAGTGTCAAAGATGATGAAAAAACAGATCTAAGGGAAAAAGAAGTATTTTTATCAATGCCTGAGTTGGATTTGGATCAAGAATCAAATATAGGTTAGTGTCAAATAATCTAGGAAATAATATAAATCTAGTCAAAGACACTGAATCAGGGACAGGTCTTGTATCGAATTTTTCGATTCTTTTTTTATTTCACAAATATTGAGGAAAACCACAAGACAACTCGCATGTTCTAGAGTTATTTTATTGTAATCAGATTTTCCATTGACCTTTTATACTTATTCACCATTGTATTTTAGGAAAATCGTCCAAAACTACAGCAGGGGTTCCAAAGAGCACCTCGGACTCAATGATTTATTTTTTGGGACCAGAGTAGTAAGTGATTGTATGAATTATGATATATGGTATTTAATAAGAGATTATTTATTATTATTCAATTAATTAAAAAAATAAAACAATAGGTAATACATATTATTGAAGTATTTAGACTGAAGCTTGTTTTATATTGGATCCTCAAGATATTCAATTGATCCTTTTTTTTTTGTGTTAGATCACTGCTATTGACAATAATATTGAAGATACTTTTATTATACATTTTTGATAGCTTATTCATATACAATACTTTGGATGTAATTAAAAAAGTAACAATCAATCATATTTTGATACAAAATTATTTCTAATGAAATAAATAATGAATAAATTCAAGTGCAACCATCAAAATAAGGTGATCCTCAACGAGAAAATGTCAATGCATATTATTTAAGGTTTAATTGAGGAAGGAATTTTTAGTCAAGTTCTTGAACAACTGAAATTTAAACGTAAAAAGTTGATATTTAGAAGAGTAAAGTACTCACATATTATCTAGTTGGAAGGATATAACTATAGAATGTAATGCAGCAATATTTTTTCATGATATGAGACGAAATGAAATGCACAGACCATTCCAATTAAGAAGACAGCGTTGAATACCATAAGAAAACGTTTACCTTCGGTTTTACTGGTTAATATAGTCCAGGCAATTTTAAACATGCCTAATATTATAACACTAAACAATCAGGAACCCAATTATTAGAATGGCCATAATTTTGAATATGCCAAAACACAAAATCCGTGATTTCAATTTAAATTTGCATATAACAGAAATATACTGAGTATAGTAAGACATGGATGCATATTTTCATTTATAAAATATGCTGTAATACTTTAAGAAATACCATATATGGTAAATGTCACCAATATAGATTTCACGCTGAAATGAATACTAATCTACTACAGGTTGTAGCACGCTGTAGGTTGAATCAGCAGCAACATAATTCGGTCTAATCCTCAATCATTATTCGTTCATACCGAGGTTCATACAATCTAGCTGAACGATTCTGGTATAGTTGCCATTTTATTGAATTTCAATTTCTGATGGTATCACTCGGATTGTAATATCTAAAGTATGTTATGATATGTCATTATCCGGTTTATAATAAAACAAGAAAAAGTGATAGTTTTCAACTGTCAGTTTATCCATGACATGAAATCTGTTGAATCTTGATAACGATGAATGTTGAAATATCCAAACAAGCTAAACAAACGGTTGAGACGGCTACTCTGTTTATCTAACTGAATAATTAATCGTTTATTCTTTTCGACTACCAATAGATTGTCGACGCCATATAGTACTTGTGACAGCAGTACCGCCGACGATTTTCTTTGGGAATTTATTTCAGATCAATCAAGTAATAATATCATTATTATATAAAGTTCAGCAAGTGGCACTTTTATGCCGATGACACGCAGATTTATTTGTTATTTCCTAAGACTGGCCTTTTGGTAGCTAATGGTATCTGGGGGTTTTCAAATATGGTATCGATATCTGAGAAATGTTTTCTATCTATAAATCCTGGAAAATCTGTGGCAATGCTGTTCGGTAGGAAAGTATGGCCCGAACTCGTTGTGTCGATGATTCGAATTTCACAATCAGGGATATATCAATTTCTTCTGTGGAGAGTGCCAAAAACTTAGGAATTTTTCTTGCCTCCAATTTGAATTTGAACAAACACATTAATCCGATTATAAGACGGTCGTTCTGCAACCTGGAATTGATTTGTACCAAGAGGAACATTTTCGAGAAGCGGAGTAAAATAACCTTATGTGAATCCTTAGTTCTTTCACATCTTAATTATGGTGACATCATTTATGGACCTACTATTTCAAAGAGAAATGCACAACGCCTACAACTTTTTCAGAATGCCTGTGTTCGTCTAATTTGTGGGCTAGGCAGGAGAGATGATAAATATAGTCCCTTAGTGAACTGGGTTGGCTGAATATTGAGAGGAAGAGGATTCTGCATGCCTGTACTCTATTTCATAAGGTAGTCACGATTCAAACACCACCATATCTTTTCCGGAAGATCACCTTTCGTACTGCGATATCGGCTAACTCCACCTATTCACACCATTAGACAATATCGATGTTTTGATTACTTGATTTCAAAGCTGTACAAATGGATTCCGGAAGCTCTGAAGTAAATGAATATCTTGAGTTTCAAAAGTCGTATGAAAAAACCGCTTTCAACTCGTGAATTGCAGTTGTAACAAGACCAAAATCACTTCCTGATGAGCGTAAATATGATGCTAGATATAATTCCAATGAATTGTCATGTATTTTGTGTTTCTCATTTTTTCTTTAATATTCGTTATTTCCTAGTTGAGGTTGAGTGGAAGAAAGCATTTGTCAGTTCCTTTAGGGATCAGACAAAATCTAACTCTACCCTTTGGAAGAAATCCATCAATTTTTTTCATTATTTTGTATATTTATTCTTGTTTCTACAAATAAAACCGTTTATTATTGTTATTATTAATGAAAATTAATAAAAAAAATTCTGTGCATTTTCCCATCATGAAGAACGTTTGGAAATGAGTGTTTCTTCATTATTTTCGCCAATGTAAACATTTCTTCAGAGGCAGCGCTTCTCATTCGAAATCTATACCGTTTCAAATTCGAATTGAGACATCAATTTCAAACTGGAATCAAACACATCCAAATTGGTCAACAAATTCTAAATGGGAATAAACTCAATGAAATTGAGAATAATTATTTCAACATTCAGAATAAACAGTGTCAAATTGGGAATTATCATATTCAAGCTGATTAACTCAATCAAAATAAGAATGAACTCGTTCAATTCGGTGTCCAAACATCTTCAAATTGGGAAATGGATTGTCAAAATCATTCTTTCCCAATTTGAATTTGGTTGTTTCCATTTTGAAAGGAATTAGTCGAAATTTGAATTTGTTTATTTTCAATATGAATGTGTTAAATTCATGCTGAATCGGACTGTCCCAATTTGAAGATGATTATTTCCATTATGAAAATGATAAGTCTCAATTTGAAGTTGAAAAGGTATAGTAAAGGTAACGTTTCACATTCACATAAAATCAGTTCAACTGTTGTTTTTCATAATAGGATTGCCGACTGTAACGACGTTGGGCAGACGTTGGTGAGAACTTCCGTAATCGTCCCCCGCCCCTTCACATCTGGTGGTTTCTAAGGTGTTGTAGTTCGCGAGTTGCTGGTAGACTTGTTTCATTCTTTGGATGTTGATACGGCTGGCCGTTTGATGGTTGACCATCGGGAGTGGGTAGTCTTTGCCTATGATGCATTTTGAGGTTTGCTGGACGTTCTCTGGAGCTAGCCAAGGTTCGTGGATGTATTGTAGAGGCATGCTCTTCAAAACTGGGAGATATTTTCTGAAATCGAGAAAATCCTTTTGTCAAGCATTACATTCATATTTTACTACGTTTTTCTACAAGTTGTTGCCAGATAAGTAGAGAGAGGTACAGAGCGGCGATGTTTTCATTAAAAATCCATTTTTTTTATAATTTACTCAAAAGTATTCTTGTCAATTTCAATCAAACTTGATTGTTTCATTAACAGTTATAAGGAACTTGTTTTAGTTTTATTATATTCGAAATAATATTTCCAGTGGCATCACAGTGGGTTACCAATATGGTTAATATACCTATTGCCACTGTTTTTTCTATGTTGCATATTCTTGTTAGTATAAACTAGAGTCCCTGTATATACCTTAGACAAGAGTCCGGACACAAAACTGACAGCCCTTGGGGTTTTCAATATTTTGTTTCATTTGGTTTGCCCACCTGACAATGTGACGTAACACCATAGTCGTCCCGCCCGCTTTTTTCAATTATTTCGAATTCCTGTCACTGTCACTGAAATTTTATGACCGCCAGAATTTTGCATTTTAAATTATTTGTCCTGCTGCGTACATTATTTCGATAATTCATTAGAAAAGGGATTCAAGTTATTCAATTTTCCGAATGATCCTTTGGAAGAATGCAATGAAACGTCCAGAATGGAAAATTAATTTCAAGAAATCCGAAATATGTGAGGTAAATATTCAAATTTACTTGAAAAAACAGTACAAAAAAGATGAATTTCAGGCCCATTTTGATAGAGATTCTTTCAAGCTGATGGATTTCAAATTGAAAGAGTCTGCTGTGCCGTTAATTTATAAAATGGAGACGTTCAAAAAAGAGTTCCGTCGTCGTCGTATTGGGAATTACTGAATGATACGATCGCAGAGGAAGAAAATGAGAATGAGATGATGCGGAAAGAAATTGAACGTTTGAAATCAAAACTTGAAGATTTAGAGAAATTGCAATGTGCTATGTCATCAGTCCACGGTGTTTTTAATTCAGATCGAATTCAAAATTTACAGGTGAATGTAGACTGCAGGAAGAGGTGGGAAACCGACACAATTAAAATTATATTGAAACAATTATATATCTTCTATTTTTTTATATCCCAACAGAAAACAACTAAATATATTTTCTTGACTATGTGATACCACGTAGAACACTTAAATTATCTTTCTTATATCTAATGGTATCTCAGGAATAATTGATAATGAAAATTATCGATTCGAAATTTAAACACCCTTTTGTTCATTATTCGAAAATCTAATAGTTATTCTAGTCAAAATAGCCCTATTTCTCACTTCAACCTACGGCTATGAACGGTTTGACAAATAATCTAACCCTCAAAATCCTGATTTGACTTCAAATGAGATTACTAAATAGTCCTAAATAAGTATTATTTTCAAATTCTGCGAACATGATAGCTTGTACAGGATTATACATGAAAAAAAACAATTGATAGTTCTAACTTCAACATCTTTTCTCTCGAAAAAATTTAGCAAGTGTGGTCAATAAATGATATAAGTTATATCCTGTACCAGCCTACAACATTTCATCACCCAGTATATGGATGTTTCCATATATCCAACTACATAGCCTGCATCGCCTCTTCTAGAGTTATCAAGAACGTGACGCCATCAGCAAGAATATGATACTTTCTTAGAATTGTAACTGCAGGATTATTATCTAGATTTTTCTCAAAAACTTTTGATACAGAGATTGTTATTCCATACTTCGAAGACTCAACACGCTCCCAGAGCAACACATGCTTGGTTTGAATAAATAGTTTTATTAAAATCAACCCTAGACCATCATTCATAATTTATATCAACTTTTTTTATGAAAAGCTTCTGCAATGATTCGACAACGCCCTGTAGTATATCTCGGTTTATTTTATTTTTGTCTGTCTATTCGTTTGGTACAAATTTTTCAATTGAATTTTAGTAATATTTCTTGTTAATAGCTTTCGTGATTCATTCCTATGATTATTCACAATCACAATGAGTAATACAAATGAAAAAGCACTTTGAAGTTGGTTCTGTGATGAATGATGAAAATTAATAAAACAATCTTGAGAATTAGGTACACAATTGATTTGAGAACAGTGGTTTCAGTGTAGTTTGTTTTCAGTATACGGGTGTTTCTGGATTCAATCGACAAAAAAGCTTAGAAAATGTCCCGTCTATAAAAAATAATAAGTAGTGAAGCTTTTATGTATGCTGGTTTCTAACTTTTTATATGTATATCAACGATATTCAGTATATTAATGATTGATGAAGCGATTTTTTGCACAAAAGAAAAATGGAAATACATTATTCTATACATTATTATTTTGAACAAATGTTTGAAACACTTGTGCCTATTTGAATTAAATATTACCTTATATAATCTCCGTTAGGATCAGCCTTCCTTCCAAATTTAACGGGACAGTAACAGTGAAAAAATTGTTGGAAAAAACTTGAACAAGACAACCACATCCACATACCCGCGTTTACTGACCAATCAGCATCTAGTAACAGTTCTTCAAATACCTGAAAAAAATTGTATGAGTTACGTTCAACCACGATTCGTTGTAGAATCCCAATTTAAAAGAGAATCGTGATGATTTTTTTATTGATTTTGCATAAAAACCATATTGTGTATTTTTACCTTCATTCCTTCTTCCCAGGAAATCCAAAGATCTCCTCTAGTCAGAAAACAGGCTACAGCATGCCTTGCCAAATGATGAATCCATCCCTCTTGTCTCAGTTGTGTCATAATAGCATCAATCCATGGGAAACCAGTCTGACCCTAAAACAAAAACACGTAGGAAGATCATTTTCAAAAAATATTCATTGATCAGTTTCGGAGAAAAAAGTTTGATGAAAAATAATAAATGGCGATTTGCCTGATAAGTATTCAACCACGTCACGTGACCGTTTCTAATGCGGCATTTCTTTTTCACACATTGTATTCTTGAATACATAGTTTTCATTGTTGGAAACTTTCCATAAGGAATGTGAAACTATCGAGAAGGGATATACTGTTGAATAAACCAGAATTATTATTTTCTTCACATAGAGAATGCGAATTGTCAATGTATTTCTTTATAATATATCCATTTTTTCATGTTCATAATATGTGAGAATATTCCGTTTCAATACCTATATATATTACGAACAAGAAAAATTGCATTTTCTATGTGATGAAAATAATAATGTTGTCTTGATATATTCAATAGAAAACAACTATACTTTTCTGGCTACAAGCCCCGACGAACATTGAATTATATCTATTGAACACACACAATAAGAATTTGAAAATAAAATCTTCTGAAGTTGAGAATTTGCATTCTCTCTGAGATAAAATATTTATGTATATAATATCATTCTGAATATTCAACAGGAAACAACGTATTTCCTGGCTATTTGCCACGTCGAACATTGAATTATATTTGCTAAACAGGAAGGAAACATTTTTGAACACATTTTTATATTTCTAAGTATGGAGGCGCCAGCCCAAAGAAACAGAGAAGAATCATATTTTTGAACATTTTTATTTTTCTGAATATGGAGGAGCCAGCGCAGTTTTACCCGTTTATTTTGAAAATGGTTCGTGATATTCCCAATTCCGAAACGTCCTTCCATTGTTCACCAAAATATTGCAACTTTTGTCCTATTCAACCAACTTCGTATTTTAATTACCGTTTTCGAGATGTAAAATAGTGGAAGTCTTGTTTATGTATGATTGAATAAATTTGTTCAGATTGCAAAATTTTTATCATTTCAGTTGTAGGGCAAACACTTTCAGAAATGTTGTCTTTGAAATCTTTCAGATACACGACGTGGGTGAACCAAACACCCTGTATAAGTACCTATACATTATTTCACAACATTCTGGAGGGAAGGTCAGTCAGTTCAAAATAGGCAATAATCATCATACTTGTGATGAGAATTTCATGAAATATATCTTACATTCGCCCATTTAGCCAAAGCCTCGACATTCTTGTCCCACGGTATCTGTACACAAATGGGGTTCCCCACCATTTTGTCGAAATTGGGATTCTTGGTGGCAGCACAATAGAAAAACTCCCTCCACAGCAGCTGCCCGTGTAACGATAACGGAGGGAAAGCCTTCTTGATTTTCTTATATAGATCAGTCAGTTGGTAATAAAACAGTCTTGTAGATAGGCAGCCGAAGCGAAGGTAGGGAGACAGGCCTGTTAGTGACGGCAATAGGGATTGAGGGGTCATTTTGGGGCGTCCGAAGGAAGCCACCCACGCTTTCCGTTCTAGGTGGCGCTCTAGACGGGCTAGGGACTCCGATTCACCGCCCTGCCAAACTGGTGGAATCAGACCTAGAAAAAAACATTACATCATTCTGGTGAATGTCTGCGGTATAATCTTTACAAAGTGAGTTGGGAGGTCGGCAAATTCACTCACCTTGAGTATCGAAGCCCAGCTCCTCGAACGTGGGCCGACCGCTTCATTGTCCCACGCTATTTCGTCGCTTGTTATTTTGTCGCTTGCTATTTTGTCGCTCGCTATTTGGTCGCTCGCTATTTTGTGCAGTGCACTGTTTGACAACGGGGCCGATGTACACGATACCAAGCCAAATGTGAACTGTGCTATATTAAATTGACTCAGTGCCGGATTTGGGGGGCGGCTATGGGACTATCAGCCCCCGGCGGTGAATTTCAAGAGGCGGTAGAGAAAAGAGGAAAAGCAAGCAGCAATACAGTCGTCGCCGACGAGGCGAAAAATATATTACATTGCTTCTTGCTTTTTATTTGCCGCCTCTTTAGTCGCCTTTTGAAGCAAACGCGCAATTAGCTACCGCTGGCAGTCGGCACCGCATCAAAAGGACTTGTTTGAGATTACTGTTTTTGTGAAAATCATAACAGGCACTAATCTAGCGTCAGCTGTGTCTTCGACGATACAGTACAAAAGCGGCATACATACTTTCATTTGATGATGAGAAAAAAATCGCATTCTACTCAGTAGAGTAGGGGTAATTTCGCGATTCGTATAACTCAATAACAAAATACAAAATCAGAGTTCAGTATTTAATAGGCTGTCGTTAGTATTGTTGGTAATGGTACTAATAATAAATGAATATAGAAACTGAAAATTAAAAAAATGAGTAAAAAAGAAGGTGGTGTATTCTGGAAACGGCAGAAAATCAAAAAACAAAAGCAGTTGGACGAAGTTGTCAAGACATGCTCTAAAATACATTCATTTTTTCTAAATTCAAATGAGACAGGATCAGAACCGACTGAACCGTCGACCTCGTATTAACGACTAAGTTTAATATATATGAAATCGTTCATTAATGACCCCTATTAATGAACGATTTGTCTATTAATTCACGATTGTTTCATAGGCAACCAAACATACACCGCGTGCATTCATTGTTTATGCTATAACTTACGGAATCTGCATTTAAATCGAAAATATGGATTTCATCGAAGATTTTTCGTTAACAGGTTCGCCTTTCCAAGTTTCTGACACGATTTTAATCCCTGTTTTCTAACACAAGGAATTTATTTTCTATGTTGATCATTTCGACAAATGTCAAATGTCACTAATGCCAGTAACAAGGCTACGATAGGTGATTCTTAGCAGTTTCCGGATGAATATGATGAATTCGCGAACCAAGTTTTCTTCATTGCAGGAGAAATGAGAAATATAGTCGACGGGAAAATTGTGTATAACCAACTTGTATATTAAAAGGCGATCAATGATCTCGAACATTAACGCGCTCGCTTCGCTCGCACGTTAAAATATCTCGACCATTAATCGCCCTCATTAATACACTAGTTGGTTGAATAACTATTTCACATTCAATACGTGGAAAAGAAGAGCTAGAATCTCAAAAATAGATGAGCAAAATATGAACACGACTAAGCGTTGTTTTAGGGATTATCACAGCAAATTCCTAATTCATTTTATATTGGCGATTACTCAGAATTTTTTTACTATCCCTGATATTACTGATGCCAGTGGTGAAAGGTCATTCTCAATTTTAAAAAGAGTGAAAAACTACCTTAGGAATTCCATGGTAGAGGATACATTGAATATCTCATCGATTTTAAGTATTAACAGTGACATGTTATTAAATCTGAATTATGATGCTGCCATTGACGACTTTGCATCAAAAAAATTAAGAAAAGTATTTAATAAGTATTCCTCTGAAGAAAAATATTTTGTTGATTGATGTTATGTTTAACGTGTGAAGTAAATATAATTTGATTCGTTGTACATAATGATTTCATGTTATTGTTATATTCTGTGAAAAACAGTGAAAGGATTATTTGAATTTTGAAACTGACAATCGAGATTTGATATTTGGCGGCGGCGCGGCGGCATCGTAAAAGTTAGCCCCCGGCGGCGATTTTACTAAATATACTGTACGCTAGCACAAACCACGCCCACCGTAATATCTCATATTCGAAGTACTTAGGCAAAACTCAGAAACTATTTATCCTTAACGAACTAACCTATCCCTGATTGCAATATTTTTGAGGAAGGAAAACCGAATGGAGGGTAGAAACACATTGATTAATGATATATTTCAAAAATTGAGTTCTTCAACAAAATTGAATAAAATGAGACTGTTTATCCTAAACGCACTAACCTATTTGACTTCAAATATTTTATGAAAAAGGAAAACCAGAATGAAGTAAAAAAACTGGTGAAAAAAAAAGTTGCAAAAAAAAGTTCAAGTTCACAGCGATTCGAACCATGGACCTTCAGACTGAAAGTCGACAGCGCTAACCAGTAGACCATTTGGGTCTATGAATTTACTGCGTACAAGAGATTGACAACGAGAGACCTTCAGTCGAATTCGTGCCAAAATCATAGAAAGTGTATTCTTGCGTTGGAGCACAGTATATTCAGTGCGATGTGCTGACTCCGAGTATATCGGTAACATGGACGTATAACGGTAATGTTTGGAGATATGACGTATTATGGTGGACATGGTTTGTGCTAGCGTGCAGTATATTTAGTAAAATCGCCCCCCGGCGTAAGGGAGTATAAATCCGGCACTGAATTTACTCACCCTCAGTATCGAAGCCCAGCTCCTCCAGCGTGGGCACCCCGTACCTCTCGTCGTGGTCCTCGGAGAGAGGCGTTCGGGCCCCGCCCAGCGACGACGGCGTCACCGGCAGCTCGGGCTGCGGCGGGGGCCCCGCGCAGGCGACCACCGCCAGGAACTGGTGGTAGGTGAGGGGCGCGCGGCCGCCGTTGCGGTCGATGATCTGCTGCAGGTTGTACAGGGTGTGCGAGACGCATTGGGTGACCTGCAAGAACCATCGGCCATGAGGATTTCGGGATTAATGGCGGATTTATGCAACATTTGCATAGTCCTAGTCTTAGTTCTAAACATAGCATAGTCTTAGTATTCATTTTTGTCTTGAAGATTTGAGGTATTTATCCAGAAACATTGAAACTTGATTCAAGCATAAAAGTCATGTGAGAATTTGTGGTTCTCTGAGCTTTCTCATAATATTATTTTCGGAACATGTAAATCAGCATTTTGCCCGTCCTTTCGAAGATAATAGAACGTCATGTAAATAATCAGATATCCGAATTTCCAGAGAATAACAAAATGAGTAACTTCAATCAATCAGGTTTCAAGAAAAATCACGATATCAAAAAAGGTATAGAGAACGGAGATGCTACTTGCTTGGTCCTGTTGGATTTCTCTAAGGCATTCGATACCATTGATCATGAGATACTTTTAGCAAAACTTCACTATGTCGGGTTTTCGCGCAGGCGGGTGTCGAGTGGGTTGGAGTCTCAGATTGGAGATTATCTGGCAGAACGGTCGCAATACGTGTCTCTTGTTAATGACAATGGTTGTGTTTCCTGAACGTGTCAGTACATCTCAAACGGTGTATCTATATTGGGACCTATATTATTTTCTATTTATGTTTCTGATATGGACAGAGAGCTACAGTACGGTAAATTACACCAATATGCCGATGACTCGCAATTGTGTTTGAAATTCAAACCTGAGAACTATATAGCAGCAAATCAAAGGTTCAATTCTGACCTATCAGCAATCGAATGTTTCTCAAAAAATCATAGTCTCATCATAAACCCCACTAAATCTCAAGCATTGATATTTGCATCACGTGTTAATCGTAATAAAATGAAGAACAAGAACTTCGTGGTGAACATAAATCAGGAACCAATACCTTTTACAGACTGCAGCAAAAATCTTGGTGTACAGATAGATTCTGAATTGAACTTCGAGAAACACATAGCAGCTAAGCGTAAAATTGCCTATTACAGAATAAAAACATTGTACCCATTCAAAGAAAGTATGAACTCTCAAACTAAATCTATGTAATTCACTCATTCTGTCACTTTTTGACTATGCAGACGTGGTTTATCATTCATTGATCACCCAAGAAGTTGCAAAGTGTGTCCAACAAGTACAAAATGCTGGTATCAATACCGATACCTATCTATATTGTCATGTGTTTCCAGAAAGGTTCTAAGTGGAATCTTTCTTCATAGAATCAGGCGGGGGCAATTGTCCATAGATGACTCCCACGAAATATGACGATGAGTCAAAGAATGTACTAAAAAATATAATGCGTAGGTAGGTAGATAGGTAGTTTTTATGCTGATTCAATTAGTTTGGTTGAAGATTCTTTAACCTTTGGTTTGTAGAAAAAATAAGATTATTTTGCCTTTGCCTTCATCATACCATACCCATACATACCGTTATCCCAAGCTCCTTGCATAGTGTGGTGATATTATGATCCCTAACCCTTCCAAATGGTTCAGGGTCCTCTTCGAAAGTCAGAGCAGTAGTTCCCCATTCTTTGAATAATTTTGGTAGGGCGTCTGCCGGCTGACCTCTTATGACGAATAACCGAGAGTTCAGTTTCCTCAGGTTACGATCCAAATCTTCTAAACATTGCAGAAGGAATCTATAAAATGTTTATAATTCGATAAAATTAGCAAATTTCTGGTAAATCAGTCATGATATTAATGGAAAACATTAATTGTAAGTGTACCATTCTAGATATGCGATGATGACTGGAGAATACCTCAATGATTTCTAACATTCGTGGTGACAATCTCAGAATGTGTCTGAAATATTCATATAAACTGGTATGTTAGGAAAATTTACGTTGTTATATCTATGTTGTCAATCAACATTTTCAGTTGAATTTCGCGTATATCCTAATTGAAGGATGTTGAATCCTCTGCGTAGAGTTGAATTTTCTCCAAAAGAAATCGCTAATGATATGAGTCATGTTGATAGTCCCCTAAAATTGTAATCAAATTTTGCAAATGTGCATGTGTGAACGTCGACCATTTGGTACTAATTCAAAAAAATTTATAGTTTGGAAATTGTAGATTTCATTAGGTTGCAGGTGAGTCACACTGTATATAACATTAGTTCAATGAATATCAAATCTTTCCTCTTCAGCTTCAGGGCAGGTTTTTCAATTGTCGATTTTATTCGCTATAGTTAGTTATCCGTCAGATAATAGTGGCCTGCAGGTATAAAGTTCCAGTTTGATTCGAACTGACAGGTTTCTTAAGGAATATTGGCAATAGTGATGAATAGATGTAATATGGATCTGATTGGTTGTTGTTTTTACATGATTTTCAACTACCGATGGGAATTCTGTACACAAACAATGGATTCTATATTATGGGATATTCTGCAATTATCTGACTCATCCGCAAGTTGAAACCTACAGATAGCTATTAGACAGAGTTTAGCTGCTTATGAAACTTTACCTAATGCCAATAAAACCACCTTTCTGAATTAACTGTCAGTTTAACAATATCTGACAGATAAATTGAATTTGATAAACCGGCCCTCATATTCTGAAATGCAATATCTCTACCGGTGTGAAACCAGCAAGACGGTAGATCCGATAAAGCAGGCCGTGTAGCTATAATTTGCATATTATTCATCAATATGGAAGCTTGGCAGTAGTAGATGAAATAGAGTAATTATGTCACCTATTCATTTTCCACCCCAAAATTTAAGTAAGAAATATGGATTTCTTTTATCAAAAAATTCGCATCAATTTCGAACCACTTCCACCCCAAAAATCGAAAAAAATCGCAAATATCTCATTTTCATTAGAAAAAATGTCTTGCTGTTGATTTTTTTATTTTCTCTTTGGCAAAAAATATCTTGCTATGGATTTTTTTCATCAATAAACTTAAGGCATATCGATTGAATTCATGCTGTCCCCTGGTTTTGTCGCATCAAAGTTCACCCCAGTTTCTCCCCAAATATCGAAAATAATTCGGAAATCTGTCATTTTTATTAGGAAAAATGTCTTGCTATGGGTTTTTTATCGAAAACTTCAATTGAATTCATGGATTTTTTTTCGATTATTTGGGTGAAATTCATGTTACAAAATCATAGGACAGCAAGAATTCAATCAATGTATTTTTTTCCTTAAAGTGGCGTAAAACTGATGCGACAAAATCAGGGGACAGCATGAATTCAATGGATGATACGCCTTATGTATTTTTTGACAAAAAAGTACATAGCTAGATAATTTTTTTGAATTCGATTCTTGGGGTGAAAATGGGTAAAATTGATGCGACAAAGTCAGGGGACAACATGAATTCAATCGATTATACGCCTTATATATTTTTGGCAAAAACAATCCATAGCAAGATTTTTTTTCAATGGATAATATGACAGATTCACAATTCTCCTTCGATTTTTGGGTGAAAAGGGGGTAAAATTGATGCGACTAAATCAGGGGACAGCATACATTCAATTGAAGCTATGACTTCTGTAGTTATTGACAAAAAAATACATAGCCAGACATGTTGAATACACTGCCTGCTTTACTGGATCTCCCGTTCTTGCTGGCTTCACACCGGTAATATCGCTCACCGCCACTTGTTGATGCCAACACTCGAGGACCCCGCGAACCAGGGGTCGAGGAGGAACACGCACCGGAAAGTGTCGGCTCCCCGCAGCCCCTCCTTCAGCGCGGGGTTGTCATGCAAGCGCAGCCCCTTGCGGAACCAGTGCACCACGTGCTTCTCCTGCCGTCCGCCGGAAGCAGCGCCTGCGCCCCCGTTCATCTACCGACCAATGGCGGGGCGCATGTCGCGAAACCTGTTGCTGATGCTGCCTGTGATGATCGTCGGGTATCGAGTGGGTGCTCGACGGGTGCAGGATCTGGAATTCTGGAAACAACAACGAAGTAGCATGTCAAGTTCGTTTCCAGTCCAAACTTCGCCGTCCAGTGGACGTCCAGAGAGAGAGAGAGAGAGAGAGAGAGAGAGAGAGAATTCTGCGCAGAAGGGGTTGTCGTGTAAGCGCAGTCTGTGGCATACTTTCAGTTTATTCCACCCTGTATCCAATCGTAATGAAGATCAAGATTGTATTTTATCACCTGGCATGGCATGGCAATAATTTTGATATATTGTTGCAATCAATAAATAATCTCTTTCTGACATATTCCTTCAGAGAATTTATTATATTAATTCATTAATATTGTGGTTCAACCTCCACACAGTCCCTTGTGGAACCAGTGCACTGTGTGCTTTTTCTGAAGGCAGCCGGGATCAGCGCCTGCGCTCCATTTCATCTACCGACCAATGGCGGGGCGCATGTCGTGAAACCTGTTGCTGATGCTGCCTGTGATGATCATCGGGTATCGGGTGGGTGCTCGACAGGTGCAGGATCTGGAATTCTGGAAACAACAACGAAGTAGCATGTCAAGTTCGTTTCCAGTTCAAAGTTACATGAGTGCTTGAAATTTCACGACGAGTGGACTTCCATTACGAGAAAAAATACAAATATTCAATGTACGTTCGAGGGGTTGTTCTCATCGATAAAACCTTGCGATTTTCATGTTCCTGTTCAACTTTTTTGTGAAACTCGAGATGGTTTATGAGATACAGGGCGATTCTGGAAATGCTGCCTGTGATGCTCGTCGGGTATTGGGTGGGTGCTCGACGGGTGCAGGATCTGGAAACAAGAACTGTCAAGCTCGTTTCCAGTTTAACCCTTTCGAGCCTGCGGGTACACATATGTACCAGTAAGAATTACGCAAAAACTACAAGCGAATATCCATATCTTATATGGTTCCTCTATGTCCAGTACGTCTCCTTCCTCCCTATGTAACTTTGATGCGCGAAGTTTCATTTGGGGTTATGTCGTAGTTATATATTTGTGCCGGGCCACGTTCTACGCTTTGTTTTGAGTCAATTTTGACGAAAAAAAGTGACAAACATTGAGCATATTGTGTGTGTGGACTTAGTTGAAGATAAATTGCGAAACACTGGTGGAAATAACGAAAAAACAGCTGTTTTCTACAGTGGTACACATTTGTACCAGCAGACCGTAACTGCACTTGATGTTGGTACATCATGTGACAATGTCACTCCTGTCCAAGGTCACTCCGCCCAAGGTCTGAGGATAGTGACCTCGGGCGGAGAGCCAGAAACGGCAAATCTTATCTACTACCACCTTCATGAAATTATGAAAAAAAAATCCATAACTTATTCAAAATGTATCTGTACTGACATCTACTTTGCCGCAAATGTGCGAGTAATGAGTGCGGTAAACTATACTCCGTTGCATGTTATCAGTGTCGATATGTTTGATATTACATATTGGTACTAGTTGAAATAGTTATTTTCCTTCCAAGTGCGTAAAGTAGCGGAGTTCGTATAAGTTTTTGCATGCGGAAATGGCACTTTGTGCACGTGATAGGATCAAAATTTTTCCTACGAGCTTCTTATTAGATAACAAAGGAAATAAAAAAATATAACCTATTGAATATGTTTTAGTTGAACTTGATAGACAGAACTATTCAACAAACAATTACATAATAATGAAAGTAATAATAGAAAATTTAATTATTTGTTAGAAATAATTATAATGAAAAAACACTCATTGATATTTTGCATATTGATGGCAGCGGATTGATGAACACTGATGACTTAGCGCAGAAGGACAGTTAATAATATAGCTTGATGAAGGTTGATTTACCTCAAAGTTGTTCAAATGGGTCGATAAAGGTTGAATTAACTTAGAAGGGAAGCTGTTCATGTGGCTTGATGAAGATTGACTCAATGCAGAAGGGCAGATCATTTTTCCACACTCAGTGCAGAAAAAAACACAACGTGAGGAAAAGTGTAACTTTGCCAACACAAATGTGTATGCAGAAGAGTAATACTTTGCGCACGTTCGTATAGGAAAAACAATAAAATCAACTCACTTCTTCTAATGGAAATATCTACAAATCCTTAGGCTAGAATCGGCTAGATCACTATTCAGGATATTTTTCACGCACTCGATGATCATATGAAGGTATCACGGGGTCGAAATCTGAAATCCCTTGCGGAGTAGCAAAATATTTCAGTTGTGGCATTGAGTATTGCTTGGAGTTGTGGTTACAGGTGTTTGGATCGAAGAAATCGTCATGCGGCACAGAGTTGCCAGACTTCGTTCGATAAAAGGAAGAACCTATTATTAATGCACAATAAATTGTGAGTTGTTTCGACAAAATATTATTATTCTCTTATTATAAATTTTCTTATCAAATTCAGAAAAGGAAATCAAGAGAGAAAGTCTAAACTAGAATGTTGGTAATGGACCCTGTATATTCTAATGAATTGAGATAGGTACAATTTTACTTCATGAGTTCAAATATACAGCCAGGATCAAAGGTCCGTCGCCCCCCTCCTCCTCCTTCCCAGACTTCTTTATTTTACTTAATTCCAAAATCATATTCTTTAAATAAGTTGGTTTTAATCGATCTGTTTGATGGTTGAAGTTTCATTTACACAGGACGTCTCTAAAAAGCGCAGCGACTTGTAAGAATATATTCTTTTTAAATAGGACACCATGTATATGATTGCACTCTACGTTGAATTTTGAACAAGTTTGATAGTTGCTTTTTTTCGAATTATGTGAAAATGATTTTCCCATTAGAATATTAGAAAAAGTTAGAAAATGTTACAGGACTTAGAGGAGTAAAATATACGGAACTGTCTCGTAAAAAATCCCTTTCATTTTATTTTATTATTCGAAAAACAAAAAACAATCAACAACAATTTATTAATTCCCTACAAGGGGTATATTCGCGCTCATTATTCGTTTCCCTAAATGAGTTTTGAAAATAGGTATCAGCCCCAGGAATATCACGAAACAATAATTAGGAACCACAGTGTACTACTTATTGGGCAATCATCTAGTAGCTACAGGGTACAGGGTGAAATAAATTGTAGTTCAAAAAACAAAAAAAAAACACGCTTTTTCATAGAGCCAAACCAAAAAATGTTTAATATAAAATAATAAAAGTGTGCTGATGAATACACAACATGGAAAATACTGATTACTGGGGTGCTAAAATTTTCTATGTTGTGTATTTATCAGCACACTTTCATTATTTTTTCTTCTACTTTCTTTCTTTATTATCTATTCTTTCAGTTCGGCTACTACAGAAGCATGTTTTTTAGTTTTGTTTTATTCTACTGCCCCGCAGTGAAAGTGAGTAATTTGCGCGCCTGTTGCCTTCCTTCCCGGAAACTTTATTTCATACGAGTACTTGGTGCAAGACACTACCGTCCCTCTGGTTGTAACTATTTCATACGAGTACTTGGTGCAAGATACTGCTGTGTTACTCCATATAAAAAAACCGCTCATTCTAAAGATCCTGATTAGAATAATGGAATAAGACTATTGAATTATGCAATTGTTATCGGTCCTTGATAAGTGTGTTTCAATTTAATTCGACGTTTTGAAGTAGGCCAAAATCACCCGTCTCTCTGGATGTAAAAATTATTCATATGAGTACTTGATATAAGACACTGACGTGTCCCTGGATATAAAAAGCATTGTAAAAAGTTATTCGAAGGAATAAGAACGTACCTACATTTGGAATTTTGGTGAAGGAACCATTTGGAATATTGGTGAAGGAGCATCATTCACCATTTTATTAGAGAACAAATCAATCGCTCATCCTGGAGATCCTAATAAGGATAATGGAACAGAGGTATCAAATTATGCTATCATCATCGGTCCTCGATAAGTGAGCGTAGTTTCAATGGGGGACTTCGCTCCAAGTTGCAACCTAAAAACCTCTACCAATGTAGAAGCAACAGTATGGAAGTTTTATTGTTCAAATGGCTTTATTTTGATGAAATCTTATTGTAGGAGTCTACTCAGCTCACTAATAGAAGTAATTCAGAAAAAAATAATTGGGAAGTGTATTTGAGTGGATGAAACCATAGCTTTGTGGAAACGGAGAAATCACAGTCGATATCATAAACAAAAACACTAACATACCTATGTGATAATAAGCATTTTCCTAGTGACAAAATAACAAAAGGAGAAAGACAGCATTCAAAAGTAGATCGTTTTATAGTGATCAACGAATTTTGTATTTGCGAGTCAAACGAAGTCACTTTTGATCCGAATGAAATATGCTATTTTTTCTGCAACCGAAAGAATAAACCACAATAAATATGCGGAGTAACTATCAAAGTGGTTCATTAGAGAGCTGAGTAGACTCCTACAATCAGATTTTACCAAGATAAAGCTATTTGAGTAATCAAATATTGCTTCTACAGTGGTAGAGGTTTTTTGGATGCATGGCAAAATGGGGGCTAACATTTTCACTCTCACCAGTTGGCGCTACTTTGAACTGGGGTCAATGTCAAAGTCAAAATTTTGCCGGAGAGCCCCGAAAGCTATCGAAAATATTCGAAAAAAAATTATGATGAATATTTGAACAAATAGAAAACCTCAAGTTATCGTCTTACGTTTTTTTACTCTCAATGTGGAACTTTACGACCAATTCTTTCATTGACGGAGGAGAAGATATCATAGCCAAAGGCCAAATATGACACAAAAATAAGAAGTATATTTATCAGTTCTAATGTTAGCCTTCATTCGACGTTTTGAAGTGGGTCAAAAGTCGAAATCACGTTCGAAGATTCTATTAAATGCAAACATGGGTCATACAAACATTCATACCAAGCTTATAAAAGCGATATGTAAAATAGGAATGCAATAAAGGAAGATAGATCAAATGAATTAGATCAAAAAAACAGTTTTGAGAGCTTCTTCATTTGGTCCTAAATAAGTGGCTTGTGAATTTCACCATCCCAAGAGGTGAGCTTATATAGAAGGCCAAAAAATATGAGTTCTTGCACTTTTTTTAG